AAAATTAAATATTGGGTTATTCTTTTCACAATTATTTTTCTAGAAAAAATATTAGTTATAATTAAAAAAAAAAAGATATGTCTGAAAGTAAAAATATACAAGACGAGCAAATGAACTCTTAAAACTAAACAACTCCTAACCTGTAAGCAGATCATCAAAAGGTTGAAAGTTAGTAGAAAATATAAGAGTAATTTAAATAATAAGAAGAAAAAATAAGTGTCACAACAAAAGAAATAGCTAAATTAAAAAAGGAATTATTTTATGATGTAGCAAAATCTATTTATGATAACAATTACAAAAATTCAAGAATTGATTAAGATATTTAAGAAAAATGCAAAAAAGTTGTTCATAGCTATTATTTTATGCAAGGATCTTTGGGAGTAAGTTTAGCATATTTTGCTGGTAAAATACTATTTTAGAAACGCTAAAGATATACTAAAAATAATTTGGATTCTATGTTTATTATGGCCTTGTTTTTATCTGCTGGTGTATCAGGAATTAATTATAATAGTAAAATCAATAACTTACAATAATATTTTATGTGGGAAAATGGAAAATTTAAAAACATAAATGTTGTAGAATACAAAAAAGATCCCACAAATTATGTAAAATATTTATTAGAAGAATGAACGTATATATTTTTGTATTTAATGTATTTATAAGACAAAATAAAAAATAAGATCATTCATTTTTAACAAAATTAAACAAATAAAAAATTTTTATGTGAACAAATTTTAAATAAATTTTTTCTATCAAATTTATTAAGTAAAAAGTGTTTTAAGTTAACTTAAAAAATAAATTTTAATTAAAAGAGGTTGGTTTATCAAATTTTTTAAATTACTATTATATAATCAATATAATTAAAAAATAATATAAGGAAAATGCAAATAAATACTTTTTGAAAGAAAATGATAAACTTTTTTAATAAAAGCTAACTATAATACGCTTCTATTTATTATTCAATTTTAAAACAAATTATTAAAAATAAATAAATTTTTTATGAAATCAGCTATAAACTTGTTGAACAATAATTAATTAGTAATAAGAAGTTGTATCTAATTTTAAAATTTAATGTTTTTTATCAACAATTTTTTTAAAAAAATCCATCATAGTCTTTGTTGGTTAAATCTAATTAAAATATTTATTTAATTCATTAGTTTGAAAGTAAGTAATTAACTAAGTTAGTAATATGCAATTTTAAAATTTTATAATTTAGAATTTTATTAAGAAATATAAAAATATGTTTTTCTGACTTAAAATGAAAAAATTACAAACAAATAAGAGTTATATTCATTAATATGAGCTTAATTTGGATTAAAAATCTTCTGTTTTGATTACAATTAATTATTTTTGAATTTAAAATTAATGCTAGCTATTTATTTTATTTTTTTATTTTAATTTAGAATAATAAGCCATTGGAAATGACATCAAATATATTTCGAATAAATCAGTTTCTATTCTATTTAAGATTGATTTGATGAAAAATCATCAAGTGGCTTTATGAATGGCTTCGGATCACTAAATTATGAACTTATGTGCTTTGCAAAAGTATTCTTTATCAACTCAAAGCTCTCTTCACCAGCCTTTTTTTAATAAAAATTTTTTTATTTGTAAATAAATACAAGATTTTTAAATTACTTGTGTATTATAAAATGGTTATGGAGAAGATAGTAATGACATGAGATGAGTAGAAACTTCTGTGAGTCCTCTAGTATAAGAAGATTGGCATTATTAAATATACTATTAAACTTTAGCAAACTCATTTCTTTATTAAATTTCATCAAGTTCTCTTATAATTTAGGTATTATTTTTGCCTAAATATTGCTTTGGTTAAGTAAGCTATTTTATCATTTAATGAGGTGTTTACTAATACTTTAGTTATGCTTCAATTAAATCATGGCTTATGCTTTTATAGGAAATCATTTCTTATTTAAAAATTTTATATTTTTCAATAAAAAGCAAAAAATGCTAATCTATTTAATGATGAAGATGAGTCTATAAGTCATCAATTAAGTTGGTTATTTATCTTCTCATGTGATCAAGCTTTAAATAAATAAATATATTAAATATTATAATTAAGGAAGCAATTTTTTTAAATGAATTAGTTCTTATTTACTTGGTTGACTACTTTTTCTTTATCTCTTTCTACTCTTTCTCTATAGTTTTTAATATTATCATCCTCTTCTCTCAATAAAAAAAATACAAACTAAGGAATGTCATTTTCTTCTGTTACGCTTAAGTGATTAGCCAAATTTTTATAGATTGTTTGCTAATATTCCTTGTTTTATCTTATAAAGTCATTATTCATATTTTGTAGATTATGAGATAAGTAGATCTTAGAATTAATATTCTAATTGATTCCTTACTAATAAGGAGGTATTGAAGGCTTTTAATCTCCTAAGACAATTTATGATTACTTAAAATTGCCAAACTATGAATTTTATGGAATATAATTTTATTCTTCCTTCATATTATTAGTAAATCTGTTTTATTCAAATTAAAAATTATCTGATCTAATGGTGCTCAAGCCTTAAACTTATCCCTAAACTGGAATAGTTGATTCAAATTTTCTAGTTCCATAAGGTGAAATATATCTGCTATTTATTGTGTTTGTATCAGGGAAGAGTTTATTTTAACCTAAATTCATCTAGCGATAGCTATCCATTTCTTTGAATATTAATCTCTTAAAATATCTAAAACTGAAATCAAAATTTAATATAATTAATTAAATAATTAATAGCAATAAATCTAATAAAATTCTAAGTGGATATTAATTTTTAAATTCACCAAAATAAGATTAGCAAGATTTCATAACATAATTTTTTATTTTAAAATTTATAATCAATGCAATTAATTTATGTAAAAATTAGTTATTGTGTTAACTGCTATATTTATTTACAGAAAAATATGAATTATCTTATTTTTTTCGATTTAACTTTAATAAAATTAATTATTAAAATTAACCAAGATTTTTAATAATTTCTTTTTATTTAAAATATTATTTTATTTTTTTATGAGATAATTTGCAAAAATAATATTTTCGATATAATTTTCCTCAAATATTTAAAATTATTTATCTTGAAATTTAACTAAAAAACAAATTTATAATTTGTAGTATAAAATGAATTGGAAAGTTAACAGGTTGCTTATAAATTTCTAAAAATATCAAACTCTATTAGATATCATATTTATAATTGATGTTGCTTTTTAGAAGTTGTGTTTTCTAAGACACACTTAACTGTTTTAAGAGTTAGTTTGCTAGGATATAAACTTACTCTTTTAGAGTAATCTTCTTAGTAAAAATGCATATGGAATCTTTATTATCATTGATTCATCTTTCTGTCGATTGGTGATTCTTCAATTAATTACCTCACCATTCTATTACTGGAACTAATAAAAAAATGATAAAATGTTAACTTTGAATTATCAATAAGATGGAATTATACTGAAGAAGCATATCCCAGAAACTGATGTTTTAAGAATGCCCTATTTCTTTAAAGAACCTATTTTATTTAAGTATATTATTTTAAATAGATTTAAATAAAAAGTTAATTTACTAGAGACAGAATTATTCTTTTTATTGGAACCTGGGAATATATTTTTAAAGGTAAGCTAGTAAATTGATCTGAGAAATTTAACCGTATTTTTCTTAATCTATATTCTAGTATATAACTTTTAATTTTTTCGAATCTGAGTTTTAAATATTGCAAAAATTTTCTATTATCTCTCCAAACTCTTTCACATCAACAAATTTATCACAGTTCTATAGAATTAATATTTATATTTAATGATTTATTTCATTATAAAATTATTTTACCAAATCGCATAAATCAAAAAACCCGTCAAGCTCAAGTTTTTAGAGCTGGAACAAGAAAAACTATTTTTTAAAAATTATTAGAGTTTGAATTAATTTTTAAAGTATTTACTTTAATTTTAAAGATAAAGAAGTCTCTGCTTAAATGCCTTATTACTCTATCAGATTCTATAAATATCTCCTTTATTATTCGTTCACATGAATAGGTTTTAAATGCGCTAATTAGTTAAGGAAACTCTGAGCTGATAAGCTAGACGTTTTTTTGTTTTAATTGATTGAACTATTTAACTTCAGCAAGAGAGGGTTATGGATAATTCTTTAAAGGAGTAGAAATTATATTGCTTTCTGGACCACAAGAGGTCATTTTTTCATTAAAGCTAGCCCTGTTAGAGTTCAAAGTGTCATTAGAATTACCACTGGATTGAGTTTTAAAGTTAATTTGCATATTGCTGTTAATATTATTTGCTAAAGTATTTTTTTCTTAAAAACGATCTTTTCTTTAACTAAATGAACTCTTCTTATCTAATTTGGTTGAATTGAGATTCATATACGAAGGTCCAACATTACTGAAGGTTTTACCATTTTTAATTGGCTACTTATGTGGAGATTAATTTAATTACTACTTTTTTAAATTATATAGAGGTGATTAAGTCTATGCTTGCACTTACATGACTTTATTTTTTTATTAATTAACGATTTGATTTAAGCGAGAGAAATCTAGAAACTCATTTATTTTTTAAATAACAGAAACTTTTGCCACTTTAGACAAATCTATCTTATTAACTTTAACAGAGTGAGGAGTTGTAACCTTTTTTTTAACGTGACTTTATTATTTTTCATCACTTGAGTAGTCATTTGGAGTTAAACCATCTAATGTTTAGAATTAGATATTATTCTTGCTCTTCGGTAAATTTCCAAAACTTATTGACTTTTGTCTTTTAGAAGATGACCTCGATTGATTTTGAGATTTTTATATGTCATTAAACTAAGAATTTAAATCTCCTGAAATAAAATTATTAATTCTTGTTTCTTTACTATTTGTTCTAGCGCTTGGCTAGCTATTCTGGTTAATTTGCATTGAATTTGAATTGGCACTATCCAATTAAATGTCTTTGCTGCTGTTTCTTTTATTTCTCATCAAGTTAGTTACAGTTGTTTTTATATGCTTCATCATAATGTTATTTGAAATTTGATAGTTGGAGATTTAAGATTAATGTTAGTTGGATTAATCAACATTCACTTTTACTTCAACAAAATCTTATACAGCAGGTCTATCGCTTTTAATATCCTTGCTTAATCCATTGCCTTTAAATTCTATTTAACTTTTGTTTGTCATAGAATTTTATCGACTATTTCCTTCATTTTATATATTTTGGCTGTTTGAAGTTAATTCTGAAAACTAATTCTTTCTTTTATATAATTTGCTATTTGTTTGTGATAATTGAAATGGGGAATTTTCTTACGAAATATCACAAGAATTTTATAGTGTGTTTGCTGTGTTTGATGAATTAAATTTAAGGTAGTGGTTAGATAAGTTAGTCAAATTTGCTTATATTTAATCACCAAGTAGTCCTTCTATTTAATCCTCTGCAAATTTAGAATTTTCTTCAATAAAATTTTATTATTTTTAAACTATTTTAATATTCGAAGAAGCCGAGCTCTTTATTTGTTGCGAAAGAGGGCTAATCAACTTGGAAACAGGAGAGCTAACAATAAATTTTCCTTTTTCACAACTTTCTGTCTTTAATGGGTAATTAATTTAGCATTGATTCTATTATCTGAGTGAATCACTTTTTAGTTTATCCTTTTTAATTAAATAATTTTTTGATATAAAAATAAAAATAAATAAAGTAGAAGTTTGAAATTTTTAAAGTTTTTCTAATTAAATCAATTTATTTATTTTATGTAAAGGTATGTTTGTTTTAAATATTTTAAATTGCCAAAAATCCTCATTTATTTAAAAATTACTTTATACAAGAAATTCAAAACATATTTAGGGTTTGAGCTTTAATTGTTATTTAGATAAGGTTAATTTGTGTTAATTTTATCAGTAAATGTGTGAGTAAGTTGACTCTGATGCATCTAAAAATTGTTTGTTGAAGTTGAGTTGCAGTTACTATTACTATTGTTGATATCAGTTTATAGCTCTCCATATAACTCGCTTTAGCTTTTTAGTTTAACCACAATCTTTCTTAGCTCTCTTTGCAATGCAGATAAATCTAATTTTATATAAATTATCATAATTAGAGTGTTAAATAAAATAAAAAAAAATTTATTGTGTCTGCATAAGTCGTTCATACCTTATTTATTGTTGTTTAGGTTTAATAAGTTAAACAATTCTTCGTTTCAATTGTCCTTTATAGCCTAACGTAATATGAGCTTGTCTTCTCTTGATATTTCTATTGATATTTAAGTTATTATTATGTTTATTAATCAATAAATTTAATATTAAAGAGATATTTGTTTTTGAAATGAGAACCATAATTAATTACATGTACATCTATCCAGTAGAGATAAATATTCTATGCTTTACTTAGTCTGTTGCTTTTTTGTTTATTTAAGTTTACGTAGATCTGGACTTGTTGATTTAAGCAACATATTTCAAAATCTGTGAGTAATATTAAGCTAAATAATTAAAGTCTTTTGAGTTTATTTTGTTTTTGTGATAAATATTAATTTAAAATTCGCTAATTTTATTTTAAGGACTCATAAATAAAATTTTGGGCTCTTCATCCTTAAAAAATTTAATAAAATAACCAAATTTCTTTCTAAATAACAAGACCATTCTGAAAGAAAGTAGAAGTAAATTAAGATTGGTATGTTTATTTAACTTAGGTAGAATGAGGGTATTTACTGGGTATAAAGTGAATTCTAGTATTACGATACTAAATAAAATAAAAATTGTTATTCATATGATCTCTCTCTCTTCTTTAAAATATTTAAATGAAAATTTATACTTCATAAATAATTTGTTTGCATTTGTAAAATGTTACTTAGAATATAAAATAGTTTGTTAAGAATACAAGCACATAATAATATGCTTTAAAGAGAAAATAGTATATTTATTATATATATAAACACAAATAAAATTAGTATAAAAATTAAATAAAAATATTCAAATTAATTAAGAAGGAAAAATAAATAAATAAATAAATTTATTGATTTATTTATTTATTTGTTTATTTATCTTCGATTCTATTCCCAATCACAGCAACAAAGCTTGAATAAATCTCTAGCATGGGTATTTATTTTTACTTTTATAATTAATTATAAAATTAAAATTGAGGCAAATAAATTTTATAAAATGATAAAATACTTTAAATATAGATCCCAGTATGTAAAGAAACCTTTCTATGAGCTGTCTACACATTGCATAAATCTATCCAATAAAAATAAATAAATTAATTAAATAAATAAATAAATAAATTTATTAATCAAATGTAATTTACTCTTAGTATTCATCTTAGTTATTAAAAATTCCTACTATGTCTTAGCATGTAACAAAACTACGACTGATTCCTAACCTTTCTTTTAAGTAGTCTAAAGCTGATTTCACTTGATTTTGAGATTACTATTAGCAAATTTATTCTAAAGAGAATCCGAGTTCATTTACATCAAGAAAGCCGTCTCTCTTGAAATTAATAATATCAAAGAAACAATCTACGTTTTGAGAATCTACTGAAGTATTAGAGTTGCATTCATCTCTGCTTGAGTGGTTTCCATCGCATGTAGATAATAATTATTCTATTTTAAATCTAAAGAAAGCACGACTAATTTTGTTTAAATTAGAGTCTGCAAAAATTTCATCAAATATTTCTTCACATGTAAACTGATCAAGTTTTAGCTTCTCATTAAAAAAGCTTCTTTACTCTTCAGTAAAAATTTAATTTGAACTCAACTATTCAGTTATATTCAACAAAAATTAATTGTAATTTTCATTTTATTCATGTTCATTTTATTAGTTAATATCTTGTTGTTCTTAATCTAAATGATCAAAATGTTATTAATTAGACTGATAATCATCTTAAAGCTTCATTTCATCAAACTACTATTATTGATCTAGTTCGTACTGGTTTATATTTTCTTCATCACTTTATTAGCTGTTTTCATTTAGATTTGGGATTCCATTTTCGTTATCTTACTCTTCTCTAATTGCATCTACTTAGTTTTTATAATTGTAAAACACATCAGAAGAAGGAATGTCATTAAAATAATAATTATTTTAATCAAAATATTGCTAGTTGGAGCAATAATTCATAGATCCGCTATTATTATCACTCAAACGATTTGATTGCTATTATATTTATGAAATATTATCTTAGACAGCTTCTTCTGCTTCATAAATTTGATTTTAACTTTGATACTAGTTACCTTGATTGGTATTTAAATGATTCATTTCTCTCTTTGTGGTAGATTGGATGTCTAAAGGATTCAATCCACTCTCACTACCAACTTAACCTTACAAGACAGCATAGTTTAATATGTTTGTATTATTTTCTAAAATATTATTTGATTAGATATTTTAGAGATTTGGAATGTTCATTTCATAATCCTATTATCCAGATGTCGTATTGTTGCTTATCCTACGAATAATGTTATTATAATTTGTTTGGGAAAACTTAAAAGGCTTTGAATCACTAATTTCATACTCAGTTTTTGCGTTTGTTTCAATTAAATATTCTTTTTCATTCTCTTTGTTAGGAGTTGTATGACTGCTTTCACTTTGAGTCCTGTTACTTTTATTTGGAGTTTTATGTTATTCTTTTTGTAACTATTTTAGACCTATTAAACTCTATGATTCTCTATTTAAATTATTAGAGTTTCTGAGTATATGACTAGACTTTTATTCAGAGTTGTTGTTCTATTTTAGGAGTGCTAATTAACTTGCATCAAGAGACTTTTAAAGTTAGCTTATTGCACTATTTTTCATATTTTAAAGTGTATTTTGCATTTAAATGCCATTTTCATATAACTGCTCGCAACTTTCCCTAATATTTTTTATCCTTTATGATTTAGAAGTTAAAGCAGATGGAGAAATATTGCTATCTTGTAAATGATAATTTTATCTATTCCATCTTGAGTTATCTATTGAAGTATTCACTCTAGAGCTTTTATTATTAGAATTATTTTAGTAGCCTTTCATTAATTCTAAATTATTATCATCGATATTGTTACCAGATTCCTCCATCAGAATTTCTTAAGGGTATCTGTTTGAGTTATTGCTTTATTTTTTCTAAAAGCTCTCGCTATCTTCTTTAGGGTTATAACATGTAGATATTCCGTTTTGAGCGTTCACTTCAGGAGATTAGCATTCATATGTTTATTTATTTATTTAATTAATATAATCAATTGAAGTGTCTTTTTTATTTAAATCATCTCTCATAACGTCAAATCTCGAAGAATCAGCATTCATAAAGACATTTCTCTAAGATAATGTATTATTGTTTTCTTTTCTTGAAAATAACTGTTACGATTAAGAAACAATTTAACTAGAGTTTTTCATTTGATTGCATTATTAGTTTTTATCCTCTTCAGGCTAATTGTATTGGCATACAATATTTATGTTATTATTAGTTGTATGAATAGGATAGGTATTTATATTAGATCTGCTAGTGTAATCAGTGCTTAAAGGATTAAAGTAATTAGAAGTTAATTAGCTTTGACCAAAATTATTAAAATTTAATATGTTTGATCCATTATAAGGAGTATCTGTTTTGAGGATGTTTGTAAGTCCATAATCACTTTTGTTAGAATTAGATACAGGACTGATGTTTTCTAAAACGGACTATGTTTTTTTAATTCCAGCTGGTTTAAGTAGCTCATCCCAATTAGTTAAAAGATCAGAATGTTCCTTTTTTAATGAGTTACCTCTATTAATTTACTGATTTGTAGCTGACACTCCAAGAGCAGAATTAATATATGGAATTTAATTATTATTATATGATGGAGAAAGTGTGTTGAGAGCATTTAGTTCATGCTTTTATATAGGATTGGATTGACTTGTAATCACTAAAGGACATTTAAGTGGAGGTATTGTGTATGGTAAAGTTGTTGCTGTAGGAGTAGCTAAGCAAGTAGAGCTACTTCTGGAAGAAGCTTAATTTTAGTTTGTATTTAAATTAGATAAATTTTAGCCATTTGTACTAACAAGTGTATTTGTTATTATTGTTGTAGTAGTAGTAATTGTTGATGTGGTCCCATTTGAAGTTATAGGTGCTGCAGCTGTTATGTTAATAGTTGGTGGAGGAGGAATAACAAAATTTTAAGAAATTTATTTTTCAAGTTCTTTTGTGTTAATACCTTCAGTCATTCTTATAATAAAATCAGGAGAAGTTAGGACGTTTTCTTACTTAAATGTTACATATGGTTAGACAACTTTTTTCTCAATAGACAACTCTTATTAATTTCCAAATAGTCCTCTTCTTTCTAGAGAATGAGCTACTGAATATCCGCTATTGCTTTTTGTTGTAGAATTGTCAAAATTCCATAAATTCATGTTTACATTATTGGAATTGATAAAATTATTTTTCAAAGTATTGTTGAGAGCACTTTTGTAAGGAGATGTTGCATAAAGATTGTTGGAGTATCCAGATAGATTACATACATCAATTTTATTATAGCTACTACCATTATCATTAATATCTTGCTTGTCATATTAATTTAAAAGCTAATTATTTTAATTTGATTATTTTAATAGCTGCTCTAAGTTAAAATTAATATTCGTATTAGTATTGTTGTATCCAAAATAATTTAAATTTTATTTTTTATTCGAGCTCATTAAACGGTCATCTAAGTTGATGCAGCTGCCAACTGTTGGAGGATTAAAAGTTTCTATTTTTTTACTGTTAGAAATATTACAACTTAAATCTCTTTACATCTTTGCTCTTTTAACTGGGTCTTCATCTAATTCTGATAATCTGTTGTTTCTACTTTCTCTTAACTGAGTATCAATATAATCATTTTATTTTTAATCACTTTGTTCATCGTAATTAAATTAAGAGCATTTTCTTTCAGTGGGAATTTTAAATTCTTTTTAGTTAGATATTGTGCTATTCTAATTGAGATTAGCATCTACTATATTTTTGCTTTCATCATTTTTCGTCTAGCTCCTTCTCAGAGTTTATTCTAATAATCTATTTTTTTTAATATAGAATTTATTATTTGCAATTAATTTAATTTATTTACTTTTTCTAAGAGAGGATTTTTTTAGCTGATAAAAAATATTTTTATTCACTGTTTTAAAATACACTCTCTGCTTCTACAAGCTCATCTTCTTCATTCTACTAATAATTAGTTCTTTATGAATGTTAGTTTTTAGTGATTTATTAATTTTGTTTAAACGGGGAATATTCAGGTATTGACTAATCTCTCTTAGAGTCAGAATAATTATTTCTGCTACTTCTTTGGATTTAATCATTCTATTAGTAATTTTAGTTTTATATTTTCTACTGTGCTTAATAGTTATTCAATATAGCATTAACTTTAAGTGGACGATCTTCTTTGATATTATATTCATCAAAGCATTCTTAAATTCTATCATTTTCACCTTATTCATTATTATTATTATTTGTGGTTAAACTAGTCTCAAGGTTATTCGACTAATTACTTTATCTATTATTATTGGAAAAGTTGTAGAATTAATCATCTTTTTAGTTATTTTAAAATTAAGAATTGCTGCTTTAATTTTGTTCTCCTATAGATCCATTATTAACATATCTATGTGAATTTTTGTTTTAACGATTAGCCTCTTGCTACCTATTTTTTAAAAAACCATAAAATATGAATTACATAAATAAAGTTGTAAAATTAAATTTACTAAAATAATTAATTTTGAGATGATTAGGAAAATGACCTTTTCTAAATTTCTTGCATTTAGATTATTCTATCTTCTTCAATATCATTTTAAAATTCTGGAGACTTCTCAATCTAAAAGTTCTGTATTAATCCATTTTGAGGCGTAGATCTGCTGCTATACTTGTTAGCATTTAAATTTTCATTATCTTAATAATGATTAGCTTGATTGCTATAGTTTTGCATCTAAACAGATCTATTGCTTTTGCTACTCAAGGGCTAGTTGATATTAGCATCCCCTTAATTATTTTATTAGTTTTAATTATAAAATTGCAGTTAATTTTATCCTAAAGTTAAAGCATGCATATCTTATTAGCTGCAAATATTATTATCAGAATTGCTAATAAAATTTTAATTTTAGTTATTATTCTAAGTAAAATAAGGAAATGAGTCATTATTTTACTATATTGCATTAGCATTTTATTATTATAAGTAAAAGATATTTTGTTAAGTCATATCATTTTGCTATTTCAAAATTTCTAATTGTTCCTGCTATTAATATTAATTTTAAGGAATTTAGTTATAACAATTGTTTAGCATAGATCCACCATTTAAGGATGTGCGACCGCTGAAATTGAATTAGTAATTACCTTCAGCCATTTCCTAATAAAAATTTAAATTAGTAGTATTCAAGTTGGTGTAGCTGATATTTTAGGAGTTATCGTTTTGAATTGTATTTATTGTTTAATTTCCATACATGTTATTCTGATTTTACTAAGCTATTATACTTGCATTACTGAATTAGTGGGAATGATGAGTTTAAATCTAAAAGTTTTAGTTAGTCAATTATTAAGATTATTATGAAGGGATTCTGTTAATTTTATTTGACTTATTTTTATTTTCTATATTACCCATTTATTGATCATTACCTAAATTGGAAAAGTTGCAAGGATTCTAAATAAAGCTGCTTGTATTAAAAATGTAGCTATTATTTTAGTTTTCATCTTGATTTTTTATTTTATCTTTTGAAGGAATGCGCTTTCCTTTACCTATCATAATATTTGACATAGAGCGATTACCTAAAATATAGTTAGAGGATACAGAACGGTTTATTGTTGTGCTGCTACAATTATGAAGCTGAGATAACGGATCTCTTGTTTAAGTGGTTTGATAAGTTTAATTGGTTAGTATATTACTAGAGTTGTTGGAACTATAATTTTTGACCATAGGCGAAATACTTCTTTTTGCTTTTCTGTGAAAGATTCCAGAGGTCTGTTCATTTATTAATTTAAATTTTTTAAGCAAATTTTAAACCTTAACAGATATTTATTAAATTAAAAAAATTCAAATTAAATTACATCAAAAGAAGTGTTATTAGTAGGCAGCTTTATAAAGCTATTGGAGGGAGGCAAAGTGATATATTATTTAGGTTCTCCCTTTTTATTTTTGAATTTGTTCACAATTTTTCTTAAGTTAGACTAAAGTATAAGCATATCTGTTATTTAAAAGTAAAAATATAATTAGAACTATCCCATGCTAATATTTAAATTTGAGTTTAATATCAAGCAAACAATCATAGAAATAGATAAATATATTTTACCTGTGTTTCTTTTATGCTTAAAAAGAAGCTAAATAACTTCTGAATCATTTTCTTTAACCATATTCCTTAATATTAATCTATCATCCTTGCAAATTTCTAATATAAAATTAAAAATTCATTTAAAATGCTAATAAAAATTATAAATTCTATTTATATTTTTAGGTTATATCCTAATTAATTTATTATTTGTTTTCAAATTGTTCTAATGAAAAATGTACATGTGCATTTATCCAAAAGGGTAATTAGCTCAATTTTTTAGTGCTTATTTTAGATCAAATTAAGGGGACCTCCGTTACATAGATTTTAGTTATCTCTAATAAATGGTCTTTACATTTTGAGCTTTCCTAATTCTATTTTATATATAATTCAAAATTTACCAAGTTTATTAATTTTTTATATCTTTTTTTAATATTTCTTATGATAATTTGAATTTTTTATAGAATATCAAAAGTGAAGAGCAAATATTATGGCTAACAATATTTTTAAGTTGTTTCTTTAACAAATTTAAATGGTTAGTTAATCTTCTTTTTATTGATAATTTAAAATCAAAAATTTTAAATAAACCTTATTTACAAGCAATATTTTATTATTTCTATCATACAATATCATTTATTTTCTATGCTAAATTTATGTAAATTTTCAAGCTTTACAAGTACTATTTTTAACAAAAAATTAAAAAAAAATAATTTCCTAAATTAATAAAGTATTAATATTTTATATTTAGAAAATTAGAAATTTTTCATCAAATTTAAATGGAAATTTAGAATAATTAAAATTATTTAATAAATAAAATATAATCAAAATTAAATTAGAAAAATTTATCAAATGATAAAATTATTTAAAGTGTTTTTTTGTTGAACAGCATTTTTATTTATCAATTTTCTAATTTTTTTTAGTTATTATTAAAATTTAAATTTTCTTTTCTATTAATCTCATCAATATTTTAACAAAGATATCTAACAATTTTATTAAGATTATTCTAAAAATTATTTTATTAAATTTTTTTGATATATTATAAGAGTACTTAATTTAATGCTTTTTTTAATTATGATGAAATTAATTTAGATTTGTTTAAAAATTTTTGATGGTTTGGATTGATAAAGTTGAGGTAATTACTGTTTTAAACGTAGGATGCTATTAATGAACCAACTTTTAGGTAAATAAAATAAATTATTAAAGGAAGAAAATATAAGAATTTTTGATGTAAAAAATAATTTTAAAGTATTTGATATATTATTTGATGAAAATTAAAAGTATATCATATAATTTGATTGCTATTAATATACATAAATTGAGCATATTATTTAAAAATCTATTAAGTATACTAAACAATTCATATATTTTGTTTGGTAGGTGAGTAGGAATAGGGAAAGCTAAATAAATTAAGTATTTTTTTTATATGAATTATAATTAGGTTTAATACCTGAATTAATTATGATTTATATTTGATAATTCATACTACCCAAAACAATTTGAAGCCAGAAATTAAAAAGTATTTACAAATTACCATGAATGTTAAATCTTATTTAAACTTTTCTAATCATTAATGAAAATTGGAATTCATTAAATGCCAGATAATTAGATTAAATTATGGTTGAAATTTGAGCCTATTTTTATTTTCCCCAATCACCTTATAATTTTTTTTAATTACAATGTTATTTCTATAAGATTTAAGCTTTAGTTGTGAATAATTTTAGGCTCCTTCTCTATTAAAAGTTTGTTTATTATTAAATATTTTAATATAGAAAAGAATAAATTTATAAACTAATTACCTTTTAATTCAATTTACTAAACTAGGTAAATAAGAGAAAGTAATATTTTATGAGTAGACATTTTAATTGTTTTTGTTTATATTTTAAAAAATAGATTGGAGATTGTTTGATTGAAGCAAACGATTTTGTAGCTTAACTTATTTATTTTAATTTTGTGTCTGCCTTATTGGTATAATCATATTTTATATTTTCAAATGAAAGAAAAAGTTAACATTTTTTAGATTGAATAACTTTATTTTAGATGATTATTCCTAATAAAAATTGTGTAAGGAAAAAAAAATTTACACTTCTCCTATAAAATTCTGACAAGAAATATAATTAATTACCTGCAATTTTTTAGGTCTTAAAAACAAACTATTTTTTTTAAAAATGAATCCAGTTTATTTCTTTAATCATTAGAAAATTTTTATAAAAATAATAGAATATAAAACAAGCTATTAAAATTTATAAATTTTTAAAAGTAACTCTCATACTTTATGGAGGAAATTTGTTTGGCTTAGAAATAAAAAATTTATATTAAAAATATATGAAGGTAATTCTATCATTTTTTTGCCATGGTTAATTGAAATGAAATATTATCAAATGTTGTATTCACTTTTTGGAAGAAATCTAGAACATATAAATAAACAATTTTCAATTTAATAATGATTTCTTAATTTATTTATTTATTAATAATGAAAAGTGGTTTTTTGCTATATTTTAAACATTTTATTTATCATAAATGTTGCAAGTAAACTTTGATTTACTTATCAAACAAAATGGAAAAAAAAGTAAATTTTAAGCAAATTTATTAATATTTATTTCATGTATTTAAAAATTAATAGATGCCTGAGTAAATTTGCTTTTAACTAAACTTAGTCAATTTACTTTTTAATCAGTGATTTTAATCATTCGTGAGTATCATAATAAATTTAATCGTGCATTAATGCATTAAATAAATGGAAAGAAAAATACAAATTAACTTAAACACACTCAATTAAAATTAGAAGCAAATATTATTCTCATAAAAATGTGATTTGATTTGATTTGTTTAGATTCCATAAAATCAGCAAATAAGCGTGAATGCTTATTAAGATTATTAGCCTTAGAAACCAAGACAGATAGATAATTAAACAAAATTTTAATTTATAAGCAAAATGATTGAATCAGTGATAATATAAAATAAAAACAACAAAAAAAAATAATAATTATTACAAAAATAAACAATAAGAAAATCTCTTAGGATTAAAAGCTAAAAAAACATTCAAATCGCTCTCTCATACATAAAAAAATTCTTAATTAATTAGACTAGTTTAATATTTATTTGTTAAAGTGACAAACTATTTGAAGATGTATCAATGTAACTTATCATAAACCAAATAATATTATTCATCTGATGATTGTTCAGTTTCGCGTGATGAAATAAACTCCAACAATTCATTAGCCAACAGCTCGTTAAGTTCACTCAACACGTTATAATTTCATTTAGTTTTTGAAGGATAAAATAAAAGTCTAGTAGTATTACCTTAAGAGAAAAAGAAATAAATAAGAAAACCAAACAACATCATATCAACTAAAAAATAGCAAAAAGCGCAAACCAATAAATATCAAAATGAAAATCCATCTAAATACTTAAAGCATAAAGAAGATTCCTAAAAAAATAGTAAGGTTAGCAATGATCAAGAAGGTATTTTTGATATACAAGCTTCGAACTAAGAGTATTAAGATCAGCAATTTAAGGTGTCTAACCAACTAAAAAAAAGTGTATCTATAGCCTTAATACCTTACCAAATAAGGTCTAAACAGAAATTTTAACTTTCATCTTGTTAAATAATTAATATGGATTGGTTTACATATGATCCTTATTAAATATTCGATCTAGAACATTATTCTGAATTTAATCCTATTGAAAAAGTAATTTATCATAAGAAGTAAGGTGTCTTTGAAATGTGTTAAAATTTCTTGTAGAGTCAGCCAGATAACTTAGAGTATATAACTAAAATCTTAGATTCAGTGAGTTCTTAGGATGCTCATATTTTGGCATCATTGATTAGATAGTCATTATAAAAAGGTATTTAGTATAACAAAGATATGAAATTTGATATCAAGCATTTAGAATAGTCAAAGTCAAGGACCCTTGAATATATAGAGTAATTAGACAGCTAAAAAATCTTTACATACTAATTATTGTATTTAAATCCTTCAGATAATTAGCTTATAAAAATAGTTTAAGGGTATTCAGATGGGTTTATTAAAATGATGGGAGCTACAAAATCTACTTTCTCTAGTTATGTGATGAAGCATAGAGGTTTTGAGCCATTTAGCGGGAAATCGCGATTAGATACTGTAATTATGGTACTAGCAAAAGAATTAGGAATTAATCCAAATTATGAGTTTTAAAATTAAGCAAATATAAAAACCTTTGATGATTATATCATATCTTTAACTCCAACCATCAATATTTAATATTTAGGATTAAGCTTTGCAGTTGTCGTTAGTAATTTTGATATAAATGTTAACCAGCTACTAAAACTTGAAGGTATTAGGAAAAAAAACAATTAATAACTCCTTTTCTAGTAGGATTTTCGTTATCAATGTTAAGCATAAAATTTTATGGAAAAATTTTATTAAGAATCAAATTGACTATGAAAAAATCCAACAATCTTAAAAATAAACAAACTATTTTAAATTTTGCTTTTCAATTTATAGTCTACTTACTAACTAAATATCTAAGCTTTAAATACTAATTTTCAATTTTTACACATTAAATCAATAACGATTAACTTAAATTTTAAAATAAAAACACCTTTATAGTCCTTAAACTAAAAAATATACTGCCAATACAATCTAGATTATATATTTTCATTTTATTCCAATATATTCTAGAATTTAATTTACTTTAATCCTACCTCTCCGCACAAATATATAAAAATATGGTATGATAAACAAAAATTAATTAACTAATATACAAAATTAGAATATTTATTTTTATATATCAACTGCATTCATACTCTATAAAATAATTTAATTACGTTTAATAAAAGATATCAATTTATTTTTATAAATAAGTCATTGATTTAAAAAATACTTAAATTAACACAAATACAATTTAGTTTTCGCTTTTTTTGACAATTGATTTTTATGATTCTAATAAAGCATAGATACCCTTCTTATATAAAAATATAAAATTTAATTTATCATCTTCATCATATTACAAAATTAAAATAAAATTATTAATTTATGATAAAATAAATTATAACTACACCAGTTATTAGGTTAGCAGAGTTTTTTTAAAAATTATGTGAAGTAATTATCAATATATATTTATTTATGATTGTATATAGAAATATATGTATGGATATAAATATACATGTTTGAATCACAAATTTTTTTGATAAATTTTTACTTCTTTTTAATAATAATAAACAAAGTATAGAGTTATTTAGTAGAATTAAAAATCAAGTGATAAATTACTAATAATTTCATTCATAAATATAAACATCCGTTTTTAAATTTTGAAAATGCTAAAAAAACAAATTTAAAATAACTAAGGCTCTTTAAGAAGTGGAGCTGAAAATATGCGAAGTAATTTTATGAAGTGCAATTACGATTAAGAGGATATATTATAGATGCCTTATAAACAAGAAGATACAATTTATCAGCTAACAAAAACTAATAAAAATTCTACTTAAAGGTAAAGAAGTGTACAAGAAGAACGTTATGATAATTACATTGAAAATGATGTTGAATCTTTTGTTGCTTACTAAGATGAATTAGGTAAAACTTAAGAAAGTAAAGTATTCAGCAAATATCATAGATAAGATGGAAATGATAACTCACATATTTATAATGATGATGCTTCGATATCACCAAATATAAGTTGTGTTTAATCATTTAAATAATCTAAAAAATAAAAATAAAGTGATTAATAAGATGATAAATCTGTTTTAAGTTAAACTTATAATTCAAATTGCAACTCAAACGAAATGAATGAAGCCATTAAAATAAAATTTCCTTCATAAAAAGAACACAACAAGAGCGATTTTATATTTTCTCCAAATCTCCCTCAAGCAGACAGTCCTATTACACTGTAACAAAGCAACAGCATAAATGCAGCAAGCTTTAGAAAATGTGATGACACTGAACTCGAGAGAGACTCAGCTGGATTCATTGGAGCATGGAAAAAAAAACCATTAATAATAATAACATAAGTAAAATAGTTCATTATACAAATTAAAAAATACAGTTAAGCTCTCAAATTCTAGCAAATGAAAATAAATCAATTTAAGCTACTTAAAGATAATGCATCAGATTTTCAATATTATTAAATGAATGAATATATTTTAAGTAAAAAAAATAAATACTCTACTTGGGATTTTAAAATGTATTTTTATTCCAAGAGATGGAATTAATTCTTACAAAAAAGAGACAAATTAAGGTAATTTATTCAAATATTTAAATCTGGAGTTATTGAACCTTCATCACTAAAAAAATTAATTTGGGAGATTTTCCTATTTATATCCATCTTGTGGTAAATAATATATATACCCTTTTAGATTTCTTTTTAAAACAACTAAGAAACAAATTTCTTCAGCACTCTTTTATAGCTTTAATTACCAGTAATCTTATATTTAGATATACTATTTAATTCTTTACAAGCATACTACTCAAAAGGAAAGCTTATATTTAACAGGACTAAAATTTTTTAGCATTACATAAAGAAAGGTATTGTTTTATAATTTTAAAAAAGACTTTTTAGAATAAAATCTATTTTATATAAAAATAAGCAGTGTTTTTAAATAATTTATTATAAATTAAAAAATAGGCAATTTTTTTATTGATTTAGTTGTGGCAACTATATTTTTAATTAACTCTTTTATTAAAATTCAATATCTGAACTATTTTATATTTGCTAAAATATTTCGTCTCAAGTCTATACTACGAAGCTTTGAAGAAAGAGTGAATTTAAGATATAAATACTCGAGCTTGGTAGATCTTTCAAATCTAATATTTTATGTATTATTTATAGCTCATTATTGTGGTTGCTTTTTTTTCTTAATTGCTGTAATAGAAAATATTTATGATATTTAACAAACATGGGTAGATTTTTATAATTTAAGTAAATAATTCTATTAAAAATTAAATATCTTTTAACACAACTAAATTATATTATGATTATGAAATTCCTTTTTTAAAGTTTAATTTGATTTGATTTATAATTAAATAATAATGGTTTCTTAAGGTTTACTTTGATTTTATTTTTTTAGGAACAGCAACTATTTAAGAACAGTATATTACATCAATTTATTGGGCAGTTATAACTATGATAACATTGGGTTATGGAGATTACGTACCCAAAACTAGTTATGAAAGAGTTTTTGTAATTTTTATCACTCTTATTAGTTGTGGTGTGTTTGCTTACAGTATAAATCAAATAGGTACTATTGTAACCAATATAACAAAGAAAAAATCTTAGTTTTAGTAAAAAATGGCATAAATTAGTGGCTATTTAAATGAAAGAGGTATTAAAAATAACATGATAATGAAAATCAAAGAAAACTTTGCTTATTTGCAGAGAGAAACAGAAAAAGATATGGAAGTTCACAATATTATTTAGACTTAGTTATGTAAATCTTTAAGAAAAGAAGTATTTAGAGAAATGTATATTTAGATCCTAAAAGGGTGTAAAGCTTTCAATCTTAATTATAGTGAATAGTTTTTGCTAAATTTGGCGCCTTTACTCAAAGAAAAAAAATTTTCTCCTGAAGAAATAATTTATGAATAAGACAACCCAAATTTAAATCTGTATTTTATAGTCAAGGGAGAGGTTTAACTCTTTTTGGATATGGGTGGGAAAAAAAGATAAATTAAAATACTATCAAAAAATGATGTATTTGGAGAATAACCTTTCTTTAGTTAAGCAACTTCTAATCATTCAGCCTCTTCAGTTAATGTAGTTAAAGTAGTTTATGTCAACTTATAGGACTTTTTAAGTGTCATCAAGTCCTATTAAAAAGATTTTGAAACATATTGCATGATGAAAGATAAGCTAAATTTATATTCTACTTCGAAAAGATTAGGTAACTAACTAACTAAATAACTAAATAACTATCTAATTATAACTTATTTTTTGACTAAATATTTATTGAAATTAAAATTTATCATTACAACTTTAAAATATAATAAATATAAAAATTATTAGGTTTAAAATGCTATAGCTGTGGCTAGTTTTAGCATCTTATAAAAGACTGCCCTTTCGTAAATTACATTCCAAATAAGGATAAAATTCTAATCAACTACAAAGCTGAAACAATATAAGAAAGGAATTCATAAAATCAAGAATTTAGAAAAAAAATAATGAAACATGATAAAGCTACATAAATTTAAAAATAAATTCAAGAAGAAATTGTTAATTTTTTGATAGAAAAAAATCTATATGAAAATTTAAATGAGTTGTTACAAATACTCAAAAATCAGGAAATTGTATTTGATCAAAAAAATGAAGATAAAGAATAAAAGACTTAGTCTTCTCATAAATCTCTTTAGGTATTATATCCAAAAATGAATAATGAATTTGGAACAGAAAATATTATTTAGGAAAATAACTCTCCAAATAAACCTCATATTTCACCTACTATACAGGGATCTTAATATGTAATATAGTAATAGTAGTAGAGAAAAATTAAAAGGACATAAACTTCTCAAATTGGTAGATCAGATTCTTTGGCTTTCTTAGGAGCCTCTTCATCAAAATTAGTAATTTTATTGAAATAATTTTTTGCAATATTAATGAAAAATTATATAAATGTTTATTTACAACCAAATCATAGACTATTATAAAAAATTTTACTTTTTAAAAAACTTTATAAATCGTTTAAATAAAATTTTTTTAATTAATATGGTTTAGCTCTCTGATTATATTCGTTACCCTACTTTAGAAAAAGGAGAAAGTAGAAAAAGCAATAAACACACTTCATTTCTTAATAGTTAGATGTTAAGAGAATCAAGCAGAAAAATAATTTTAGAAGAAATAAAGGAAAGTTAAAAATTGATATAATTAAGTGTATAATCTAACCAAAATAGCTAAAATACAAATAGTAATATTTCAAATAGCATATTAAATAATCAATCTTTATAAAGTCCTTATAACAGCAATATATAATATAACTAATAATCTTAATAGTTAACCTTTACTCAACAGAGTTAAAATAACTCAATATATGCTTATGGACCAAACTCAAATAGTATTTCTGTTAATAATTCCTAAAGCTATAATCAAATATAGTTCTAACCATAGCTTGATTAAATAAATAAAAATGTTTAAAATGACAGCAAATAAAAAAATGACTCTTAATCGATTAAAAATTATAAAAAAATATCCAGCATCACATCTTTGAGTCAAAAAAACAAGTAACAAAACAGTTTTTAAAACGAAAAAATAAAATAAAAAGAAAAAAAAGAAGATCAAATGCTAAAAGCAGTTAATTAACTAAGCTAGATATCAAATCCTTTTAACGTTTAAAGCCTACTGTATAATTAAGCGATTTAATTAACTTAATGGTCTAGCTTAGAGCTAAATAATTTTGAAAAAATGAATATCTATTAAGTTTTTTTCCCACATAATAACTACTCGATTACAATAGAAAACTATAACTATTATATAAAAAAGTACAAGTTTTTATAAAGAATGAACAGCTCTGTAATAAAAAAAGAAAAAATTAAATAACTAAGATTATCTATCTTTTTAAGCAAAGGAAATTAGAAGTTATTAACTCAAAATTCTTAAAAAACTAGAACAAAGAGCAAAAGCTAATATTATTCAAAAAATAACTGAAAAAAAATAATTTTTTTAAATATAAAATCAATAATTTATTTACTTATAAATTTTTATTTACATTTTTATTAAGAAGAAATATATTTATTTAAGGGTATCTATCTGTCTTAATGTCTAATTAATTACTAATATTCTCTTTTTACTTTTTAAAAATTTTTTTGATAAAAATTTTGTCCTAAATAAATTTCCGAATTAATAACTAAGATGTAACAATTTCTTTAAGGATAATAGTTAATTAAAACTGAGAAAGTTCAATCAAAAAAAAAACTAAATTATTAAAAAAATTAATAAATAAATTAAAAAACCTCACTTTGTATCACATAATTAGTAAATTTCTAAAATAACATTAAATTCTGTTAACAATAAATAAATTATTAATTTATAAAAAATGCAAATTTAAGGATTGTAAATTTAATAAATAAATTTTATTTTTTAATTTAGTTTGATAAAATAGTTTGTGATATAAAAAAAATAATAAATTTAAATTTTTGATTATAAGAAATTTATTACAAAATAAATAATTTTGAAAGACTATCTTTAATTATTAAAATAAATTGTATAATTTATTCATTATTCATCTTCACTTTCGCATCTATTCATTAAATTAGTTAGTTTTTATGCTACTTAACTAGTATTTTGATTAATAGATGGTTTTTAAATTTCTTAACTAGCTTCAACTGATTAACTTGACAATAAGCTTGTGTTTAATTATTTTTTTTGGTCTTCTTCTTCTATAATTTCAGCACTTTACTCTTTTTATGGTACCCATAGAGAATGGGATCTTTTAGGCGTCCTAATTGGCTATGGTAGTTTCTTTGATGTGCTTTGAAGCATTTTAGTACTGAAAAGCATAGAATTACTTTCCTGTGTATTTTAAAATAGATTAAGCTACTTCAAGTCTTGTTATTATTCCATTTTTAAAATTCTTTTGTTACTTACTTTGGTATTTTTTAATATCTCTTGTAAAATTATACTCAATTTAGATTCCATATTTACTATTTTTTTATTGAGGTTATCAATTTCTTCATTTGTTTCTTAATTTTAGTTAACAGATAGTGATCTATTTAATGGGAACCAGGAAATATCTTTGATTTTAACTTTTTAGTATATCTCTGATTCTGCTCCTAGCATATAGTTACGATTCTTTTCTTTTAAATAAGAAATATAGAATATATAATTCCATAAGTTATGTTCAACATCGATATGATGCTAGAACCCTTAATTATGTGGAGAAACTTTATCTATAATTGCACGATCTATGCTACAAATTAAACATGAGTCTTTTTTATTTCTCTTTTTTTAATCTTCTTCATCTCTTAATAAACCAAAAGTATCTATGATAATACCAGTAACTATACTAAATAAGAGTGTAATTATAATAAAAAAGTAGAGGAAATTCCATAAACTAAGCCAGTCTAAACTATAATTTGCTCCATAATATTCTAGGAAATCATCAGGACCATTAGGCGCAAAGAAAGAAGTTATACCTCCATCATTTTTGTACATATAATCAAAAATTACACTATAGCATGTTAATAAATTATCACAAAGAGTATTAAATTGATCCACAAAGAAGTAAAAGGCCGTTAAGCTGAACATATAAGTGCAGATAAAAAATAAGAACATAGTTAATAAAATGGACTCGCGAGGTCTCCATACAGCATGCAAAACGCTCCTAAGCATGGGAAATCTCCAAAAAACATCAAAAAGCAGGAGTGCAAGGAAAAACTCATTAAATAACCCAAGCAGAGCTAATGCGAAATAAATCGAAAAATATAAAAGTTCAGTATCCTTAAATATATAGCCTACTCTTATTTTCAAGTTTCTTAATTTCTAAATAAAAATTTTTAATTTATGAGAAAAATATAAAAATTAAAATAAATTTTACTGTTTTGTAATCAGTTCTAATCACATTTTAATGAAGAGTATGTTCGTTGATAGAAAATTTTTTAAGATCCATTTATTAAATTTTCTCAATACTTTTTTTATGGGTTAGAGGGATCTTCTTGAGGAGGAAAAAGAATAGCACAAGAGAAGCAAGAGTAATTTAAAATAGCTAAAGGAATAACTAAAAATCTCGATCCTATCCAATAAATCTGAAATAGAAATCATGTTCTCCAGGTATATGCTTTAATGTAAGGATTATGTAAATATTCTAAGCTATACATATAAAATAAGATAAATTTTTCCACAAATCAAGGTTATTCGAAAGAATAGTAATAGATTAATTTTTTTCTAATTTAGCTTTGAATAGATGCTCAAATTTTAGACGTTCTATCAAGCGATCAGCATATTTCACTATTGATTCTACTTTTGTATGAGGAGAATAAAAATTTAAATGTCTTGTAACTTTCGATTTTAGTGCATTAGTCAAACTAAAGCAGTGAGGGTATTTGGGGAACGATATTTTACATAATTTATTTTCTTATACTATTTCAATTTAGCCTGTATATTTTGAAAAAAACTCAAGTGACTTTTGTTTTAATTTATCAACACCGGAGCTTATTTTTTCTTAATTCATTTTATTTGAGAGGACTTTTCTTCTAAAAATAAAACTATAAATTTTGGTAAAGAGCTTAGCAAAATCTTGCAATAAATTCTATAATTATGAAAAAATGTTTTTCTTAGACTGTATTTAAAAAACCAATGCTTCTCTTTTTGCAATTTCATTGTAAATATTTTCTATTTCATTATTTCCAGCTTAATTCAAAATAAAACGAAGTATCCTAAAAATTTTAAATCCACTATCGATGATAAAAGAATCCTTTAAACTTTCTCTTAATTTTAGTTCTTTGTTTGTTGTTTTATCTAGCTCATTTCTAATTTATTTTACATCTTTGATCTAAAATAAATCAAAGTCATAATACTTATCTTCACCATAAAGAATCTAAAAAAGACAGTAAGTTCAAATAAATATAATAAAATTAAAAAATTTACCTCATATTTTTCATAGATCCAAGCTAAGTTTACTTTAAGCAAATTGGGAGGTATATCAGACATAATTCTTCTTGTGATAATTTTATTTTCACCATCCATAAGAGACTCTAAACAACTTATGCATTTGTTTTTTATCATCGACAACATCCAAACACTATATTTAATTTACCATTTTTAAAAAATTCTCAAAACAATAATCTTTAATTTTTACCCATAGTTAGATGGATGATCTTCTCTGAATATTTATGATAGCTACTGAGAATATAATGGACAGAATTCATATGCACTTTGAATAAGTTATTTTTATCTCTCTGTAAGCTTTTCCTTAAAGAGCGAAATATTATTTTGAATTACATTTACCTCTTAGGTGCTTTGATTAATTATCTAAATGATACTTTATTCCTAATTCAAGAAAATCTCACTAGAGTTTTACTTTTTATAAACTTTAGTAAACTATTCATAGCTGTCATTAAGTTTTAGAATATAGGTTGCAATCTCAAGGAACTTACTTTCTGCTAATTCTATTTAATTTTCTATACAGGGTCCTTGAATTAGCAGGATGAGAGTTTCTAAAGCCATAACAGCTTTATCGCAAGTGACTGCATCCGTGTAGTAAGATTATCCATCTTTGAATTTTGATTAAGAAAAACTTCTTCCACCCATATATCTTTTTTATTAAAATACGCATTTATATTTAAATTTTATTAAATGAATATTCTTACGCTTCGACTAGATCAACAATATGGTTCAGTATGTTATGATTTGTTTTTGATCTGTACTAATTCAGTAGATATCTCTACATTTTAGTATAACAGTTTGCTATTAGCAGTTGTAAGAACCTCAATATTTTTTAAATAGAAAATTTTCTGTGCTTGTTATAGGAGAATTTCAAAGATTTGCATTCTGCTTCAATCTTTTAAGAGATACTCAGATTCTCAAAGGCTTAAAAGTGAATTTCTTGCCTAATAATTTCAATTATTTTAGCTAAAAATATTTCTATATTAGGTTCTGATGTCATTTACTGGTAAATACTCTCTTGAATAGCAAAATTAGCACAATTAATACCTTGGATCATTCTTATTCCTAAACTGATAAAGCTCTTAAATAATTTACCGATTTCATTTTTTTAGCAAAAGAATTAAATCATGGCTTTGATAATACCATTCTAATTTAAGAAGTTCTACATATAAATTAATTCCTCATTTGTTGTACAGCTATCTAGTATATCACAAAGTAATTAAATAGTATCAATCAATACATCATCTTCAGGTAATATTATACTGTCATCATCTTCCAAATTATCAATAGCATTTTTCACAAAATTGACTAATTTTTTGAGAAAATTTTGCAAAGACAAATTATTAGATCTATGACTATCTCTTAGTGCATGGACTAAGTGATTTCTTTCTTAAATAATAAGATTTTAGTTTACAAAGTCAGAAGTTAATAAATGCAAGATAATATTAGCGACTTCTTGTCTAATTCTTTATTCTTCCCCTTAATAAATAAATTATCCATCTAAAGGTTAGATAATTCCTTGTATCCTACTATCTTATATTATGCGAGACTTGAACTCTAGTTTGGATTATTTTTCAAATTAGTTTTATTTCTTTGAATTTCTTTCTTTCTAGTACCTTTAAATTTCTTGCTTACAATCGAACTAAAAGTCTATGTTTACCTTAAATATCTCTTGGAATTCAATCAAAACAGGTAAAATCCTTCAATTAAAAAATAAAAATTTTATATCAAATAAATAAAATTTATTTATAAAAAAATTAAAAACTTTACATTTCTTTTTATTTTTTGTAAATTTCTTCTGTTATTTCGTACTCACAAAAAACTGCAACTTCTTTAGCAAAGGAGGCAAATGCCTCATAATCTTATCTATTATTAACATTCGCTTATTATGAATCATATCCTAAAAAACACTTGAATGTATCCATAACAAATGGTATCAAACACTAAAATAGATATCTTATATAATCTGTTTAAACGAGCATAATTATTTCCTCAATCATCTATGTTTAGGGATCTAAGTAATAGATTTCACTTTCTTTTCTTTCTTCATATATAGCTTAAACGTTAATTTCCTTTTTCTCTAAGTCTTTTTATGATATTTAAAATTTATTGCTTGATTAAGAAGAAAATATTTAAGCGTCATGTTTTCCTTCTTCTTCTGAATTAGTATCACAAGCGTAATTTATATTGAATTTCATTTAGCTTGTCCTGTGGAAAGTTTTAATAATGTCATTTTCTTGGTTTTAATCATCTTTCTTGTTTTCCCCAAATTCAGATATCACTTCAATTTTTTCATCCTTTTTGTCATCCGACGATTACTGGTTTATATTATTTTATTCGCTTTGGTCTTTGTCTTCCACTAATAAAGAATTGGATGGACGTATAATGTTTTTGCTCAAAAAGCTATTATTTCTTGAGTTCGATTAAAAGGAAGAATTTTACTTTTAAACATTCTAAAGATACAAAATTTTTTCTTTGCCAGTTCTAGCATTCATAGCTTCACTGTAGCTTACTAGCATACTGTCTTTAATTTAAAAGAGCTTTTTAGTTTCTTTCTTCAAAAATTATATCAAAAATTCATTTTTATTTAATTTGGCTGAATTTTTTTCATTTGATAACCAAACTTACTTAACGAATTCCATTAATGTAGTCTTAAAATAAGTAAAGAGTATCGTTTGATCAATTACCTTATCAAATATATCATCTAAAGAAAGCAATTTATAAATATAATTTATATTGATTAATTTGTTGAATATGTAACGAGTCTTTGTAGGATTAAGACTATATTTTAATATTTAATTAGCTATTTCAATACTCTTTTAGTTATATAAAAAAGGGAGATCATCTACTTTATATGACTTCTCAATATACTGTGTGTTATCGCCTGAAAGTAGATCTATAACATTTTAATCTATGTTAAATTCATACTGGCCAGGTAATGATTGTACTTAAATATTTGATTATGAATACCCTTACTACTTGTTAACAATGCTTTGTTAAATTGAATTCTCTTGTTATATGTTTATTATGGTCTTTTAACCATTAAAATCCATTAAATTCTCTGCATTTGTTTTTTTGAGAGGAGATTGCTCTAAATTACTATTCTTAGTTATTAATTTAAGACCAAAGAAATTAGTAAATTCTTCACTCTCCAATAAACACTTAACAAGTTTATCAATATTTTAATAAGCAGGTTCATCGTGATCTTAAATTAAATATTCAAAAAATTTAATAATTTCTAAGTTATTATTTAATCCATTTTTGTAAATTTTAGTGATATATTTCTAAATTTGCTCAGGTGTTATGCTATTGCAGATCTTTTTATTATCCTTCATAATTTCTCTTAATAGCTTATACTAACCGATATCAAATTAACCAACATTTTATAGAAACAGCTCAAAGTATTTGAATAGTACTTTCTAGTTAAATTTATTTCCCTTTACAAACAAGAACAAAAAATTATAACAACTTTCATACATTTTAATAATCATTTATTGATCTTCTAATTAATTAGCTGAGTCTTTATCAATTTAATTTATATTTTAAATCATTATATTTCCTTCTCTTATTATACTTAGAATATTTTTATGCATTTTTAAATTTCTTAGCATCTGCTGCCTACAAAAGAAGATTTAGTCTTCTTTAATTAGATCGCTAAGTTGCTTTTTTGAAACTAAGCATTTTTCTTTCTAATCATATTCTGCAGCCTCATAAAAAGCTAAATTAATTTATTACATTAACATATTTATCTATTTTTATATAAAAATTAGTAAATTAATCAAATCTAAATTAAATAAAATAAATAAAAACCTCTCCAAATGCAGTTTTCTAAGAAACAATAGCTTTCATATCGTTTCTAAACCAGAGTTCCTGCATTTCTGATATGAATTAGGTCTTTATATTTAAAAATTTTAGGTACTTAAATACATAATATTCCTTTTCATTCATGATTATTTGTAGTTTCTTGAGCTATCTAATAATATTTTTTCTTTAAGAAAAATTTGCAAACAAATTCTTTAAAATTAAGTGGCTTGTTTCAATATTTGAAGAACCCAAACTAACAAAATTTTGTAAAATAATATTAAAGAATGAGTTATTTTTAAGCATATCATCAAACGTTATGTATTTTGATAATACCTCAACATCTTTTTTTGAAGAATCTCTTAAATTGCTCATTTACTTAAGCATGCTTAAGTAATACTTAGGACTGTTATTAAAATTCATAACACTTTTATTTCTATCTTATTTTTAACTACTTTATGCAGGGTTTTGCTAATTTGAATTATTATCGATAGTATATGATTATACATTTTATAATTTTGGCAAATAATTAGATAATCGATTTTATATCATATTTTTAATGTAAAGATCGAAATCCATTTTGCTTGTGCATTCAGATGGGCGCTAAAACTTTTAGAAAACTAAAGTTATGAATTCAACTATTTATCTCAAATTGCTGTCAATTTATATTGATTAGTAAAATAAAAGAGTTTAAAGAACTTCTTAAATGATCATAAGCTTCCACTTCTCTTGATCATGCAAAGCTTTCTTGTGTTCTTTATTTCTAATGTAAACATTTCTTAATTTCTCAAGTATTGGAACCTTTGTTTAAGTCTATAAAATAAATAATAGTGACTAAATAATTTGAAAAAATTCCTCTTCTTCCTTCTCAAAATAATCAAAAATAATCATCATTCTCGCCAATTTTACAACATAATAGCTTAGCATATCACTCTTTAGTTATCCATGCTCATTATAAATCTAACATCTTAGGTAGTTAACTACAAATTACTTCATTTCCTATTAGTTGGTCATAGAATCTTTTTATATAAAGTTGTTGAGAGAAAACTCGTGAAATACAGCAGAATTACTATTATCTTATTCGTTATTGAAAATGGATTTATATTACGGTCTGATGTTTTTAGTTAAATTATTTTGATTTTAATCTTTTATCTAACTTGGTTTTTTAATTTCATTTTCATCCACTTCTTCAATTTACACACTTTCTTCATTCATTTTTTATGACTAGAATCGCTTTCTACCTCCTAAAAGGCTCTTTTATAAATCCTATTTGGTTTCATTAATTTAACTTTTATTTTAAAAAAGATCACTTTAGAACCTTTAGCTTCGACTTAATACTCTTTTGCTGCCTTGTTCATCTAAATCATACTAAATAAACTCAGAACCAATAGATATATTTAAATTTTGGTTTTGATTGTTTTCATTTTGTTAAGGCTCTTAGTTTACATCAATGTTGTAGCATATACTATTATTAATATTTGGATTACTTTATTTTTTGGGTTTAGTTTTATTGTGTTTGATTGAATTTAAAGTCTTTGTGTAACAAGGTCTTTAAACCTTATTTCGAGGACAACTATCAAAATGAAGATTAATCAGCAAATTAAGCAATATAGCTCTCAGTTCTGTTTTAATGTTTTAATTTGTTATATAATGGGTTAAAGCTTAAGCAGTTATTTAATCTTGTAAAAGGAGCTTTATATTTTATGTGTTATTTTAATATACAATTAAATGATAAAATAGTTGCTTACTTTATTTTGGTAGTTTCTTCCCTTACATAAATTAGCATAAAGCCCTAGTTATTTAACTAAAAACTTATACTCATTAGACTGAACTTTACTTTTTTCAAAGTAAATCTATTCTTTATCTAAAAATTCCTTAAGCTCATAAGTTTTCTATTTTTAAAATTAAAATTTCTTTACTAGCTTAATAAAAAATGTGAATTTACTTTGTAGATTTAAATAAAAATTTTCTTTTCTTTGCATTAAATTTGAATGATCATTTTTTATAAATTTTTAGAAGAAACGGGGTCCTCATTTGCCAATAATTCCTAACCTATAATAAGCTGGTTAATGTTGAGAGCTTCTCCTTTACAGATGCACATGATATTCATAACATCCATAAAGTTTGCCCAATAATTATTGCTATTTTAGAAAACTTGTTCATATTTCTTGAAAAAAACATTCACTAAAGTATTCTTTTTTTTATTCACTTATTAAATTTACTAGTTATTATTATCCAACCCATTTTGTGATTTCCAATCAGCTGATAAAAATCTATTATGATTACCTTTTTAAAATTGTTTTAAATTGAGCTTTTGCAATGTTCTTGATATAGTATTTTTCACTTCAGATAGAGTATGATAATTCTTAGTGTGAATCATATTTAAAAGTTTTTCGTTATTTTTTAAGATAGATATAATTGCATTTGTTGCACCAATTGAATATCCAACGTGGTTTCTAGAAAAAAAAAATAATAAATTATTTTTGAAACAAAATATTTTTAATATTTGATAATTCAAAATTAAAAAGTAATTTTACTTGAAAAATGTAAAATAATTAAAAGTGTTTATTGAAATCCCACTGTTGTTTTTGCAAAGAGTTATTATGAGAAAGTAAATCAGTTTAGAAAGCTTTTTAAAGGTTTCATAGAGCTAAATCTATTCATCTTTTTAATCTATTTTGGACTTAAATTATTTAATTTGTGTACCTCTTCTTCCACTGCAAACAGAAAGAAATGATTATTGGTTTGACTACGCTTTTGATTCTAAATTATTAAAATCATCTTCACTTTTTTTCATAGACTAGAGGATATCTTAAATTTTTTTGTCTGATTAGTATCCCCACATTGCTTTCAATAAATTAACAGAATACTCTAATATACCTCTTTTGCTTGATAAGTTCTACTTTTCACTATTAGGCTATTAATAAATAAATAAAATTAATTTGATAGCATTTTTTTTGGTAAATAATTTGATAGCATTTTTTTTGGTAAATAATTTGCTTACTTTGTATTTTCGGAAAATCGAATTATCAAATGTTACATCTTAGCTGAATTCAATGTCTAAAAGATATTTAATTTAATGCTAAATAGAGAGGCTGAGTAAGCTAGTAAATTCAATGAAGTAAGGGTTTGTAAATTAAAATATGTTTTTCTATGAAGTTTCATCCTTTTTATCACTTATAAGAGCATAGTATTTGATGAGAGGAATTGCTGATGAAATAAGTTCAAAAGTACTTGTTAAATAATTGCTCTCAATTAATTCTAACTCTTCAATTTACTAAAATCTTAACACATCTCCTTCACAATAATTCTGTTAAATAATTTATTTAAATATATTTTAAATCAAATAAAAATTGTACCTCTTTCAGGACTATTTATTTCATATCAATCTTTTCATTTTCTTCAGAGGTTATTTCAGTTTTTTTTTTATCCTAACTGAGTTACTTTATTGAACTTATCTGAATTTTAGGTAAAAAATTTTAATCAATTATGCTTTAAGTCATTGAGCTATAAAAAGAGTTTCTTTTTGGAGTTTCTAAAACTGGCTAAGCATCATTATATTGCCTATTCTAATCATATTACTGTTTATTTATATCTATTTCGTTATAAAGTTAAGCTGAAAGAGTTTAATTGGTTTCACTGTGTACTATCCTAAATAGGGAATTTATTTTGATTAAATTAAAATTTTCTAAGTTTTAATACACCTAGCCTTCTTCTCCTTATAATTCTACATGCTAATATTCCTAACAAAAGTGAAAATGACATTCTGATTCATCACTTATAGATGTTTTTAGCTTAATCTATCTTGTTTTTTTTTTACCAATAGTTTACTCTTTAATATGGAGGAAAACATTTTTATTTAAACATTTTAAAACTACTTTCTCCTCCCATCTTATGAAACCGCCATCAAGAGGATTCAGAGGATTAATAATCTTCCAAAGCGTATTAGACTTATTGAAGTTTTAATCATCTGTAGGTTTACACAATATAACTTCATCTTTTTTTTGTCTCATTTAATTATTTATTATTTGATTATTTTTTTAAAACATTTGATTTGACCTAAATCCAGTAGAGCTTATTTTATTATCATTTTAATGGATTTCATTATCATCTTCATCATCTATTTCTTAAACTATATTAGATTCCTCATTGATCTCAGTTGATTTGAACTTAATAAGCTAATTATCCTCATACTAGAAGAATGATTCAGTTTCAATATGAAAAATCTTCACAACATCACCATATCTTAAAAATAATTATTCATTCTCATTATTCATATTACTTATTCCTTTTTATGTTCCCTTTATTTTTTGGAAGTAACTTAAATTTTATCTATAAGGCTCAATATGTAAACAAGTTTTTTAGTTAGGGGAAAAAAAGAAATCTCCAAAAAAGCATGTGTAGTTTGTGAATTTAGGACTAACAAAAGATCCTCCTCCAGGAGCTATATAGTTTGAAGAATTAACATATTACATGGCTTCATCAATAACAAGATAGATATCTTTATTACTGGCAGTTGCAAAAGGGACAGCTTAAATATATATAAATGAATTGTAGTAAACAGTTTTAGTTTAAACTACTTAGCTTTTAAATGACGGCGAAATTTTAAAGAGAGAGGGTTTTGAACTCAGAATAAGAGAATAATATTCTAAGTCTTCTTCTACTAGGTACAAAAATTTGTTAGATCTTTTATGTCTAAGAATGAAATTTTGATTAAAGCCTAGTGTTACCTAATTTTCGTAATGCTCTTCACCACTATTTAAGTATGTCTACTCATCACTACCCCTATTTTTATTTGTTTTAGCTTTAAGTTAAAAATATTCATCACTTTACATATTTTATTGATTCATTTTTAGCACTCCATCTTTACTTTAATTAGAGTCATATTACATGTAAGAGTCAGCGCCAACTCTATTTTAAGAATAGCTTTCAAATTACTAAGCTTATAAATTCTTATTTAAGCTATCTTAAGTATCATAATTATTCTTCTAATTGAACAGGGAGGGACTAGTTATGCTTTAAGTATTTACTAGAGTTTTATTTTTGTTGAAATTTTAATTTTTATCAGATAGGTCAGATTGATTATCCTAGTATCTGTTTTATTTGCTAAAATATTATATTGGATTACAAATTTCAAATATTGAACCATCAATATCAGTTAAATTATCTCCTGTATCTTCATAGTCTATACACTTAATGCAAGATGGATAAAATCCTTCTGAATGCATATACTTTTTACTTCCTATTCCTTCTACTTTAATGCAAATAAGATCACCAAAATATATAGGTTGCTACTACAAAGTTTATAGCTATAATACACCTTCTTAGAGCTATTAATTCAAAAAAGGGTCATTTTAATTAATTTGTGGATCCCTATTTTGTTGCATATTGAATTAGCCTTTAAAAAAGTTATGTTTAATAATGAGTTTTTGTACTACTATATTTTGTCTTAATCTTTATCTTTGTGTAATACTTTTTTTATAAAAATTAATGTTAAAGTTAGTGTTATTGTCAATGATATTATATTAGATAAAGAATTTCTAATGAAATAAGTAAATGAGTGATTAACTTAATTTGTCATCATCTGGTAGAGAGAGTAAGAAGATAACAAATTAAATCTTAATTTATGTAATTTTTACAAAAATCGATTCCTTTCATTATAATAAAATAATATTGATCATAAACATACAATATTATCCAAGAAAGGGAAGTAAGCCGAAATTATTAAAAAAAAGAAATTATATAAATTATTTACACATTTTGGAACAAAAATAAATAAAACAGATAAAATTATAAAATTTTTCAATAGGTTTTATAAATATTTGAATTTATTAGATTTACCATAAATTTATATAATTATTTTAATTTTAATTAAGGAATATTAAATATTTTACACAGATATTTTATATTTATCATCTTAGTTACAAAAAAAAATTTGTTAGCAATTAATGGTTTGTGTGAAAAACAACTAAGCTTCTAAATATATTTTTAATTTTCATATATTTTGAAATATAAATTTGTATTCTTCTTTAGATTACACTTTATTAAAGGAATTTAAGAAAGAAAAAATTGTTTCTAAATATTTTTAATTTACTTTTTCTTGATAAGGTAATTGAATAATAAATAAATAAATAAATAGACTTACAAATGTAAAACTAAATTTAAAGTATTTTACAATAATCAAAAATATAAAACAAATTTATTTTGAAATAAAATTAAAATTATTACTCATTTTTAGTTGATTAATACATCATAAGTGAAGGTAGATATTCGGATATTTATTTATTTATTTATGAAAAATAAGTTGTTGTTTAAAATTGGTTTTTTTAAAAATATGATAATTTTATTAATCTAAACCAATTAATATTTATTAAAATATTTTTATTTATTTTAAAATTAAATGAAAATGAATTTTAAATTTTGAAGAAAATTAAGTTACAGATTGAAAGTAACTTGACAGAATTATTTAAAATACTATTCAAAATATTATAGATGTATCTTTCCTTATTAATAATATAATAAAAGATTTATTTCTTGGGAAGTATCAAATTTACTGCAATAATATATAAGATATATAGAGAAAATTTGAAGTTTGCAAAAATATTGAATCTTCTTTTTAATTTTATTTTTAATAAATAAAAAACATTTATTTAACTCACTAATTTAGTTAAAATCTAAATTATATTTGATAAATTTTTTCAAGAAATGAGAAAATAATTATAATCAATTTTAGAATTTATTTTATCATAATCTATTTCATAAATCATATCTAAAAGTTAAATTAAATTGATTTTTTTTAAATTTAAAAAAATCATTAATAAATAATGCTAATTTTAAGGAATTATTATTATTAAATTAAAAAAGATAAAGAAATTGACAAACTCTAAATTAAAAAGATTAACTAATTTTTTCTGTTTAGCTATAAGATTTAATCTTTTTAATATATCTCAAAATATAGTATTTGAACTTTTTATTTTTGTGTTGTAAAGATAAACAAATATTTCTATTAAATTATATATGCAATAGTTTGCCATTTTAGTGTTATTTAAAGAGTTTAAACTTAAATTATAGAGTATGTATATATACGATTAAAATTCAATTTTTTAGATAGATAATCATAATATTTAAAATTTAGTATTTAATTGTTTATTCTTATTTTTATAAGATTTATAAATGGTACCATAAGTTTTTGATTCATCGTTCTTCAAATTATGTCATATCCCAATACCAAATTTTTGAAAATAATGAATTTTTTTTATGGATTCCTCGATTTTCGTTTAGACTTTTGAAACAAGACTTTACAGTAATTGAATGCTCATACAACTAATAAAGCAGTAGTGTGATTACACCCTATAGAGGCTTACAATATATCCTCACAAGGAGAAATGGCTGCCATTTGGAAATTTTTAATTTCTTTATCTCTTACACCTAGACTGTAAAATATATTTTACCCATTTACATACAATTTTATATTATTATTATTGTTTTAAATTAATAGACTTGAATAAGTGTTTGTGTAAAATTTATCAAATTTGGTAACTAATTAAGGTTTTTAAGTTAGGCTGCTTAGTTCTTCGTTTTGATCTTTAGGTAGGCTTAAATTAATTTTACAGGCTTGAACATCAAAGGGTAAAGTAGTATTCCCACCCCATTTTATTAAAATCTACTCTCCTGAAGTTTTATTCTGCATGATTGCACAATTTTAAGTATCTGAGCAGAAGATTTTCTTAAAAGAATAATTTGAACTATTATTTGGAATAACAGGAATGGGATTAGCAAAGTTACGAACCTCTTTATAATATGTACTTGAACATATTTTAGACCCATAGTTATCACCCCATCCGTAACAGGTATTCTTTTCTGTAATAAATAAACAATGGTCCTTTCCACACGAGAATGAAATAATTTTTTCATCAAAATCTATTTTCCTTGGAATAAGTTAATTTACTCCTAAGTTGCACATATTAATAGTGTTATTATATAGGTCTTTGATAGGTTCACCTTGTAAGGCTTACTTTTAGCCAAATGTGTAGATGGTTCCATCACAACTTTGACAAACAGTAAAGTTATCACCACATTGCACATTTACAATAAATATTTTGTCAGAATGCAAATGGTCAATTCTCTTTGGTTCTACATATGATATGTAATTTTAGTGACCAAGTTAACCATATTTATTTTTTCCCCATGAGTAAACTTTGCCATCTATAGTGACTCCTACCTATTTAATAAATAAATAAATAATTATATATTCAATATATATAATAAGTATTAATTACGTAATGAGATTTCCCTTGAGCTATTTTTGTGAACACTAGAGGATGCTAAACAGGCATAAATGGTTAATTAATTAACTCCTTACTTGTTTCTTCTTTGAGTTTATCAATATTGCATTCGCTTATTCCTTCATTGAAACATAAAATGTTGCCCCATTAAATGACTTATCCATTTTTTAAAAGGATCAATGCAGATTTACCAAAATCAATTGATTAGATTTCAATTTATTTAAACAATTCGCTATCAGGAGAAAGGAATTTTTTAAGAGCTTGCTAACTTTAACTATAATTAGATTAGAATAAATCACAATCAGAAAAATAGTCAGTGTAAATAAGCTCACAAGAGCCAGTCAGTAGCAAACGTGTTTTCTTCTAAATGATTTTTGGCATATTTAATCTGAAAATGTGGGTTATTTAGCTTTCTAAATAGTCATCTGGTGATTCATTCTTCCAAGACAAAGCAGTTATAGCAATTTAAAAGTAAGATGTTTCTTCGTCAAATCCTAAAATGTATGACTAACATACTTGTTTTAAGTCTATCTCAATAGTACTCGATTTAGAGGAGCATAAAAATTGCTTTTCAATAGTTTAATAGATTTCTCCTAAACAAATTTTATTTTTAAGTTGCTCATCTGAAATTTCAATATCAGTATTTTTCTTTTTCTCTTTAATTAAGTAAACCTTGTAAGTTTATATTGGAAAACTATTCTAATCTGGCTCATGAACTTTTAATTCTAAGACATAATTATTAGACATTTTTATAATTTCATACCCTTTTACACTTTCTGCAGGGAGGTATAGAGACTACATAATTTCTTCTTTTGTCATATCTTTTTGCTCTTCTTCTACTTCTTATAGTATTTCTTTTTTATCTTTCTTAATTTCTTTAGTTTCAAATTATTTCTTTATGATATCAGCTAAATCTTCTTCTTCTTCTTACTTATTTGCTGCTACTTTGTTTTTATTTTTTTTATTATTAGTGTTACTACTAGATTTATTGCTATCTGTATTTTTAGCTTTAGTGTTATTACTTTTGTTACTACTTTCTTAAACTTTTTAGGATGAGCTTTTGTTCTTTTGTTAGTTTTTCTAAGAATCAACAGCTTCAGGATTTTCATTATTAGGTGCTATTTGTATTTATTGTGAATTTTAATTTTATGCCAAAAGATTTAATTCTTATTAATTATTTGGCTAATTTGAAGTTTTGCTCTCATTTCTAGAAATTTCAATCAATTCAGCAATAGTTTTTCCATGGGATTCAGGACGGGCAATGATGATATCTTTTGTATTATCTTTGTACTGAAGTTCTAATTCTTTTGAAGCATTGATAAAAATATCTTTTGAAAATGAAGATATCTTATCCTTGTAGCATTATAGTAGCCATTTATTTTTACTATTTTTAAGCTCATTTAACAATTTTTTAATATAACTTTCTAAATCATTGTCTACTTAATTAGCTTCATTCTCCTTTTAGGATTTTTAGTCTTGAAATAATTTTTTGTCTTCTAAATTTTAGTATGTTATAGCCTTATTAATTTTTCTCCTCAGCGAAGAAATTTCATCCTCTATTTCAGTTTTCTTCTTTTCTAAGTCAAAAAACTCTTTTGTTAAATTGAATTTAATGCTTGAATTCTATGCTTAAGCTTCAACCTATACCTATTGCGACATTTCTTTTTTATTTTTTACTTAACTAAGAATTATAAAATTGTTTAATTTTTTAACTTTAATAAAAATAAAGGAGCTATTAGGATATTATTTAAAGACAAATTTTTATCAAAAATATGAGACATTGAATTAATAAATAAAAATATTTTTATTTTTAATTAATTAAATAAATAAATAAAATACTTTTATTTTATATATTCCTAATCATAAATAAACATAAAGTCCATAAAATAAATTTTATTATTTGGAAATTTTGTTCTATCATATATTATTCAATAATATAACAATAATAATAATAATAATAATCTATTATAAAAAACACTCTAATCAAATTAAATAATACAAAAAACCATTCATATTTTCATTTGATTAGAAAATTAATAAAATTAATAAAAAATCTTGATAAAGAAATAGTAGAAAGAAAGTTAATCTAATTTCTAAGTGTTTTTTTATATTTTTGCCATTAAAAACTCTTTATTTTCAATACTAAAGGAATAATTAAAAGAATTTTACATATCTATTATTTCTTAAGTAAATCTAAATAAATATTTTGAGATGGAGACACATTTAAGCATTAAAATATCTTATCTATCTTAATAATAAACTTTATTAACACCAAAATAAAACAATTCAAAATACTTTTATTAAAATTTGCAAAGTCAAATAAAAATTAAAATATATTTTTGAATTTGATAATATAGTTAACAGAGAGAAAGCTATTATTAATTATAAAAGATCAGATGAATTGGTTTATGCCATAAGAATTGAGAATGAATAATTATAACAATAGACATATGAGTAAAATATAATTACATTTATTAATATATATATTATTTATTAATTATTAGGGCAAGTAATAAAAACCATTTAGGTATAATCTATACATTCTTTAACCATAATTTAGTATCTTTTTAAGTAATATTATAAAACTTAAAATCGATAGATATATTTATTTATTTTTTGTTTGATTGATTGATGATTTTTTTCTTTATTATGATTTCATTTAATCTACTTTATATAATAAAATCTATTATGTACAATTAATTTTTCTTTAATTAAAGAAATTTTTATATTGGATTTCTATTAATGTTTTTTTGCTCAATTTTCAGTTTTACGTGAACTCATTACATAGTTATTAAAATTATTTAGATTAGAAAGAGAGCTGGTAGCAGTAGGATTCATAGAATTCATTCTACCAATAGTAGAGTTACTCTTTAATAGGTTTTAAATATTTGAAGGCTGTCCAAGGCATTTACCTTCAGTGCTATTTATAATATTAGAATTAGTAGCTAAAGATTCCTTCTTGTTTGCACTATTGCTACTTGCGAATCCATTTAACTCATAACCTAAATTAATTAAATTTAAAATAAGTTAGAAATTTTATTGTATAAAGAATTACCATTAATTGAAGGCTTTTAATTTTACAAGCTCTGCTGTTTGTTAAGTAGCAATACATTAACATTTTCATCTATTTAAAATACAAAATTTGTTAAAAATTTATTTTATTTATAGTTTTTAATTTATTTACTCTAGGTGTAATTATTATAAATAGGATTAGACTATTGATTTTGCATATATATAGAGTTAGTTACAGAAGAGAGTGGCACATTTTTAGAGTAGTGGAGATTCTCTCTAGTCGAAGGCTTTTAAGAAGGTTAAATTTAAGAAGAACTATTATTATTTGCATATTAAGTTGTAGTTGCAGTTGGGTAAAGACTTGCACTAGAGCAAGAATTTGGATTAATTGATTAGTTCTTAGAATGGTTTTTCTCTTTACCATCTTAATTTTAATTTATTAATCCAATTGGATTAGTAATAGTAGAAGTAGGATCTTAAACAGAAATATTTTCATTATTCTATTGTTCACCTTTGCTTTACACATTACCACTAAGCATATGAGTTAATATATCTTTGGTGTATGTAAGACGCTTTGACATTTCTTTGTTTTATGACTCCATAGCAGTGCTAAGAGGAAAGGTTTCTCTTTATTTCTTCCTATTAACATAAGTTACAGCACGAAGCTCACTACTCAAGATAATTTCAGAGCTGTCCTAAAAAATAACTTAAACTACTTTATTGCTCAAACGGAAAAGGATAGCATTTTTTGTACGTAGCCATTTCTTAACATATATTTTAGAAGATTTAGGTTCACCACTAGCCTCATTCTATGGCATTTTTATAGAATCTGCTTTCTTGTCTTCTCCTTCTAAAAAACTACGGAAATGCTATAACAAAGTCAATTTCTTTTAAAGAGATTCAGGATAATCCTTAAGTGTATATTCTGCCCCAAAGTCTTATTTGGAAGAAGAATTTCTCTCGATGTAATCAAATTATCTTTATTTTAAAAGGAAATGTAAGTAAGTCTATGAATTTAAATTTATTTAAAAAAAAAATAATTAATTACTCTGTTTTTGGATTAAGAATAATCTTAGTTGAGTCGTTAAAGAAAACACCTGCTTAGCCATTATTTAATAGATAGCCTAAACCGTATTTTGAAGAGTAGTCTACCCATTTTGAAACCCAAATATCAGGACCTTAGATTTGAACTTCATTAGAGCTTACTGGAGCTTAGAAGTAAGAGCCACTATTATTAAAGTTAAGGGCAGTAGTTCCACTAGAAGGAGCTTATTCAACTTTTGTGAAACCATATGCTTAAAGGAGACTTGAAGTAGGTTATGTATGCATTTTTTCAGATTTAGCACGAGTATAGTTAGAATTTCCAGATCTAATATTGTTTGAGCTAGAATATTTTTCAATTGAGTTTCTGTTAAATACTGCATTTGTAGATTATTATGAAGGATAATTTTTATTTTGAGATAAGTAATTCTGATTACTGATAGAGCTAGCTCCTCCGCTGAGATTATTTAAGTTAGTAGAAATCAAATTAGTATTTGAGTTAATTGCGGCAGAACTTTAATTATAAGCAAAATTAGCTATGCTTGTACTATTATTAATATTCTTAATATTAGCTTGGCTTTAAACAGAATTTAAAGCTGCTTAACTTTGAGGATGACTAGCTTGAGAAGTATATTTTTAATTTGTTAAGCAACTATTCTTACTATAATCTTCTGATTTGTGTTAATTAGAATTTTGTACCTATGGCTAGGCTTTTTGGCTGCATTCATCCATTTTTTGAATATAATTATCTGTTTTCTAACTGTTGAGGTTACTGTTTTCGACTAATTAAGTGTTTGTACTTTGACTTTTAGCAAAATTGAGTATTCCCAAATTTAAATTATTTGTGATAGTGGTACCTTCACTTTATGGATTTAAACTAGAACTTTTTTGGAAGCATTATTCTTTTGCTACACTTCCATTTAACCCATAGGTGTTCTTATTTGTTTACAAAAAGTTGTCTATTTTTTAGTTATTAACGTTATTAGTATCAAAATTCTTTTAGCCATACTAACTATTACATAAACCTGAACTGCTACTTGTTTAAGCTCCACCTGTACGGTAAGTATTAATATAGTCTTTTCTCTCTTTTAAACCCATCTACTATTAAGATTTTACATTTTAAGGATTATAGGAAGTTTGGGTTGCAAAACGTGTAAAACCATTTCCATTAATAGGAGTTGTGTTGTCAAATTTTTTAGGTGAGCTATTCTTATTCTCTACTTAATAATTTGTAGATTTTTGATTGGTAGATAAAGAAATTTGTGTTGAAGGTAAGAATTAGCGAGTATATGAGGCACTTGGAGGGCAAGCAAGAGTGCTTACAGGTAGCAGTTTAGGAATTGATCCACCTGTTTTGAAAAAATCGTCATTAAATAATTCATTAATAGTGGGTCTCTTCGAAGGATCAGTCGTGAGAATCTTTTTTATCATATTTTTGGCAGCAGATGAAATTTGAATTTATTCTGGGAAGGAGTATTCATTTGTTCTGATTTTCTTGTAGGTAGATTTTACGTCGTTTGTTTCAAAAGGTGGTTTACCTAATAAATAAAAATATTTCATAATTTAGATTTGAAAACTCTTGAAAAAAACATTAAGATTGATCTTTAAATATTAAAATTGTAATTTGCTTTTTATATAAAATACTTTTTACCTATTAGTAAAGTATATGCAATAACACCGAAAGACCAAACGTCGACTTCATATGAGTGACCTGTTTCTTTCGCTTCTAAAATTTCAGGAGCTATATAATTAGGAGTACCGCAAATAGTGCGTTTTCTTTCTCCATCATATTCTAGTTTTGTAGCCAATCCAAAATCTCCTAGTTTAATTTCCATCTTATCAGATAAAAATAAATTTCCTAATTTGAGATCACGATGTATCACTCTGTTATCATGTAAGTATTTGATTGAATAAAGAATCTGCAATAAATAGCATTAAACTTCTAATTCAGTCAATCTCTTTCTTCTCCTGATAAGTTCATTCATTGTCTTTTAATACATATTATTATAATTAGTTAATTAATTAATCAACTGTGTTTGATTTCAATCATTTTTTATAATTTATAGATTAAATGATTCATAAATATCCTTCAAATATTCTTTTATATATAAGTTGATTATTCGTTTATAAACTATCTTAGTTTATTTTTTATAAACAATTCGACTAATTTAAAATAAAAACTATTTCTGTGTTTAGCAAGTTTTTTCTTATTTTTTAATGAAAATCAGATAAATTCTTTTTTTTTTTCTTGCGCTTTTATCACTATTGTGTAATTTAATAACTTGAGACTTAATTATGTTTGTTAACTGATTATTTTATTGATGTAGTAAAATTCAAAAATTAATATTAAAAAATTTGAAGAAATTGAAATACAAAATAATAGTAATAAAAATATTTCCTGTGTAAAAAGAAATAATAAAAATAATTTTTTTCATATAATCATTATGAAATTGAGAAATGTAAACATTTACCTGATTTGTACACATCTCTAACAATATGTAGACATTTTCTTAGTCCTCAAAAAAATGTTAAAATTTCACTATATTTCTATGGTTTAAAGACTTGTGGATTCTTATTTCGCTCATTAACTTTATAAATTAAAAAATAATATTAAAAGATATCATAAAATCAAAATCATTTTAAAAGAATTGAAATTTTTAATGTTTGGGAATATTATTTTAAAGCGAATATAAAATTTAGTCTAAGCTAGCTTGAATAAACTATGATTTAATGCTATCAAATAAATCAAGTGATCTATTCAATTTAATTTTGATTGATTGATTGATTGACTTTATTATTTATGAGAATGTTTTTTTCTGTGTTTCTGTCTGTTTATTTGATTTTTAATTTCAAAATTCAATAAGAAATAACAACGTAATTTTAATTAATTGGTAAGTATTAATAGATCATAAATAGACTAGCAATCCCTACTAAATTTCATTCTGATTTGTAAATTATCAATAAAATAAAATAATTTATCACTTTTTAGCGAGCACGGCTCTTAGTTAAAGAGCTCTTAGGAATAACCTTAGCAGCTAATACTTATTTTCTTTCTAAATTTGTAAATTCATAGCACTTTGCAAAACCACCCTTTTTATTTTATGAATTTATTAATAGTAAAAATTTACAAACATTTAAACAAAGGAATTATAAGCTGTAATTTAGATTAAAGTTGAATCATATTGAATTAATAGATAGTATATATGCTTTACTTTTCCCAAAAAGCGACCCTTTGAGTATCTTCTGATTACTCCTTAATCCTTAATAACTTCTTCTACTATTACCATGCTCTCAGTGTGGCCTAATTTTCAAAATATTTTAATTTTAAATAACAAGTAAACTAATAATCCTTGCAAATATAAATTAAATATGCATTAGTTTTGAATGAAAAAATATATAATAAATGCTAGTAGCTTACCTGGCTCAGCTGAACTTCTACGATTACTTGCCATTTCTATATAGATATTTCTTTTTTGCTGCTTTTAAGCTAATAGATTGTTAAACGTGCACTTGCTCTGCTATACTTTTATTTATCTTTGCAGAATAACAACACTTATCTCTCTGCAATGCTTTCTTTTATTTTTCTTTCTTTTTTAATACTTTCAAAAAAGAGTTATTATTTAATATTGATTGTTAATAAATTATTTATATTTTCCTTTTTCTTATTTCATTTGTTTTTTTTACATAGAGTGTTTAATCCTGATTTGGTTGTTATGGTTAACCAAATTAAATAGTATTATGGATTTTTTAATCAAATTAGTATTAAGCAGCCATTTAATATTTTAACGATATAGCAAATTTAATTCAAAAAAAAAACTTTGTAAATTATATAAAACATGAAAAATAAGAAAATGTTAACGATCCGCAATTTATATCTTTTGCAAATCTATCTATAGTCATAAAGACAGACACATTATAAATTCAAATTATTTTAATAAATAGTCCTGATGTATTCATTTAATAATTAGGCTAATTAACAATTACTTACTTTAAATTTTAGATAAATTATTTGATTATATTATTTAAGAGATTTTTTATATCAAATAAGTCAATTGATTTTTAAAGAAAGATAAATTATTTTTATATTTGATTTCAAGTTTTTTTTATAAAATCTAAAATTAATTCTATAAACTATTTACTATTTTTCAAAAGCAATTTATTGAGTAAATATTTAAATAATTTTATCAATAAAAGATTTTCAAAATTTATAAATAAATTTAACCTATTTTTTATTTTATTTGTTTTAATTTTTTAGTTTTATAAAATGTTTAATATTTTATCGAAAGCAAATAAAACTATAATAATAATAAAACAGAACTTAGCTTATTTCAATTATATAACAAAAATTCAATACATTAATAATACTTAAATTAAATTACAAAGAAGTTATAATTTAGGATAAAATAATCATTATTTAAAGTTAAAGTGTTTTTATAAAATATTATTATTTGAATTTTTATGATTTTAAATCCCTTTATTGTTTATTATATAGTAGAATTCTTAGATATTTCTTGAATATTTGATACTAATTAATAAGTGGAATTTAAAATTAATCTTAATTAAACCATATTAAAAATTTTTTAAAAACCGGCCTTAATATATGAACCTTTACCATATATATAAATCTATTTTAATTCTTTAAAACAAAACTAATATTTAGCATTATTAAGTCCTGATATGAAAAGGATTGATATTCTTTCAAATGATCAAAGGGTAAGAATCATTGAATTTATGAAAATATCTAAAGTTAGCGGCTATAATAATAATAAATTACAAAAATTTTTTATAAGTTTAGATTTAATATAAAATAATTTATTTTCTGATTATAAATTTTTTTATGAGTTTAAATTTCATATTAAAATAAAAGTTAATAAGAAAAAATAAATTAAAAGACAATAAAAACAAAAAAGATTATTAATAATTTTTAAAATTAATATTTAGAAAATTAACAAATCATGGAATAAATTTTACAAAATATTTTTTATTCATTCAAGTTTATTTAATAGAAAAAGATATTTAATTGGTTGATATTTTAATAGTATAAATGATTATTTAATATTGTGCAAAAAGAATAATGAAGATTTGTAGTAATATAAAATACTATGATAAATAAGAACAGAAATTATTTCTTTTATTTTTTTTTTTTAAAATAAAAATATTTTGAACTAAATACAACCATTATAAATAATAAAAAATTACAAATTGAATAAAATCATTAATAATTTATATAAATTGTTTTTATGTAATAAATTTATTTGATTTTATAAAAATTGATTTGTCTATAAATTAATTTGCATACTAAAATTTTTTTATTTTTTTTAAGAACTATTTAGTTGGTTGGTAAAGGAATTTTTTTTAAATTATAAAATTTTTGAAATCTCTTTTGTAATTTAATTATAATTTTGTTAAGGAAGTTATTTTAAAAGTGAGGTTGTTGTTAAATTTTTATGTACATAAATATGAGTTTCTTATTAAAATCAATTCAATTCCTCAGTCTATTTGAGAATTTTTTACTTGAAGTAATTCATGCCTGAACTTTTACTAGTATACATATTTTTAACGCTCTAGTTATAAACTTCTATTAATTCTTTTTACTCTCCTTCAGTAAAAAGTAAATTATCAGCCTTTTTATTACTAACTTACTTTTTCTATTTTAAAAATATAATTATAAATAAAAAAGTTTTTATATTTTCTTTTCTTACATCAAATTTTTAATTTATGGCAGTAACTTATCTATTAATATTAGAGACTAATTATTCAGTTTATTTATGCTCGTCTACAAGTAGTTTTTCTATAGAGTTTATAATATTATTTAATTTAGCACTTTATGGATTAAAGAAATTTCTTGGTGAAACAGTCTAAGAGATTTGAGTTTTGGATTGGCTGCTTTTGAAATCAAGCTAAAAAGTATCTATTTTTAGTCAAGAATAATATATAAATAAATAGAATTTTAATATAAATTAATTTTTAGTAGATTTTGTCAAAAATTATTAAAAAATAAATAAATAGAATCTTTATAATAATTAATTTTTACTTGATTTTGTATAAGCTGGTTTATTATTCGGGCAAAAATTGCTTTTTCCAAGGTTATTTTAATTTTTGGTTTTTAATAGAGACGGAGACTCAGATTTTGCCTATCTTACTTTTTATCTATTTTCTAAAGAAGCCTCAGTGCAAATCGATGAAAAAGAAAGATCGTTCATATTTCCTAATTAGAAAAAGTCAAGTTAGTATATGTATTTGTAAGTAATTTTATATATTTACTTTTCATTTTAGAAAAATAAAAACTCTTGATTTTTTAGTCTTATTTATTTATTATTTATTTATTTTTTATTTTTTTTATTGTTTTTTCAATTTTTTAATTATTATTTGATTATTATTAATCCTTAACATTTAGAAGAAATCAAAAAGGGGATTGAAGCTGTAAATCAAGTTTGACTGAGAAGTTATTTATTTATTTGTTTGTTTGTTTGTTTAAAAATTTATCAATCTAAATTTTGGTAAACAAACAATATAATCATAGTAAAATAGAAAAAATAAATCTAAAGTTAAGAAGAACCTGATTACATTTTTTTATAATAATCATATTGGTATAAAAAGAGATTTTAGACATTAATATATAAATTTTATATAAAATAAACACTATTATTGTATATATATATATAAGTTAGGTTCAAATTTAATTGCATTTCTTAATTAGTTTTCTATCAAAAATAAATTTCTCAGTTTTAGTTTTAAATCTTCAAATTACGCTTCATAATGTCATCAAACATATTTGCCTTTTGCATACTATTCTAAGGCTAATATATTTGACTAATTTAGCTATTTATGAGTCCATTTTAATAGGAAAGCTGGTTTTATGTGTTAAATTAGCTGTAATTATTACTATTAAATAAATGCGGATATTTTTTTCTTATAGGCTGAATTATGTCCCAGCTTACGCTGCTACTACTTTAAGATCTATTTATTATAAAAAAATTAATAAATTCTATTAAATAACTATTTTAAATAAAACCTTGTGTGACCTATTTGTTTCTAAATAAATATCTGACCTCCTGATTAATTCATTCTTTCTACGAGATAACAAATCTAAATTCAAATAAAAAATATTTCAATATTTTTGAAATCATTATTTGATTTCTTCAAAAATAAAAATTTTATTTGAGCTTTGAGCTTTTTTAAATGTGGTTATAATTTAATTTAGTTATAATTTTATCTAAAAGCCACATTCTGGAATTTATTTATTTTTTTAAAACTCACTCAATTTTTAGTTTATAAATTTTTAAAAAATACTTTTTCTATTTCATTTGGTTAAGGATCGGAATAAGGAACTTCAAAAGCGCATAAGGCTATAGCTTCTATAAAGAGATGCTAATCAATTACAGGTTTTTCATTATAATTAGATGAATTTTGTAGTTAGATTTATGCCATTTCAGTGGTATTGTAAATTTATGCCAGCGTGTTAAATATTTTGAGCAACCTAGATTTTGGAATTATATCAGGGAAGATGCCAAAATCTTTGCAAAATTTAACAAATTTATCAAAATCTATCGTGTTTTTATTTTGTGAGTAGTACTTGAAATAAACCATCATTGTCTATTATATTAAATAAATTAATCAAAGATATATATTTTTTTTTTTTTTTTTTACTTTGTGAATCATTCCAAGTAATTCAACAATCTCTTAGTCTTTTAATATCTCCATGAGTATAGAAACGTGTTCGTTTTAAGTTGAAGAGTGAACTGATTTACTTATGCTGCTTGAGTTGTTTTTTTTATTGTCATTTGAATTTACTTCTCTTTCTAACACAGGTAAAATATTATTTTAGAGTAATTAGCTCAATCCTTCTTAAAGGCTTATCTCTTTGTACAATTTTTAGGCTACCATCTCCAAAGAAACTAAAAATTATTCAAAATCTAATCTCTGCTGTTATTTGATGGTATCTATTTTTAAAATAAATGAAAAAGATATTTAATGGAATGTGTATCAAAAGTATTATCTTAACTTCTATTGCTATTAAATAAGCTTAAATTTTAATATAAACTATAACATATGATTATAAAATTAATTATTAAAAAAATTTTTTGATATGTAACCTGTAAAACTTTCAAGATTTCTTTTGTTAAGATGTAAATTTGAAATTTGATTAAAAGTAATCAACATAGATAATTAATTAATTACCTTATTTATTTAAATCTGATTATGAAGCTTAGTTAAAAGTTTAAGCTGAGCGCTTTTTACTCGCCTTAATAAATATCAAATCAATATCACAGCCAGTTAAATATCTATTATTATCTTCAGAGCAAGCTTAAAGCGAGTTTTGATTTTGCATTACACTTCCTTAATTTTAAATAGTATTAATGTTAATGATATTAGCCTCTCTCATTAACTTAGTGTATTTTGAGGATTTCATCCACTAAGTATTCATTGCATCGCCAAAACTGCAATATGACTAAAAGATTGTAAGTAAACGATCTGAAAACTGGTCTATTAGTTAAATATTTTCAACACATTAGATATCTGCTAAACCCAAAGGATTTTTGAATAGCTTGTAATTTTGCATATTTTGAATATGAGCAATCATGACTTATCTTTGTTGTTCATTCAATTTTTAAGAATAATTTGTAAATCCCATAGGAGAATAGTTTCTTACACATTGTTATTACATTTCAGTAAGTCCGTTGGCAGATTATCTTAGACGGAGATCACTTCTACTTCTAGTGACTCTACTAGAAGTTTATGATTGTACTGAACTATTTTCTTAGTTAGTTTGTAAATTAGATAATGTATCTGTCACATTATTTGAGTTGTTTGATGGCTATTACAAATTTAATGAATATTATCCACCAATATTATTGTTAAAAGCTAATTAACTATTTAAGCTTGAAATTTGACAACTTCCAATAATGCTTCCATTACTCAGCATCTATTTATAATAAGATAATAATTATAATAAATTATTTTATTTTTAAATGTTTACTCTATTCAGAACCTTTTTTTTTATTATGAGCGATTAGTGAGATAAATTCTTTTTGTCAAGATTTAAAAAGCCAGCAGATAATTCCATTCTCTCAAGAAGGAAAGCTAATTTTTCTGCAATTGTCCTATTAGCTCCTTCAGCAGGTTATTCAAGCTAGTTGAATAAATTTGAATAGCAAACATTTGCTATTCTTATTAAATATATTGCATATTTCCAAAAAGTAAAGCACTGTCCTTAGTCTTCTGAGAGGAACCCTGATAAATTAGTAAGTTGAGGATTTCTGCATAGATTATCAATTTGCGTATCTAGTATCTCTCTAAAAAGTAAAAATGCAGATGACTTTGTTATCAAATTAGGACAGATATCATATTCCTTTAAAAACTAAAAAATAGCTGTTTCAGATTTCTGTTTAACTTAGGCTTCATTTCCTCTATTTTTCCACTCAAAGGGGAAATAATGCTTTCAATATTATTAAAATAAATTTATTAAACAATTAAATAAAAACTCAAAAATAAAAATATTATTTTTTTTATAAATTACCTGATAAATTAATTGTATAACTGGTGTGATTTCCTTTAAAATAAATAAAGGTCCTTCGTCAATAGGCTCTTTGAATTTTACCTCATCTTCTCCAAGATCAGTTTCTGCCATAATATTGTCATATAAAGGCAAGAAGTGGTTCTGAAGGATCATTTATAAAGCCTGAGCATCTGTATATTAAGGGAATTTTAAGATAGCTATTTTAGCTATGAGTGTTAGAAAAGTATCGAAATCCATATTGTGTTTATTATGATTTTCTTTAACAAACATTAAATCGAGTCTGTTTTGTGTTAGAATAACATTATCTTTCAATTATGCATCTGACATCATTTTGTGGAATTTATTTGACTTGAGGTAATTGACGTTTATTCTATCTCCAAAAGAAACGTAAAATGTAAATACTGTTCTAAGTTTATTTTTTAGCTCTACTAGCTATTTTTCTTCCTGTGACATACTTTTTACTTGCTTTTGAACCTTTGTCGGAGTTTTACTTCTTGATTTATTTTAAATTTTTTGATACTCTCCAATTTTATTTTAATATGAGTTGCGAATAAAATTAGCAGTTGAATTATTAAAATTATTTTCATCGCTTTTCTAAATAATTTTATTTTACTTGAACTATTGTTAATTAGGCCATTGCTACAAGCTTGGTTTAGCATTTTTTAGATTTATATCGTTTTTTTATTAATTTTTGTAAGTTTATTTATTTTATGAATTCCCACCTTCACTTTATCTCTCATTACTAGTTAGTAGAGCAAACTATTAAATTGAATCATCTTTTTGACTGTTAGATATACTAATACTACCTCTTGAAATAGGTTCATTATATATTTATTATTTGCTTGATTAATTTCTCTAAATTTATTCAAATTAGTTTTACTGAATGTTATTTGAAGAAGGCATCTTATTCATTATGTTAGTAAAATTTTTTTCTGCAAGAACTATCCTGCAATTTTCATTGTTGTTTTGTTAATTATATATTTCCTATTCATCTTTTATGTTTTACTTCTAATTATATGAATATTATTATTGCTAAGAAAAGCTTGAGAAAATTGGGGAATAATCCTCATTTTCATCTTATTCAACATGAGGCTAAATAAGATAGTTGTGCTAATCATACTACCTAATACGCTAAAACTCATGTTCAGATGTTAAATGCTAATTAAATTAATTTTCTTTATTATTTTTCATTTATTCTTAATAATAATCTTATTCTTCCTCATTTTACTAATAAGCCTATTGTTAATTAGCATCTAGATTATCTACCTAATTATATTCATTTTTATCACTGAGGAAAGCTTCTTGTTAATCGTTTAGCTCTTACTATATTATTTAGCCAATCTCTTCTTCGTTGTATCCTTGCTATTTTAAAAGCTCACAATATGCTTTACCATAATAATAAATGCAATAAATATAATTAATTTATTTATAAATATTGTAAATTTCTACCTTAAAGATTATCTATGTTATTTGTAATTTAAGAATCTTATTCCATTATCATAGTGTATAGAAACAAACTAGAATATTATTTTTAATGTCTATTATCCTGCTTTGTATTTTTACGTTAAATACTAATTTAAAGGACTTTCTTTGTTTATTTTTAATTAATTTAAATCCGAATTTTGTAGTATTCAAATTTAATTGAAAATTTGATTGTTTGCTTTTTCTTTAATCAATAAATAGCAAGCTAACAACTTTATAAGTAACGATCAAATTATTATTATATAAAAAATGTATGTTTATTTTGCGATTGTGAATCTATTCAAAAATCTATTTAATTTTTTTTTGGCTTTTAAAGAGAAATATTAGAAAATTAAATTTGATACAGATAAATAAAAATATTATTAATATATCATATATCACTTGATAGAATTTAATAAAGTTAGAAACTATTTATTAATTATAATATTTTTTATATATTTTTTTAGAATAATTAATTCAGAAATTTCTTTATATTTTGTTTGCTAATTAGCATTTATTGGGATTTCAAAAATGATTTTTATTTAAACTCATTTAGGATCAAAATCAATTATATTTATAATTAGCTTCTTTGTAGCAAGCATTATGTGTTTAGAGTTTTAAATTTTGGATATATGTAAAAGATTCTGACCTCCTGGTATTTTGAAAAAAGACTTAATGCTTAATTTGTACTAATTATTTTTCCAAAATAATTTTTTTAGTAAGTTTTTATTATTTTAAGTTGAATTTTCCTAAATTTCACAAATATAGTAGTCGTCATTTTTATTAATTATAAAGTAGTCTTAAGTAAGAGGATAAGCAGTTGCAAATAAGTGGAAGATATCTAATTTAAATTTTAGCTCAAGATTGTTGCTATTTAATAAGTAGATATTTAAGTTTGTGCTGACTAACAAAGATTTTTTGTAGTAGAAGAATTCTTAAATCTCATCACATATAAATTCAAAATAATTGTTATTAAAAGTAGAATTTTTTTATTATTGTTATTGATATTTTTTAAAATTCATAAAAATTTCTTCACTATCAGAGATATAATCTTCATTTAATTCATCATTAAGAGTATTTTAATCTTTAATATTTCTAGTAGATTAGACTTAAATTTTTTTATTTACATTTTAATCAAAGTCAACTTGAAATAGCTATAGTTTGTCTGCATATTAAATATAGTTAGTTTTCACTACAAGTTTATTAAAATTGTAGAATATAAATTGGGTGAAGTTATGAATTTAAAGCTTTCCAATATTAAGATAACAGGATGTAATTTAGGAAGAATCCATTATTGAAAATTTTCTTAAGCAAAATGTTTGGATATTTGTTTCTTCGCTGTAACTCTCACATAAATAGAGGATTGACATTGAATGGCTATCGTAAACTACATGCTTTTAGCTTAAATCATCATTAATCAATTAACAACCTATTTATTTAAACCCTCTTAGAGCAAGAGTATAGAGCTTGTATTTGTTGTTATCATCTTACTTTATGTATATTAGAATTTATCTTTAATCATCATTAAAAAGATGTAATATTTATTTCTTTCTTTGCAAACACTAAGGAGGAGTTTGAAATAGCTTTTATCCACTTAGCATGTCAAATATCATGAGATTAGCTTTTTTAGCCATGACTAAATGCCTTCCTTATATTTTACCTATATAAAGCAATTTGTCTGTCTTACTTTTATTACTATTTATGGTGTTAAGCTTGACTTAACATATTTACATATTGTTACTAAATATATATCGCAAATAGCTTATTACAGTGACGTATTAGTAGAGAATAAATTAAAAAGCAAGTCTAAACTAATAATCAGCAGCAAAGTATATGAGGAAGCCTATTATATAAGAAACGCTATAAACGAAAGCAAAAGGTCTATAATCGTGACTTTTTAAATTTGAAAGGTTTAATATCATTATTGGCATAGTAATAAATGCAAAAAATTCGAAGCTTACAACCTTTATAATTATGTTTGTAATTGGACATATCAGGTCAATACAAAAAATCCACATTAAAATGAGCGAAATAAACACAAAATTTGGAAATTTCCTTTCACCTAAAAAATTTCCGACAAAGTGAGGAATAAAAACAGCAAACCTTATATAATCTTAATATGTTGTGACCTCTACCTTATATTTTTTTTGCATCCAAATAAAAATTATGTAGATTATCGTTTACACAATCATTTTTTTTGATGATTAAAATTATGATTTTAAGAAAATGATCTTCTTTAAGAGAATCGATGACTAGATTTTTCTTATGTAACCTAAAGGTTAAATAAATTTTTGATCTTAAATATAGAGTTAATTAATGTTTGCAAAAAAGTATTCTGTTTGTTTATCTTTGGTTAATATTTGGAATGTTTGTTGTTATGTTTTAGTTCTATCTGATATAAATATTATGTATTATATTTGTTAATATTTTTACCTATTAAAAAATTTCAACAAAAAGATAAATCAAAAAAAGTTTTCTAAAATATTTTTTTTTTCAATTTATTATTTTCGTTATCTAAAAAGATAAATTTTATGTTTAGAACTCTTAATGAAACGAACATTTTCCATTCATTATTTAGCTAAGCAAGCCTCTTTTTTTTAAATGCAGAGCTCATATCAAAAATTTGCTTTCCAAGAAAGGTTAAGCAAACACAAATATTATATGATTAATTTATATCTACGTAATATATGACGATGATCTATTAATATAGAGATCAACAAATTTCAATGAAAAATCAAATCAAAATCCTTAAATTACCTAAGAAATTCTTTAATACCTTTGTATAATTTAGAAATATTTTCCAAAAATCTTCAAATTTAAAAACAATTAAAAAAGTAAAGAGTTAGAAAATATTTTGAAAATAATAAATAAGAAACAATAAAAATAATAAATGAAATATCTAATACAGACATCCTTAATAACTAATTTAGCTTTTAGTTTATTGTTTAATGCATATTTTTTTAAACAATTATAATTAAATTCATTTTTTTTCAATAGATTTTTTAAGCTTGACTGAATTCATTGATTATTTTTTAGCAACCATATCTTTTATGCTTTATGCTATACTGCCATTTAAATTACTACAAGTTATGTAGATACATTTGCTTTAAGTAGGTGAAATAGGTTCTACTAACCAGCCACCTATTTTTAAGGTAGCACGAACAGGTTTTGAAACTTCGGGAACAGAGGGATGATCTACAGAAGTAGCCAATAAATAGTGTATATCTCCTATTTTTAAACTAATTTAAAGAAGACAAAAGTCTCTATCAGAGACTGGGAAAATGCCTTTAAAAACATTGTGTTCAATACGACAATTTTCACTTAAAGCTTAAACTTCTTTACCCTCTTTAAACATTTCATCCCAAGATTTTCTTTTACTTGCATCTTAAATGAAATCAACGATTTCTTAAGCTGATTTCATGATTTTAACTTCTCCTCTTGACATAACATTGCCTGTTTCTTCATCTATTTTGGTATGAGTTTAATATTCTGCCTTTATGTCATTATCTTTCCATTTATTTTTTGGGTCCAAAGGAGCTATATTTTTCATCAAATCTATAAGTTCCTTAATCTTTTTGTTATATTTTTATCCAGCTTCACCTTCCAATAATTGAGGTTCTTGATTAGAATTTTATGGAGCATCTACTTTAGATTCCTCTTCATCTTATTATTCTTCTTTCTAAACTTTTTTATTTTCTTAGCCACTCTAACTAGCAATGTTTACATTTTTATTCTAAACAATTTTGTTTTCTTAGGTATTGCTTTTTGGCTATTCTATTTCTACAGGTTATTGTTGTGAGTTATCTCTTTAAGTTCCAAACCCTAAACTCTAGCTATAATAGGCAAACAATGGACTAAAGGGATTTCTCTTGAGTTACTTGAGATAAAAATTGATTCCATAAAGCAAAAGAGGAGAATTAGGATTATTATTCATATCAGAGATTTTTGTATAAGGAGAATAAAAATAATACTTCACATTTGTGCCATCTTCTATTTAAGAATTGCAAGGTATTTAGAATATGCGCAAGAAATTGTGAGTAGTTGATTCTTCAGTTAAGTAAACGACATCCTTATCTCTTATTACATTCTAAATGAATACTTCTGGATCACGTCTGTAAAAGGTTGTTATGTATTCATTTGAGTTTGAAAGAGGTTTTAGTTCGCATTTTTGAACATTCATTTGCCATTCTTTGCGTTTCTCAAAGTTTTTTGTTAAAACAAAGAGTATTTCATTTGGATTGTGAGGGAAAAAGTACTCTGCTATGCATCCCTGTTTAATTTATTTCATCTTCTTTTTTTAGCTTTAATAAGTCATTTCATTCAGCTTTCTTGCAAATAGTGGAACCAAAATAAAGTTAATCATAACTAATATAGTTATAATTAAGTTCTTTGTGTCTAAAATCTGCAAGCTTTGGTAAACAAGCAGAGAAATAATAACTGTAACAAAAGTCAGTAGCATCTTCATTTGAGGTGAATCAAAGTATTAATTCATTAACTAAGTGAAGAACCTTTCCTAATCATTAGGAGAACTGCTTGAATTATTTTTGCTATATTACTGTTTACAAATAGAATTTACTGCTGATTCGCTACAATATAGTCTTATGTTCTTGTCAATATCGCTAAGAATTTTACAATCTTTGAAGTTATCTAAGGCAGTTTGTAAATTTTTTTCTAATGCAATATTTGACCCACTTCCTCCTTGCTTATTTGTTAAAAATTCATTGTCAAAAATATAAGGGTTAGACTTACAAGTGTCATTTTGTATATAAACAAATTTGATATTTTAAGAATCATTAATTAACTAATCGCCTCTGATTCTATCATTTTACCTTTGATTGCCATTATTTAATTTTAGATTAGTAGACGATGATACGACACTGTCTATATCAGATCTTTCATATAAATTAGTATTTTAACTATTTTGCTAATTTTGCTATAACTGCATAGAAGAGAGTATATCGTTTCCATTATTTCTTCCATTAATAATTAAATTTTAAGGATTTTAGCTTTGATTTTATGAATAAAAGTTTAATTTGATTAACCAATTACGATGATCTTAATTATTGTCACACCTTATAAGTAATCTTTGAGATTATTATTGCTTGGAGGTAACGAATTAAATTATGTTTTCATTATCTGAGGTTTACATCTCATTCGATTTCGAACCATATAATGCAAACACTCCTCTAGGTTTTGTGTCTCCTTTGTTGTAGTAATAGTAAAAATTTCCATTAATTATCTCGGCATAACGAATTACCCAAAACATCTTTCGCTTTATCTGCAAATAGCCAGCTATTTCAGGTTCCTACACAGACATTTACCTCATTTTGCTAATTTTTTCCTATTTTATTTATTTTCTCTTGATAGATTGATAAGAATAAATAATTAATCTTTTAAATTGTTGATTAAGATCAAATTGATATTTTTTTTACTGTAAATTAAAAATAATGATAAAATATATCTGAATTTTACTTGGGAGAGATATATATTATATAAAAGATAATCGACGTCAAATATATTTAAATTCTTACATTTATTAATTTATAATTTAGCAATGAATTATTCGATTATATGAACATTCATCTTTTGTAATAAATTAGATCAAATGTACGTATATTGAGTCATATAAATAAGTATTAGAAATTCAAATTGCCATCCATTAAATATAATAATGTCAAAATATCTATAAATAGAAAAAAATATTTTTATTTTCTCATAAATACATTTTGTTAATATTATAAATAGCAAAATTTTAGATTTGCTAAAGTCAATAAAATAATTTAGCACTTAAATTAATTATCTTCATCATCTTATCAAACTTTTTTTTTACTTATTTGTAAATTACTTTAAAAATAATCACTTGTTTTAAGGTAAATTCCACAAAAAATAATAAGTAAATATTTGAGAAATTTTTAATTTTGTTTACAGCTGATTTTAAAATTTATAAAACGAATTAATTAATATTTGGCAAATATCAAATTCCCTTACATCTTGAAAATAATCTACTATTCAAAATTTAAATAATTCCATATTTAAATCTTTGATGGAAATTGAGTTGTTTGGAATTGAAAATCTAAATATAAATTTAATAACAAATACTGTAGATCCTCCTTTATATAATTTTTAATCTTTATCCTTAGTTTTTGAAGTTTATATTTCATTAATTAAATAAAATATTTTCAAAAAAATATTTTTTACTTCAAAATATATAAAATTAAGTAATTATTTTTATTAAAATTCAAATGAAGTTTATAATTAAATAATTTAATTTTATTTTAGTGATAAGTCAATGTAGATATATAAGTTACATGTTTATTTTTAAAATGCAATTTTGAAACTCTATTTGAAATTTTATAATTATTTTATAATTATTTAATAATTTTAATTCAAAAGTATTAAATATACCAATTTTTATTTAACATTAAAATCAATTAAGGTCTGATTATAATTTAAAATCCATAATAAAATAAATTCAATTATAACATAAAAAGTTAAATAATTGATAATATCTTAAATATATCAATAAATAATTTAAGACTTTACAAAATATAAAAATTCATTATTTTTATTAATCAAGCAATATTTAAATATCTATGGGAATACTAAGTGCTTATTGCATTGACTAATAGCTTGTATGATTTACATGTTTACTATTTTATATATCAGATTACTATTGCTTAGAGTCTTTTTCATAACTTGCAATTGCTTATTTCAAATTATCAATAACAATTAATAAGTTATTTGTAAAAGAACATAGCTACTACTATTTGATCTTCAAATTATTGTTTGATGCTTCACTTTCTTTTAATTTATTTTCTAGTTTTTAAATTGTTTGATTTTATTATATTTTCTCTATCTAATGTTTCTCATCTGATTATTTTTTATTTTTATGCATTTGTAGCTACAAAATATTTATTTAGTCAGATTATAACTTAAATTTTTCTTATAAACTATTCAATTCTACCATGAATTAGTTTTTTTAATTTTAATAAATTTAAATCTCTTATTTAAGCTTGGCAATTTCTTTGTTTTCTTAATATGAACCTCTTTTTACTGTAAATTTTTCAAAATTTTGATATGATGTTGATTGTGCCTCAGAAAATAATTAACTTTGTTAACACGAATAAAAAGAACTATTGTTATCAATATTTTATATCTTTTTTGTGAGTAAATTACAGATATCTTAATAGCATAGTGATTTAGAGTCTGAGTGAATGCTACTTACCATTTATTTAATTGAGCTATCATTACAAAATATTAAAGATTTTAAATCTTAAAAAATATCTTATTTTACTCTTTCATACTAATTTTTTATACTTTAAGAGTCTGTCAAAATCAATAGATTAAGAATTTATATTAAGTTTTTTACAAATTCTATAACACTACCTCTTTTTTCTATGCTTTTAATTTTTTAGCCTTCATATATTGAAACAAATTTTTTTATATCAAGACTTATCTGTGTTTAGTCTTAGTATTCATCTACTAGATTACTTTTTTGTTCTCTTGTTTAATCGCTTTCTTGCTCTATGCAATTAAGATATTTTATATTTCTCTTAAATAATTTTGTGTTTATAGTTTTTATTTATCCCAGGTTTGAGTATGAAGTAGAAGTATGAGAATCAAAATCTTTGTTGCTTAATTTCAAAAAATTTTCTGATTGATTTAGTTCAGTTTTACTCAGTGAACATTATTCACTATTTTTCATAGATACTATTGCATTTATTCTACTTTTATTGCAATACTGTTTTAGAGCATCTTGATTTCTTTAAATTAAATTAATATCAGAAATTACATAGGAGTTAGATAATTAATCATTTTAGCCTTTAGGTATTAACAGTGGAGATAACTTTACTTGATTCCTATTCTTTTTAGGACTGTAGCTTCTTGAGATCTAAAATTTAGTAGGTATTTCAATATTTTTAGTTTCAAAATTTTTTAATTCCTATAAGTTCATTTTTTAATTTATCAATGACTTTATATTCTCCTCTAAATTTTATCATAAAATTAAGAATGAAAGTTATTAAACAAATTAAAAATGTAATCAAGGTGGTATAGTAATAAAATCAAACAAAATAGCTTAAAATTATAAATATAAATATTACTTAAGATGAAGTGGCCGAGCGGTCTAAGGCGGTAGATTAAGGCTCTATTCCGAAAGGGCGCGAGTTCGAATCTCGCCTTCATCAGATTTTTTTTTTAATTATAATTCATTTTTTTAAAACTATTGAAACACAATAAAATGCTAAAATAAATATTAATTTAAATATGTTTTGCCTCTAAATATTTAAAAGTGATTATCATTCAAATAATATTTTAGAAATATTTCTTTTAAACTATTTAAAAAAAAGAAGTTTATATTCATCAATTCAAGTGATGGGTGGATGTAAAAATAAAATAAACTGAACTTTAAACTATTAATTGTAAAAAATACTTATTAAATTGTATTAATATAATAATTTAAAAAAAAATAACTTGATAGCAAAATAAAAAAATTAGATTTTAAAGCATCTATTGATGCAGTTTAATAAGCTGAAAGTAAAAATAAAATTCAAAAAATTTATAGCAGAAGATATTTATTTGATAGTAAAATGATTTAAAATTTTTTTAGGATTACTTAATATTAAACTGAAATTCAATAAAGTTATATTTAGTTGCATAAGAACCTTATTTTTTATAAGATTACTTAATGATAAAGTAAAAAACTGTGTTTTAAAGTTGTATGACGAAAACAAAAATAAAATAAACTAAAATTAAAAAAAGTAATTGTAAAAGGCATTTATTTAATTATATAAAATTAATATTTTTATAAAGATTACTTTATTATAAAATACAACTAGCAACAAACAGAATAATTAACTTATTAACTAACAAACCAAACAAGTAAGAGAATAGGTATTTAGACCAATTAAATAATATATTTAAATATTTATAAATTATTTTTAGATTAAAATTTATTATTAACTTTTACATTTAGCCAAAATTTTTCATTATATAAACTCATTTTTTCTCAATTTTTTTTCCTTTAAAAACTATTTCTTTGACTTATTGTGCATCTAAAGTTTCATGCTCAATAAGCTCTTTAGCTAAGTCTTGTAATTATCTTTCATTTTGTTTCAATAATTTTTTAACCCTTTCATAAGAGTCCTAAAAAATAATATATTTAATAAATAAAAACTAAATAGAAATTTGAAATAGATTTACTTTCAAAATTTTTTATACTTCTTTATCCAAAATATAATTGTATTTATCACTTGTTTTAATTCCATTTGTTTAAGAAATCAATGTTAAATTTTCATCCATTCCCAACTCTCTAACATATGCATATGCCATTTCAGTAGCTTTTTACAAATCACTGCTACATCCTTTTAATTTTTCATAAAAATAAAACATTAAATAAATAATAGATATTAAATTTGTAAACCTGTTGTAATTTCTTAATTTCCATAATATATTTCTTCTGCTACTCTTCCTCCCATAGCAACATCAATACTAGCCAACATACCTTTTTTAGTATAGTTCAACTGGTCTGTTTCAGGAACAAAGGATGTCTTATTTTAAATATTTTAATTATAATAACTGCTTAAAATTTCTTAAGGTAACTTACAAATCCCAAAGCACCTCCCCTTGGTAGAATGGTTACTTTATGTAAAGGAGTTGTTTCTTTTGTTAATAGGGCAGTGATGGTGTGTCCTCCTTCGTGATAGGCGGTTTTCAATTTATCTGCATCTGTTACAAACATGTTTTTTCTTCCTATACCCATTGATATTCTATCAAGTGCAAAATCAAAATCAAGCTTATTTGAAACTTACCTATCTATTTTTAGCAAAAGATAATTAATTAACTTAAATCGTAAATAGTCAATAAAAAATATACTATGTTTTATAGCATTTAGTATTGAAATATTAACCATATTTGCAATATCTGCACCAGTAAATCCAGATGTTTACTTAGCTAATTCTTTACTCATGACAGTTTAATCAGTTTTAATTCTTTTTAGATAATAATCGAAGAGCTGTTGATTTTTTTAACAAATAATTAATAAAGTTTCACAAATTAAAAAATTATTTTTTTACTTATTCTCTGCCTCTTATATCAGGATAAGGCACGTTTATAGTTTTATCAAATCTGCCTGGTCTTTTTATAGCAGGATCTATGGATTTTTCAAAATTGGTAGCACCAATAACTATAACATTATCTCTCTCTCTAAAACCATCCATTTCAGCAAGAATCTGATTAACAGTATCTCTGCTATGGGATTAATCAAGAGCACTTCTCTTTCCACAAACAGAATCAATTTCATCAATAAAAATAATTGAAGGAGCTGTCTACCTAGCTTTTTTAAATAATTCCCTAACTCTTGATGCTCCCACTCCAACGAACATTTCATCGAATTCTGAACCTGATTTATAGTAAAAAGAGCAACCGGCTTCACCTGCTAATGCTCTGGCCAAAAGAGTTTTACCAGTACCAGGAGGGCCTACCAATAAAATACCTTTAGGCAATTTGGCTCCAGCATCTTAATATTTTTTAGGGTTTTTGAGGTAATCCACTAATTCAGTAAGTTCTTCTTTAAATTCATCAATACCAATTACGTCTGTGAATCTGGTTGGAATATTCTTTTCTTCTTAAATATCTGAGCTTCTATCAAATATTCTAGACATAAATCCACTATTTTTTTTAGCTTATTGTGCTTTCTTAGAGTCGTCAACAGCTGCAACATTATTTTACTTTGGTTCTACAGTTGGTTCTTTTGGAGGTGGAGTAGGATCAACTCCTTTTTTCTTTAAGTTTGACTCCTTCGTTACTTCTGTGTCTTTTTAGTAAGTAAGTAAGTAAGTAAGTAAGTAAGTAATAATAGAGTGTAAAATAGAAAATACGAGATAGAAAAATCATTAATTTAATAAATTACCATCTCCTAATAAAGCTAAAAAGAGCTTTTTAACTGTTTTTGCAATATCATTTTAATCTTTTTTATCCTTATTTCCTACATCGCTATCATCCTCTAACTCGCTAACCGAAAATTAAAACAACCTGCTGATAGCCATAAATACAGTAAAACCAACAACACAAACAATAAATGTATTTCCACCTTATCTTAATAGCTAAAAGAATCTATTTTTTTTTTTTAATTATTAGTTCCTTCAAGAAAAATCTAATTTAAAAACTTTTTTACCCTGATTTTTTCTAATTTGCATAGAGAATCTTGCTTGGTGAATTAAACCCTACTTAAACTTATGCATATCCATATTATTGAATAATCTTTTAACATATCTCTGAATCTATATTCCAGCTGTGTTATAATGGCTCTATTAATAAAAATAATTGCGATTTGTTTAAAATAACTTGAATGGATACTCATAATTGCTATTTCTAAACTTTACTAGAAAAAATACTCACTATATTATAATATATATATATATTACTTGTATAATTTTCATACAGCTCAACTACTTTATGGTATCTCCCTTATCTGTTTAGTTCCTATTTTATAAAACATAAATACTCATTTTTTAAATTTAAGAAATATTTTTCTGTAAAGCATAATATTATTTTCAAATGAGTTTTAATATAAAATAAAAGATTTATAATCCTTAAAGATTTTTAAGTTTCATCATGAACTAATAATTTTAAATTAATATCTAATATGCTTCTATTCATACCTTGAAGTAATGATAGTGATTTTCAGCCATTAATATGTTATCATAAAATTTTTTTTAAAGAGCCTAAAGGTTAAAATCTTGCTAATACTAAAATGCTTTCTATGGATTTATTCTTAGAAGTTGCTAGTAGGTGTTTTGATCAAAAACTGGATTTGGAATTTTCACTTATGCTTGGAGGATTTCATCATTAGGGAATTAAGTATATTTAGAATAACTAAAGCATTATCCTTTTTAATTAAAATAATTTCATAAATACCGACTGCATATTGAGCAAGAAAAAAGATTAAAAATTTTTCTTTCTTTTAAAGATATTTTACTTGGATTTTTTGCAAAGAAATTTTTGATTCCATAAGAAGCTATTGATTTATTTAAAATCCTCTATTTTAAGTTAAAAGTAACAAAATATTTTTAAAATTGAGATAGTCACAAAAATTTAAGCTGCATACATATTTATATAAACTATTCATGGGAAAAAATGAAACTTGTTTTCTAATTTAAATGTTTGTTATTGGAAGCTTATAGATCTAAATTCTCTTTATATATGTTATTCTTCTACCTAAATTTTTTCTTTTTTATAATTAATCAAAGAATCTTGTTTAAAATATAAGTAAAAAAAATTAATGAATAATTAAAGCAATTTATTTGTTTATTATTTGTTTATCATACTCAAAAAGAATATTTTGCAAATCATTTTCAAAATACGTACTATATTTTCAGTCTTATTTTACTAACCCATAAAGATTCCTACTTAAATTTTAAAATGAAAAAATATTTACAAAAGGTTTAAACTTATAATATATTAATTTAATTGCTTTTATAACAAAAATATTATTATCCTAAAGTTTTTATCCTTCTTAAAATATTCTAAAAAATCAATTAGATTTAAATAAATTACGTAAAATAGATTTTTCAAGAAAAAGAAATCACTAAATTTAATTAAAATCTGTAAAGTTTATTATTTAAATTTTTTATGTCAATAGAGAGCATCTGATATCATTAAAGCATCTAAAATTAATATTCTATCAATGATTAATAAAAGTCATTTCTAGTTTCAATTCATTTTTTTTATTGATAAAAAATTCATTCTATTCTTTTTTTAAATTATTTCCAATAAAAGTTTATTTATCTTTCATCATTTTTATTAAAAAATATTAATTAGACACAAACACAAAATATTTTAAAATTATTTTTTAAAGATCATTCATTATTAATTTAACAAAGATTATAAATTTTCTATTATTCATAAAGATATAGTAAAAATGTAATTTCCCTATTTGATTGAAGAAAATTAAATTAGAAAAAATTTTATTTTACAATATCTAAAGCATTTCAAGAAATTTTAAATATGCTAGTATAAAATTTTAACAAAATTAAATATATTTTTTATTAAAATATATTGCAAGTTAACTCGACATATTAGTAAGATATGAAACAATTATAAAACTAAAAAATAAATATTCTAGAAATTAATTCAAAATAATCAATAATTTACTTATCCCATTCTTTTTTTCTAATCATCAGAAAGATTGAACACAGATTTTTCTTAAAAATAGCATTGAAAATTTTTATTATATTAATAATAAACAACTAAATATTAGCATATAAAAAGCAATTGAGCAAAAAGTTACTAAGTTAATAAAAACAATTAGAATATAATTAAACATGGGATTTTGGACTGATAAAGATAAATAAGAAAACTAAAATAGTTAAGGATAGAACTTTTAATAGGATAGTTAGTTCTTTTCTAACCAATTTAGTACATTTAGACAATGCAAAAATGATCCTAATGATAAGAAGTTTTTGATATGCAAAAATATTACTTAAGAATATAAAGATGGCTAATTTGAAACAAAAGAAAGCGAAGAAGAAAGAATTCCAGCTGATTAATTCTATAATAATATGTCAAATCCATTTTAGGGTATAAGTCCATTTTTTGGAATTATGGATAGTTTACTAAATAACACTTTCAATTCAATCAAGCATGATTTCGAAAGTTTAGAAAATAATATGCAATAGTAAAAAGATGATGGTTTCTTTGGTAGAATCAAATCTTTCTTTAACGATGATACTTTCTAAAAAGACGTATAAAACTATTATAAATCCTTTTAGAGTAATTTACAAAGAGATTCGAACAATAATTAACAGGAAAATAATCCTTAGCAATTGTTTAAGCAAACTTTTTCTAGAAGTTCAAGTTCTAGAAGTTGTAAATAGGATCCTGAAGATGAATAATTTTTAATTTGCACTACAACAACTAAAAAAAATATCGATGGATAAGAATCAACTGAAGTTAATGAAGAACGTGTCCCTAAAAGGTAAAATTTCAACTAAAACAGTGTTGAAGACATTTTTAAAGAAATAAATGTTCCTGGCTTATTCTTTTAATCGCCATTATTTATGCCATTTCCTAATATGGGCCAAAATGTAGATCCTTTCGCAGCAAATTCTAATTTTAATAACTAAAGCTAAGAATAAAGATAAAATGATAATTTTTCTAGAAATTCAAGATAGAATTCTGAGAATAATTATAAATATCCTCAATATGAAGAAAAGAAACCCAAACAACAAAGTGGTATTTATGATCTCTGATAATAAATAAACATACTAATTTTAATTAAAAATAAAATAAATTTTAAAATATAAAGATAAAAAATATACTAAACGAATACCATTATAATTCTTAATTTGTGAATAATTTATATAAATTTGTTTTTGTTTTCATTAAATTAATTTTAAATAATTAACTAGCTAATTCATATGACATATTTTATGTTTTTATCTAAGTTTGATTTTTAAAAATTTCTAAGTATTTGAAATACCTTAAATATTGAATAATATAAATTCATTTTTAAACTTTTAAAAATACGATTTACTTATTAAAATTGGATAAAAATAAATGAATTAAAGCAATGATCTAATAATTAAATTATTATGCATATCAACAAATAAGTAATTAGACATATCATTGGTTTAAATCAATAACTAAAAATAAAATTTTTTTCTATTAAAGTTATATTGAAATAAGTAAGAGGATATAAATTTGAAGTATTTTTAATTTTATTATAATTTCTATCTGATAGTACAATTATATAATAATTTAGAGTCTTTAATGTTGGGATTAATTAATGGTTAGATAAATTATACATATTTTAATGATTACCAAATAATAGATAGCGATTTAAATCTGATATTATTATTTTTAAATGTAAATATCTTTTAATTACTTTAAAAAATAATCTATTTTATATTAATTATCAACATTTTAAAATCTTCTTACAGATTTCAATTTTAAAATGATTAAAATGAATAATATTGTTGTAGGTAGTTATTTATTTGTATTAATAAAATCCATCGTTTAAAAAATTATTTGCTTTCAAATCTCTGAAAAAAATATGTTTAACATAAATTTTTAGAAAAATAATAAACATTAAATTTAATAAAAATTTGTGCTGGTTTTATGGTTAAATTAATAATATTGGATCGCTTTTTTAAAAGAAAAAAAAGTATACTACTATTACATTTTATGGAAAATTTTTATTATTTTTTATTTGATATTTTAAAATAAACAAATTTATTTATAAATATAGTTATTATTAATTTACTAAGACCAATTCCATAATAAAAAAGTAATTTGTGAATGCTTTTAGCACACATCAATCATTAAAAGTGTGGAAGAATATTTCTTTATTGTATTTCTTATTGTGTCAAATATGCGGTTGCAAATGAATGGAAGGAAATATAAACCAGCTAACGAGATATTAATCAGTTAAATGATGCAAATTTAAAGGTCAGTAAATAAAATATCGTGCATACATAGCTAGTTAATATTGTAATTTTGAAGTAATTAAATAAAAAGAATCTTGATTATATGAAAAAACTGACTTTTAAGTTAGATAAAGATTAAATTTCTGAAGTTAATTAAAAAATGAGAATTCCATATTTTTTTAATGCCAAAATTTTTAAAATTTTATAAAAATCTATGTAGGAAAATTAACATAAAAAATATTTTCAATTCGGACTATATAAATAATAGCAAATTCAATAATATTAACTCTGAAATAATGATGTGTTACTAGTAGTTAGAGGAAATAGACGAAATATTAATATATAAATGGTGACAAATAAAATTTATTTTAATTTTATCAAATTTACTAAAGAAGGATTGAAATATAATTTAAGAGCCAGCTCTTTGTGTTTGAGGTTAAACGTAAAAGTAAAGAAATAATAATACATGACATCATATGATAATGAAAATAAATGAATGCTATTGATTTATAACTAAATCTAAAAATGCATCATCTTCCGATGTCTATAAAATTAAATGATTATTATAAAATACTCTTTGAAGGAAGAAAACAAATTATATTTAATTTTTGTATTGGTAAATTACTTATTTTCGTATACAGATATTATAAGTAATTGATTTGGATATTACGTATAAAGTAGCTTCTTCAATTTATGTTGATTATAAGGGAAAAATATAAATTAAGTTATGATAAAAAATTATAACCTATATACATAAATAGATTTAAAATCTATGAGCAATATAATTTCTTAGAATTTTTCATTTTGTTATGTTATCCTAAGTATCAACTTCAAAAAGCTACTCTTACTTTTTTCATATTGAATTTTTAGATTAATAATTATTTTGCTTGAATTGATGAATATAACTAACAAACAAGCTATCTATTTGTTAATATTTTTTCCTAATAGACAAGAGAGGAAAAATCAATAAGGTGTTAAACCCAAAATAAATACAAGGGAAAAAAGCTCATAATACATTTTAAAATCGTTTTTTAACAGTTGCATAAAAAAATGAAAGAGATTTGAATTGAATTTTTACCTTAGAAGGCAGTGATAATAATTATTAATGTTACAATTTATATATATTCAAATACACAAAATAATATAGAAGTAAGAGTACGGACAGAGTTAATGATAAATTAAATAGAAGTAAAATTTAATATAGTGATTTTATTGCTTATGAAAATTTATTTTTTTTGTTTATTAAGTCCTGCAATTTATTTTATTATTGTCTATTCAGGCTTAAATATTGAAACAATAGAAATTTTTATTTCCTATGAGACTTGTATAAGTTTTTTTCAAAATCTTTGTTAATTCGTATGTATTTTAAGAAGCTTTGAGAAGATAATATTTGAGGTCTTTGTTGTAGAGAACTCCTGAATACATTTTAAAAATTTGTTAAATATGAGTTTATGTCTGCTCACATGCTTATATGCAGGCTGATAAGTATATTACTTCATGCTCAGACAAGAAGATTTAATATTTTTATCAATCTCAAAATGCTAATTAATTACATCAACTATTTTAATTAATTTTATTTAAGTGACTCATTATAATAAGTTGAATTTTATTTATTTATAAATAGATTAGATTAGATTGCTTATGGGTAAATAGATTGTCAATTATTTCCTCAATTGTAATCATTATTAAAAACGAAATTATTGCAAGGGAAGTTTTTTCCATAGAATCCCATGAATTAGCCTTAGTATGGCTTTGAGTAGTCATCTTCATAGAAGTATGGCTCTTCTCCTTATCTATGTTCTAATGATTCATTGAAGTCGCTGTTGAGTAGGGCTTGGGGTTCTTAAGCATACTCATCAAATAAATCATCTTCTGAGAAGTAAGGATTGATATTTTCTGAACAATTATAATAATTATAATTATTATTGAAATTAATATTGGAATTATTATATTATATTTCATTATTGTTTTAATTAATTAAGCCTTAATAATTGTTATTGTTATAATTATTATTAATGCTGTTGTTGGCATTATTCATATTGCTATTCATGTTATTATTGTTATTGTTAACATAATAGAACATTTAATTTTAGAATTATTAATTAGGGTTTGGTTCATATTTTTATTATTAAATTGGTTATTTTTATTATTTTACTGGATTGAAAGCAGCTTATTGAGGATAAGATTAAATCTACTAAACTTGTTCAACAGGATTTTAATATCCTTAGTTGTCTTCAATCTTAGCAATATCACTTGATGGCTGAGAACCTTCTTCAGCATATTCTTCATCGTCCTCTTATTCTTCAGAGTTTTCATCTTTTTCTGATGATATTCTTTGATAGTCATATATGTTTTCTTGCATGTATTCTTCCTTTATTTCAACTTTTTCCTTAATGCTCTTGTCTTTAATCTAGCAATTTAAGTTTGCATTGCTGCTATTACTGAAGCTGCTTTGAGAAGATTAGTGGAAGAGAGGATAAGAACCTTAAGAGGATTGATAAGTGGATAAAGAGTTGGATTAGCTAGAGAGCTATTACATTTAGGGATTGCTGTAGAATTGAGGCTTAGCACTGATTTCACAAACAATAGTTTGGTTTGGAGATGATTCAATTAAAGCATTCTAATTATTACCAACAAGCATGTTAATGATAATTTAATTATTCTTTTAGTTCTGTTAATAATCGAATTCAAGCTCCTTTTATTTTAAGACAAGCATACGTTTTTTGTAATAACTTGTATTGTTTTTACTGTATTTGGGTAATTTTATTTTCTTTAAGGGACGTTCAGGGAAAGCACTCTACCACATTCCGTTAAAGTTCTTTATGTTATTGTTAACTGAGTGTTCTAAAAGCAAGAAAGCAACAAGCTTCTTCCACATTTGTGAGTTAAAATTGGATGAGGAGTGAGCTGTATCTTCCTAAATAATTTAGCAGAGCTTACGCTTGTATTCACTGTAACGATTCTTTTCCTTTAATTCACTAGTGTATATGTTCAAAATTCCCATATACTTAGGTAGGATACGATCTTTTTCTAATTTAAGCTTGTTTTTCAATATAACATGAATTTCACGATAGACTTAAAGATTGTAGTCTTACATAAGAAGAGGAGCTATGTAGTCCTCTAAAAAATAGTTCATCACAGTGTCTTAGAAACGTTTGTTTATGTAGTTGTAATCTTTGTTTAAGTTGACGATCCAACTGAGGATAGATTCTTTGATTTCCATTTTGATTGACTGACTAACTGGTTTTTTTTATTTATTTATGTATTTAATTTTTTTTATTTTTTGAAGGAAATGAGTGATAGGAATTAATTAATTAAATAGTTTGTTTGTTTGCTTGTTAGTGAATTATTTTTATGATTTATCTTTTTATTTATTTATTTTTTGATTAATTATTATTTGTTGAATTGCGCTTGTCTTGAAATTATATATAGTTTAAGAAAGTGGGAGCTAATTTATTTATTTTGATAGAAATCCAATATTTTTAGGGTTGTATCTTTTCTTAATTAATTATTGCTTACTGAAAATAAATAAATCAATGAATTCATATAATATATATATATATATATTAATATCTGATATTACTTAACATCTTGTCTAATTATTTTGATTTCATTAATCAAGTCAACCTAAAAATATGATCTGATAGAATGTTTGATCATCTTATACCCAAATTTAATGAATTATAATCAAATTATTTATGTTTTGCTATTTTTTCTATTTTAGCGCTATATTAATAATAAGTATATCAGTTTAACTAACAGAAAAGTCTTAAGCAAAAAAATAGATAAGATATAATTTTGTTTTGAAAGTTGCATTGAAATTTATATTAAATATTCAAAAAAATTTAGCCTTATTCGACTGATCCTCCTAAGCTAAGCCTGATGCCAATCGAAGGTGCCAATTATATTTCATTTTGTTTATGTATTAGTTAGAAACAATTGAGTACCATTTTGTTTATATTAAGTAATTATTTAGGAAATAAACTTACAATTTACAATATACCCTATCAATCAGATTAGAACTACTAAGAAACAAACTATTTGAAATCTCGATATAAATCATATTTAAAAAAAAAATCATATCTTAGTGAGAAACAGGTACTATGTAGATCATATTTGAATATGTAAAAAAAATCATTTTTCAGATAAAGTGAAATAGGCTGCTTATATAAAATGGAAGAAAAAAAAACATTAAAGGCTTTGTAAAAAGCTTTAATCAAGCTATTTATTAATCCTTTGATTAAATTCTATCAGAATCTTAAAAGACAGAGGTAAAATTGAAATTTCAGCCTATTCTCCCCATTGAAAATATTAAATTTTTAAATTTAAAAAAAAATAACCTAAGATAGCCTAACATTACGGTTTCTCTTGATTTAATTGATTAATCATTTATGTACAAATTTAAAATTAAGGGAATTTCATATGATATTTATCAAAATGTTTACCTCAATAATATACTTTTGCATGTTAAAAAAATGATACACTTCTTTATTAATTTAAATATCTCAAAACACTACTTGCTATGTAGCCAAATTAATATGCATGCTCATTAGTTGATTATTAAAAATAGAAAGAAAGCCTAAGTTAATTTAACAATAATATATATTTGTAGATTAAACTAACTTTCTCATCTTATTAGCAATTTTGCATGGATTAATTCAAATTTTTATTACAAAATTATTGCTTTAAGACTAATTTAAAATAAAAATATAAATAGAAATTATACTATTATAAAATATAAGGCTGAGAAGCCATTTTATATTAATTTTGATTGCTCTTTTATTAAATAAAAGCTTTGGAATTAATGTATTCATGGATTTAACTACCCAAATTTTTAATTTTTCATGTAAATAAATGCTAAAGTAAAAATATCAAACAATTTATTAAATTTATCGATACATCATCTTTTTTTAATTTGAAAGTCTTTAATTCATATTATCAATTTTATCAAATGAAAATCAATCATAATCTCTTTATTTCAAAGATGGAATATATCATATTTTATGTTTGAAATAATATTCGAAATAAGTATGCTGAAAAATTTAGAAACATCAAAATATTTAAATTTCTTATTATTCTATTGTAGATTAGTACAGTTTTATTAAAATTTGAATAAAGTAATTCTGAAAGTAAACTTATATTTAAATATAAAACAATTCACCTATTTACATATTTATAATTTAAATATTTAGCCTTAATATGCTCTCATGCAATGTATTGCAACAATCATCTTAACTCCCAATTAACTTTTTAGACCTATTGATTTAATTTATAATTTGTTTGGTCAATTTATATAATGTTACTATAAAAACGACTTGGTGATGCAAAATAGTGAATATGAAACGCTAGTTTTGAGACTATATATTTTTCAAATAAATTTCCTGTGAATAAATAAATACATATTTAAAATGAGATGATACTAATCAACTATCCATATTTGTACTACTTTTAATTGTAATTTTTGTCTAATACCTAAAGTACAAAAATTTTGCATAATAAAAAATGTTGATCCGAAGAGTTTTATTTGCTATATTTTTTATAAAATCTTTGTAAAGCTTAGACATTTTTACTATATTAAATTCTATTTTCGATTGTGAATTTGTTTTAACTATATACAATTTAACTAATTAATTTTAAGAGAATACAAACGTGAAATTATTATTGTTATTATTACTAACCATATTCTTTCTTATCTCAAGTGTTAGGGTAAAATAATTTAATCATAGAATTAGTTTATTCCATGGCTTTAAAACTATTTTATTTGGAATACTTTTAAAATTAAGATTAAAAATTTATTTATATTTGTGATGTTAATAATAAATCTTTAATATTAGGTATAAATTCTATTTTCATCAAATTACAGATTGAGTTTTAGTTATCAAAATTTAATAGATAGATTTTGTTAAACAATTATTTTGTATTTAGATAAAGCTATTTAATTGGTTATAACTTATATTTTTACTAAAATTTTCATTCAGATATTTACTATTTCAATATTAAAAAAGCAAATAAAATCACATAAAAATTATAAATTTTTTTCTAATGTGAATGATGTATTTAACTAAAATATATTTTTAATTAATTTCTGCTATTAATCTAAATCTCATCTATTTGTAATGCAAAATCAATCTTACATATATTTTATTTTATTATACTAATTTTATCATTATATTGAAAAGGTCAGGTCTTTTTTCTTATTTCTTTGATAATAAAATAAATACATATTATTTTTGTGAATTAGCTATTTTTCAAAATCTTAAAATAAAATTCAAATTTAATGCAGAGCAAAAAATATATATTTAATTTATGATAGTTAGCATTTTAAATTCTAAAAAATAACTAATAATAATTAATTTTTATAAATTATTCAAGTTATTTTAGATTTTATATCATCTAAATCTGTGAGTTAAAAGAATCTCCTTTATAACTTATTAGCAAAATTATAAAATTTTTACTACAAATTTTTCTCTAGTTTTCTCAATAATGATAGAAAATTGTTAAGATATAATTTTCTTCATGCATTTATTAATTATGGCGAAATCATCTTCAATTTGAATTTCTGTTTCCATATCTAATACTATTTAATTTGAAAGAATTAAAATCTTAATATTAAATTGATTTTAATTATATAGCATAATTTATAATTATTTTTTACTTATTTTGATATTTTGTTGAAAAAAATTTTAAAACAAATAAGATAATTTTTTTTAACTTTTCTTTTTATATTTAAAATTAAAAGCAAAAAATAAAAATAAACAACATTGTAATTTATTAAATTTATATTGTAAAGCATTTATTTTTTTTTTAAATAGCATGTTTTTGTTGTTCATAAAAAATATGGTAGTTATGTGTTATAACAAATACTAATTTAAACTTTTAAATTTTATATTTTACATTTTTATAAAATTGTTTTTCAAAAAATTAAATTTCACAAATAATATTTTTTATGATTAAATTACTTAATCTTTCTTTCTTTAGAATAATATCACAATTTAGTTTAAAAACTGATTATTAATATGATTTTTTATTTTTTAAATCAAATTAAATGCAAAACAAATTTTTAGTATAATAAAATTAAATTATTTTTATAATGTATTTATTTATCTTAAAATATGTTATGAATGATGAGGTGTATTTCTTTTGTTAACTTTGAAGAGCCCTAAAAAATATTTATTATAGTAATTATGCTAATATAATTAGTTAGTTAACAATTATTGCAATTATAATATTATTATAATAAAAGAAAATAGTATTTGTTATCTTTAACTAATTCAAATTATAATTTAAAATGTGTAGTTATTAACATTTTTATTATTTCAAAATAAATGAAGAGGGTATTTTTATTTATGAAAAATAGCTAAATTAAATAAGTTCTTTAAAAGTATTTAAACTGTTAATTAAGTTATATTTTCACCTATAAAAGCTAAAAGTTAAAAAATAAATATTTAAAAGCTTATTTATATTATACTTTATCATATATGTCTAAAAACTCTCAAAAATATTTATCAAATATTTTAATTAGACAAATTTTTATCTATCTATAAAATAATAATAATATGTTAAGTTTAATTTGAATTTTTTATTTGATAAAATAATTAGTGCAATTAATTTTTTTATTGTTAAAGTAAGAGTAATTAGTTTCAAAATAAATATATGAGTTTATCATTTTTAAAATAAAAATTTTAAAACCATTTGTGTTAAAAAATAAATTCATTAATATATTTAAAATAATATTTTAATTCATTTTGATATGGAATTATTTTTTTGATCATAACTTAAACAATCGTTAATTTTTTAGTAATTTATGAATGAAAGTTAATAAATGCTATTGCAAAAGTAATTAAAGTAAGTTCTTTATTAAATTATTAATAATAATTTTTGTAAAAGTTTCACAGTTTTATAATTTTGAAAAAATTAAAACAGTGTTTTAAAAAATTGTACACTCATTTTTTGAAGTTTATATTTTCTATAATATTAATCAATGATTATTCTAAATTCTAAATATAATTATGTTTAACTAACTAATTTAAAATTCTAGTTTTTCTATTGTTTATTTTAAATAATAAATTTTATTGTATAAATTTTAAGTCAAAATAGTTACAGGTTTTAAAAATATCTATATTATATGTTTATTTATTTATAAAAAAATAATAATTTTCTTAACAAGAAAAATTATACTTAACTGTAAGTCAATTTTTATACAAACAAAAACTAATAGTTTTATATCATAATATAGTGAAACCTCTCTAAACTGGGTAACTAGAGATAAAACTCATCTTATAAGGGTTTCCAGTTTTACAAACTTTATTGTAGTTTTTAATTATTAAATCATGTTTTATTTTGAAATAATCTACTTAACCTATTTAATATAATTTTAAAAAAATTTATAACTAATCACTTAAAAAATTATTAAAATTAGATAATTTTGTTGAAAAAATATAAAATATTTAGTATTAATTTTTATTCAATCAGATAAATACTGATAAAAACACATTTTTTATTACATTTAAGTTTGATACTTATTATATTTCAAGTAATCATTTTTGCTGTTTAAAAACTAATATATACATATTTTTTTAAAAATAAAAGCTAATTAAACTAAATTATTATTAAATTTAACAATAAAATGAGGTATAAAGTTCAAATAAATTGCTTATAGGATATTTATCTTTCTTTTAAAGAAAATATTCTATTTTCTTACTAATAAAAAAATTAATTTTTCTATTTTTATTTTCATATGTTGAAACCTTATTAATGGCTTTTTCAAAAGAAATGTTTTCGAATCAAGGAGCCAAAATTGCAATATCTATGGATTATATTACATGTTTGATATTGCTTAAATCATTTTAAATATAAAAAATAATTTTTTAAGCTTTTAAACATAATTATGAAATTCGTTTGAAAGAAAACTAAATCTAAATATTTTCGCCTGTTTTTTTGTATTTTGATTGCAATTTTAACTTATTCTTCGTGTTACAAAAAATGATACTTTTTTAGACATCTGAAACTCTATTAAAGTTTATTTATAACATTTTTTAATTGGATTTAGCTCTGCGTATATAAAATGAGACAAATAAATGATAGATTTGTCGGAAAATTTATTTGATAAGAAGATATTCATTTTCTTATTTTTAATTAATTAATTTCATTTTTTTACTAGATAATTCTATATTACTCTGCAAATTTCAAATTGTGTATTTTTTAAAATAAACTGATATAAAAAGCAGATTCACTAATTAATCAGAAATTTCATTTCTTTTTTTATAGAAGAATGTTTTTTAGTCAACTAAAAGAGTGTATAAACAAGTAATAAATTTTAAAGAAAAAATTGAAAAAAATTGAAGGAAATTTTGAAAAAAATTGAAGGACATTTAAAAATAAATTAGTTTTTTTTATATTTGAAAAATTTTTTAAAGTTTAGCTACAAAATTAATTTGAATGTTTTTAAATTTTATTATAAATGGATGGAACTTTTATGTAGTTGTATGTAATAAACCAAATATATTTAAATAATTTGTAAAGAATAAATTTAAAAATATAATATAAATATATTCTTTGGATAATAAGTATAATTTTTAAGTTAATACTCATGAGTATCCATTTATTTATAGAAAATAAAGCAACATATTTCAATTTATATGCATTAAAAAGCTCATCCAAATTTAACCCGATTTTTAAATCGATTATTTATTAAAATAAAAAATTAACTTTTATCATCGCAAAAGCAAACTCAGACATACAACTTTTTAAAGTAAAGTCAATTATTTTTATATTTTAAAAATATTTCTTAATCCCAATACATGCTAGCTTGTAAAAGAGCTATTTGAACTTATATATGGTCAATTTTATAATTAAATTTCAAGAATGTGCAAGAGTATTTTTTGTAAATAATTAAATAAGAATATAGAACTTTTGTTTTAAATGTAAATTAAAAACTAATTTGATATTGAGTAGGTAATGATAAAAATAAATAACAAACTTTTCAAGTTATTGTTTTGAAAGCGATCACTTGATTTAACACTACTTTTTCTCTTTGTTTAAAAATACTTAATAAAAAACTTAGTAATGTTATTTTTAATATTTACAATATTTTGATGATTTTGGCGCATTTTAACTCAAAATTTTATGTAAGATTAATTAATTATTTAGTAGCTTGAATTTGGTTTTGCTTTCGGATGGAAAACATTAAGAAATAATGATTGTAAGGTAGAAATAATACTAATGTAAATGTGTGTAATCAAAAATAATCACTTCTATCTGAATATATCAGAAAAGGTGTAAATAGGTCTTTGAAGTCAAATAAAAAATTACTCTGCAAAGCATGAGCTTAGAAACAATAAATTTCAAATATAAGTTAATTAAAAATTTATGATTGTAAACTGAAAGATGTTTGAATGAGTTAATATGAAGAATAAATAAAATGATTGCAATTTTTCTATATTATTGATAGAATTGCGCTTGCAAATTTTACATTTAAATTGGAAAAAAAGAATATAGAAAAAAAACTTAAATTAAATTATCGAAAATTTTAAAAGGAATTAGAGATTTAAATAAATTTTGTTTGATTTTACTGTTAAAATAATACAAATGATTAATTAATATTGATTGATAAAATATACACAAATGCTAATAATTAAGACAATTAAAAATTTATTTACTTAATTAATTGTTTATAAAGTTTGATTAGTTTCGATTAATTATTTTGATTTGAATGAAAAAATTTAAATGAATTAGTTTGTTTGTTTGTTTGTTTGATTGTTTATTAGGTATATTAGTGAGGGAAAAGAATAAGAAGATAAGAAGGAGAATAATTATTATAATAGGCGTGTTTAAATATATATATTTCATTTTTCCTAAGATTATTCATTATTAGATTTAATTCAAACTGTTCCAACAACTTTAGGCAATTGTTATGCTAATAACAAATTAAATTACTTTTACTACTCAACTAACATCATTTGTTGTTAGTACTACTACTGTAATAATTATTGCTATTATTAGTGTTAGAGAGCAATCATTTGTTGTTAGTTGATCATGATGTGTTGGGGATTTATAAATATAGCTTATTATCCAAAAGGAGATACTACTCCTTGGAACAAGTTATTATTTGATTGGTTTATTATTTATACTGGAGGGATGGTAACTATTTTTTATCCTTAAAGCAAGAATTGAGAAGGTTAAGGAGGAATTACTTATTGTAGTGGAATTTAAGGTTGGAAAGCATATATAGAAATATTCTGATTATTAGAAGCGAAGCGCACCTCTTTTGAATCTTACAAATTGTTTGAAGTGTGGGATATTGAATCTGATGCTGTTTCGAAGTTATTAGTGTAAATAGAAGTGCTTTCACAAAAAGATTTTTATTGAGGTTGATTGTTGGCATTGATCATTTTTAAGTTGTTTTTGTTCATATTGGAATTCTTGACTGTAGAATTACAAGTAGTGAGAGAACTGTCAGCAAATTCTTATTTGACTAAGAGCTTTTGCTTCTCCTATTTTTCATTAGTTTAGGAAATAGATGAGTCTTAATCATAAGAACTATCCTACTATTTTAGGCAAGATTTTTATGATTAATTTTGCATATTTTATGCTTTTTAAGAATTTGAATAGGATGTTTTAGAATTAGGTCTTCTCTTTCTAAAAATCTTTTAATCAAGGAAAAGGCTATTCCAAATATCAAAAATAGATGTTAAGCTGCGATCAAAACTATGAGCTAGCACAAACAAGCCAAAAGCTTTCTTCCAAGCGTGGGAGATATATTCTTGTGATTCAGGATCGAACGAATTTTCTTAGAGTGCAACGTTTTTTAAGAGCTGGCGGTATTCATTTATAAGATCGAACCCTTTGTGAACATCAAAGTAGATATTCATCATAATCATGTATTTAGTACCTTTATATCCACGCTCTCCGGCAAGTGAGGTTAAGTAACGACGAACTTCTCTATTGGATTATTTGTCGAATTAATCACGTAAGTAGAATGAACCATAATCTTCCAAAAAATAGTTCATGATAGCATTTTGGAAATGCTTGTTAATGTAGTAACGGTTTTTGATTTTTTCATCAAGGATTTTAAGGATAGAAGTCTTGATTTAGTTAAGGCTTTCTTCAGGTATTAGCTCAAGGACTTAAGAAAGAATCATTTGAAGGGAATTTAATATTTTTGTTAAATAGTGATAATTTATTTATTTATGAGTTAATTAGTTGCTGAAAGTTTTTATTAAATTTTTTTAGCTTAGATTATAATTTTTTTTTTTTAATTAAATTATATCGTTTAGGTTTCAACCCATTAATAGAAACTAGTTCGATAGATAAACAAAGTAAACTATATGATGCATTTATTCCTATTTCTAGATTAATTTGATTTTTTTTAATTACTGTCAAAACTTAGTTTTTGAATAACTTACTTTGTTGAACCTTATATCATAATTTATCTATGCCTTCATAGAAGCATATTTATTTCATGTCGCAGAATTGCTATTCAGAATAAAGCTGACTTATTCATCAGGAACTTTAAAAACCTTAAAATTTTAAGAAGAAATACTTCTAATTTATGTTTTTTTAATGCTTCAAAAACTGACGGGTAAAAGGAAAAAAATAGATTTGCATCAGTCATATTATCTTTATTTAAATTTTTCTAGCTGCTCTTGATTTGAATCCTCAGGATGACTTTGCAATTAATTTCTATCTATCTATTTATTTATTTTACAATATTAAAGTTTTAATAAGATCATAAATCTAAAGGGGTAATTAGAAATAAACAATTCAATCAATCAAAAGAGTTTAATAATTCTATACACACTATTAATTTGTTAAATTTGATAGCAGTTTCAGCTTGTATTATTAAATATCTCAATTAAATAATAAAGCGCCTAAAATACTGAAATAAAATGTTTATATTTTTCACTCGCTATAAAATTTTGCTTAGATGTGAATAAATTGATGAATTTAGAAAGAATTCAAAATATTATATGAATCGAATCATTTGCCATTAAAAGGCCAATGAGACAATTAAGAAAATAAGCTATTTATCTTACCCTTCAAAGTTATCAATAGAAAAATCAAATCAGTTGCTGCTTGCTTTAATATGAACCTATTTAAGTTTTGCATAGAGAAAATAAATAGTATTAATCTTAAATCAATCCAGACAAAGATCTTACAATGTTTTTAATGAAATTTTATCTGATTACAAACAAGATAGAATCTTATAGGCTGGGAAAAGGATTATAGCTTTTAATTAAAATATAAACCTTTAGAATCTTAGAATGTATTTTTCTTCTTAATTATTAAATTTATGTGAGCATTCACTAAGAGAAAGTAGTAATATTACTGTTTTACCATCAATAGATAAATAAATATAAAGATACACATTTTAAATTCCCACCCCTTTTTTATTTGATCATTTCTATAAATATTTTGAGTTCAAAAGCATAAAAAAGGATATCGCTATTAATGCTTACTCATTCACTCTTAAAATTCAGTCTATATCTATTTGTATTTAAATTTGTACCCTAATACCTGAGCAACATAAGAAATTAGCTAGTATATGGCTGTACTTTAGGTATTTAAAAGCTTCTATGCTTTCTTAATAGAACTGTTTAATGAAATAATCACTTATTTATTTATAACTATTCAAAATTAATTACTCCTTTTTGTACAGTGATTCACAAAAATTACACTTAATTAATTTGTTAATGCAATTTTAGGTTTATCTTTATTGGCTTACAATTTAACTGATAATTTAAAAGTTTCATAGAATATAAAGTAAAAAGAATATTATTTTTTCACTGTCGAACAATAATTCATATTTAGTCATTCTTTAGTTAAAATATGAAGATATTTATTTAATTTTTTATTCTTGTAGATATTAGCGCTTTTTCTTATTTTTGGCTTTTGTGTAAATTCTTCAAGAATGGATAGATTACACATAACTGAATTGATTTATTTATTTAGAAGTGTTGCATAAAATTAACTTTAGAAAGAGTTTATTTAGTTTTATTTTTTTATAAATAATACTCAAAATTAAAGGTTAAATATTTTTTATATGCAACTAAATTTATTTTGTTATAAAACTTTTCAATCAACAATCGCATAGAAAATTTATAATTTTATAAATTGATGACTTAAAACTATTATGAAATACAAATAATTATTAATTCTTATCATCCTTATACAGATTTAAAGGGAATTTAATCAAAAATTTTTTTAAACCGCTGTTTGCTTATTATAAAAACAAATTATTAAATTATTGATTTATTTTAGAACAAAATCATAAAAAACTAACCACTTTTTTAAAATTATTTTTAGGTAATATTGTTGAAATATATGAAAATTTATAACCAAATTTCCTTTTATTTGATAACTTTTTAGTTTTTAAATTTGATAATAACTTTTTAAATTATGCATAGCTAGTTAAATAAAATTGATATATTGATAAGATTCGATAATAAAAGTAAATTTTTTTTCAGAAATCAAATTTGATATTTTCGGAAGATCAATTTATAATATTTAAATATTTTTTTTGTTTGTTAAATCCATAGCCAAAATTTAGGATTTCTACTTTGGCAAAAACCGTTTTTTTATTATATTTTCAAAGAATTTAAATTAGCTATCTATGTTAAAATTAAAACATTTCGAACAACATAAAAATAGTAAAAATGAAGCAAAATAAAAGCAATGATAAGTGCTGAACTTCAAGTTGAAAGTATTATAAAGTAATAAAACCTAAAGTTATTTTACTATTTTGCATCAATTCAGCTATTTGATAAGTTTAAATATTTAACTAGATAGTTGCTTAAACTTAAATCAAATCAATTAACAGAGTGATTTTTTTGATAAATATGTAAATGTCCTGAAATTTACATGTAAATTTCTTTATTCTGATAAATTCTCTAGTTTATTGAGCTATTGCCTTTTTTGATTTGTAAAGTCTTTTAATCTTTTGTTTTTTATCCTGAATTAAAAAAGCTGCAATCCCTAACACTTATATAACTAATTAATTAGTTGCTTATTATTTACCTTACCCATTACCCCTTTTAAAATATAATAAATAATAAAACATAAGGTCTTTTCTAATTATTTATTCTGTAAAATAACTGAGCAAATAAACGAGTTTTTTAAATAAAAAATAAAACATATTAATAATAGAAACAAACTAAATAAAACCTTACAAAATAGATTATTTTTTTGTTTATTCATTTAAAAAAATACTTATTCTTGTTTTTTTGTTAAGTTTATTACTAACTCTTGCTTAAGTAATCAAATAATTTCGTATAGAGTAAAATAGTCTATAACTCTGTAAAGAAATTCTATAAATTGAAAGAAAGAAATATCTTCTTGACTATTAATAAAATCAATTATTGATTTCAATATTACTAAATAATTCTATAAAACTTTGATAAAGATTTTAGATAATTTTAATAGTTTCAGTAAGATAAGTATATACAAAAGATTAAACAATTTGTTAATGCTTATAAAAATACAATTTTTTAGGTTTAATAAGCCTCCATTTCGTACCTTCCTTCATTCTCCGTTATGTACTAATTTAAACCTTAAAAATCAAAGATTTTTATCAGTTTATAATTTAAATTAGTATCACTTTATAGATTACATAAATTATTTATAAGTTAAATGTTACATTTCTGATAAAAAATTGGTATTTTCTGAAAATTAAAGATTTAAACAATAAAGTTTAAAATACTTTAAAGAAACAAATTTTGTATTTTATGTTACAATTATTTTTTCATAATGAAAATTAAATTACTTTTCCCCATTAATTAATCACTAAATGAATTAAATATTTTGTAGTATTAAATATAAGTCGCAGTATTATGAGCTTAAATTTACTATTTGAATTCATGAAATATAAAATTAGTGATTCGAGCACGATTTATAATTTATTATCACTTATTTTAGACAATACAATTCATCTTCTTGGTTCATTAAAAACAAATTTAATTATACTTTAAACTAAAATTAATAATATTTTTTTACAATAAAGAATTTGCACTTTTAGAAATAGAGATTATTGACATTACTTTAAAAAAATAAAACTACATATATTATGTAGAACCAAAAGCAAGCTAAAAAATACTGCATGTGAACAAAGATAATTAATAAAGAAAAATCTCGAAGCTTAATTATATTAAAACTAGAAAATTACTTCTATAAAAGAGTAGAACGCTTTTAAATTGGCTATTTTAATTAACTGAGGTGACACTTAAAAAGTAATTTCAGTATAATAAATTCTTACACAGGAAATTTTTACATAACTTAGTAAAATATTAAGCGTAAATTTCAAGAGGGAATTAAAGACGCTTATTTTCTATAAAAGTAAGATAGAAATCAAATATTTGAAAATGGGAAATTATCTTTTTCTTCAAATAGAAAAATTAAAAATTTTTGTGATAACTTTTTTATCAATTATTAATTTGATTTTTACAAAATATGATACATTTGTTATTATTTTACTTATTATATCTCCAAATGATTAAATTTTCTTTTTACATTACATAAATTTATATATAGTATATATCCTTGATCAATCTCAAGAGTCTATTTGATTTTTCAATGTTTTAACTAGTTAATTCCAAAGAATTTTGTAATATTTTGTAATGTAAAAAGTTACGCTTCTTAAGATAGATACCCTCTAAAATACATTTTACTATTTTTCTTTTTTTAAAATGTTTTTGAATATATTTATTTAATCCTTTTAGTGCCATCTTAAAAAAAAAGGTCTAATTATCTAATTTAGCTCACTTATTACATATAAAATTAGGTTTCATTCTCTTTAAGGATTACACAAAATCTTATTATTTATGGTAACACTGTTTTCAAATATTATTTAGAAATATCTATACTCAAATTTACAATAATCAAGAATTAGATTAAATTTTAATCTTATCTTCGTTTATCCCAAAATATGAGTAAGTATCTCATTAATCTATTTTTTATAAAATCAGTCAAATATATTCAAATTATTGCTTTTTAAATGTCCGTGCTCATATCTTTATCTTTAGGTAACATATATTTTGATAGTAAGATATAGAGCAAGGGGAATTTACTAATTTGAAAACATAATCAGAAAAGCTTTTGAAATAAATTAATAATTAGTTAATTAAGAACCATAAATTGAATAAAGTTTTGTAGTCCCCACACAATCAATCTTAATTTGCTTAATAATAATCTAAATCGCATCATATATTTTCAATTAGTTTAGTCTTAACTCAAAAAGATCTAATAAAGCATTTTTTATTTATAGAACTATTATTGTTGTTGTTAAAAATAAACTTTTTAGTCTAAATTTGTAATAGAATACCTTTCATTTAAATAATTTTTTTTAATTGAGCAACTCTGTTGCTAAATTATTGCAAAAATTATAATTTTATTTTCTTCAAGAAATAAGTAATAAAACGCAAGAATTAACTAGCTCGTTAATATAGAAAATTTTATTTAGGAGCAGTAAAAGTAAATATAACACTTGTTTTTTTACATGATTCTCTATATAAAAAATTGAATGTAAAAAGTTAATTTTTAATTTTTTGAATGAATAAAAAAAGAAAGAAAGAAAGAAAGAAGTTTTTTTTCTATCCAAATTTTTTTATTTATATTTTTTTTGACTTTGTTAGAAATATTTGCAAACAATAGCTATAAAAAAAAATTTAAACAAAACTCATGCTTATCTGGAGCAAATTTTTAGATAATCACAATAATACTAATTTAATTTTATATAAATAGATTTATATTTATGTGTAAACTAACTATTCTCAGCGGCTGATAAATTTTTCTATTCTTTGTTTTTCACTGTATTCGAAATCTTCATTTATTCAATAAACACTTTTTATTCTCTATGAAACTATAATTTTGTAGGATGGATTCATCTTCTAAACTATTTGAATATCTCACATCAAAATATTTGCTTCACAAAAACCCAAATTATAATTTTTTCAAATGAAAAACATAAGAAAAAAATGAACATTTAAGAGAAAATAATTCATTAAAAGTGTTATTGAATTAAAATACTTTATAAAATGAGTGCCATATATTTGATATTTTACTTTCACACATTTATTTTGATATATTATTCTTCACTACTTTTTTTTTTGTGCCTATTTAAATTGGGATAATTTTTTCATTTGCTTCTCTTGTACAAAAATTATCTGTGAATATTTTAAACAATATCTCCCTTGCTTTAGCATTCCTTCTAATATCATTATTAGATGATAACACTTCAATCAGTTCAATATTATAGATAAGTGATTTCTCATAATTTTTGTATTTTCGTTTGAAAAATTAAACTAATTTATCATAGCTACTTTTCTTTCTTTTTTCTAAAATATTTTTAAAGAGAATTAAACCTTGTAAAATGTCGATTTATTTATTTAAAATTATAAAATAAGCAAGTTTGTGCAAGAAGGTACTATGTGAATATCTCACTCACTTAGCTTTTTGCTATTCAAAGGTGCAAAATCGAACGTAAAAAGTATTCAAAAAAAATTAGACAGTAAAGAAAAATGAAAGAAAATACAAAACGAAAAAATAGATGTTTATGAAGCCAATTGCACAGATTATTAAAAATATTTTTATTGAATTTAGTGAGTTATCTGTACAAACTTAGAAATTAAAGCTCCTTTTTATTGATATATAGTAGATTATTTAGGTGTAAATTTCTTTTATCAAATGCAAAAGTGTTATCCTTACTAATAATTAGTAAGTTGGAAACTTCTTTTAGCAGTGAATTTAGATAACTGGATTGAATTAATTTGATGGAAAAATATCTTGAATACAAAATATTTAAGTTATTTTTTTTTTCAGTAAAGAAATAGTACTGAGCAGAGTCTTCCACAAGACGCCTGGCTATTGAGAAAAGAGGTAGTGTAAACTAGATGATTTAAAATTCTAATTTAACCTTTATCTTATAAATTTTGTTTCTCTATTTAGTTTTTTTTTAAGTCTACCCAGTATACTTTGTGAATTTTTATGGTAATAATATTAAGACGGCTCTTTCTTTCTTCTAAATTATTATCGTTATCAATCAGTGAATGATAAAATCTATTAAATAAACACAGTAGCTGAGAGTTGAAGTAAAATTTTCACATTGAAAGAGAATATAGCTTCAATAAATATCACAGTCAGTTAGCCAAAGTCGAAGTTATTATTTTGCCTTCAAGTAATCTTTCTTATAAAAATACAAAAAATTCTTAACAACTCAACGAATTTACTATATTATATCAATATTAAAGTAAAATATCTTATCTTCCTCTTAACACATAGCTACCTAACTACCTAAAAATCTATTTATTTATCGATCTTCTCGCATTCTTTCTTTGAATAATATTTCACAAAAAATTCTTTGAATACATAAATTCGATATTCTTTAATCGAAATTCAAAGCAGATGAGTAAAGCTTATCCTAAAGAAGGATTCTTTCAAGATCACAATTATAACTTGGTAATACGATTTCGTTATCGAATAACACAATTATAAATTTTCAATTGAAACTAATCTTAATCTTAATTCAAAATTTCATTTTTAGCTAAAAAAATTTGCGTTTTATATTTATGATGAACTTAAAGGAGGAAAACTAGACATGAAATAATTTTATTAAATAATAAATAGTGGAATTAGGGAAAATAAAAACTTTAAATGAATACTTACTTACATATAACTGATGTAAACTAATTAAAAATTAAATAAATAATGTTTTTTGACAGAATATTTCTTGTGTTTTCTAGGGTATTTAGACGAATATATACAAATTATTTATTAAAGACAGACACAGAGATTGTTAAATAATTTGATCAATTTTCCTTACGAATATTATTTTAAGAAAATTTTGTCTTTAGGTACATAAAATTCACTAATTAGTATAAATAAAAATATTAATATTTTCCCATGATTATTATTATCATCAATTAAACATATTGCATTTTTTTTCTAGTAATAGTTCTATATATGTTTTCTTATTACTATGATCAAGAAAAATGATCTATATAAAAATAATTGATTTACTCCTTCATAGAGGATCATGCATTTGTTTGAGATATTATAAAATCCTCATTTTCTATATTATTCTGTGTCCTTTCAAATTAACATTTTTAGATGGAAAAAGAAAGTAACATATTTATCTTTTATACATTCATGTTTTGTTATTTAACATTCTATTCTTCTTTATTCAGTGGTATTTGAAATCATCGTGCTTATATGATGCACTTTTCAATCAAATTTTGTAACCTTATAAATTAAAAATAAATAATTTAAAAATCCACACTCATTTAAAAGATAGGAGAAACATCTTTATTTTGTATATTATTGCTAGGAAGAAAAATGTAATGCTAAAATATGAATTGATTTCGTACAATATTACCATACAATTTTTTAATTCATTTTAAAAATATGCAAGCTTGTAAAAGTAGTACAAAATTTTTAAGTTTAAAAAAATTTGTGAAAAAATTAACGTAACAAATATAACCAAGTTTTATCATAGAAGAAAATAGTTTTTAATAAAAAGAATAATGTAAAATACAAGGATAATATGGAAAATTGAGTAAAGAAAAAAATAGTACAAAAATTAAGATTTGGCTTTAATCTAAAAATTTATGGAAAACAAATAAAAATTAATTATTAAAAATTCGATCTAACTAATTAAAATCAATCAAATTAATACAATTCAATCTAATCCAATCCAGATAGCAGCGTTCGTTCGTTATTCTCGTCAGAAAATTTAATTGAGTCATTCAAAAGAGAAAAATTTTTAAAAAACCATTCACTTTATCAATATTTTTTTATTTTATTTTATCATTTTTATTTTTTGAGAAGGAAAAGGTTTCAAAGCCCAAAAGCTTTAAAATTTAGTTTTAAATGAAAATATTTAAGTTAATTTATTACATTATCAAATACTAAAACTTGAAACTCTCAAAGACTAAATATGTCAAATTATCTATTTAATTTCCTTTTTTAATGCAAATAAAAGAGGATGATAATGCAGTTTTCGATTTATTAAAAATATCTAACACCGGCTTATAAAAAGTACAAAAATTAATTAAATTTGATGTAACTCAAGTATCGAACGAAATATGGATATGTACATATATAACATAGTAAACAATTTATAAAAAAACAAATAAAATTTGATGCATAAATTCGAATTATCTAAAAAATATATTTGTCAAATATTCACACAAATTTATATAAATTGAGATCCTCATAATTTTGAACATGTAAAAATTAAATAAATTTAAATTTTTTGGCTAGCTAAATTATTTTTTTCTAGTCAATAATATGATGGAAAACTAACTAGCCTTTAGTTTAATTTTCAAATTAACCAGCTCTCTTGGCACACTGTTATAAAAAAATAAAATAAATTAAAGTAAGTGAGCTGTTTGTATATATTTATTTTGTTTTTATTTATTGATTTATCTGTTTATTAAATGTTGATTCTATTTCTCTAATGTAGGAACTTCATTCAATCAATCAATCTACTTAATTCTTTATGTAAAATTTAAAGCATTTTAAATTTTTAATTTCTATGTCTTTAATTATTAAAACATTAGAACCCCATTTAAAATCACTCCAGTCTAAGTCTGTGTGTATGAGCTCAACCATATTTGAAGAAAGAGGAATGCTTTGTTTTTGCATCTCTTCATTATCAAACTGTTGAGGATCTTTCACTCTAGAAAGCTTATAAGCATCGAATTCATTCACTAAATTCATTTCACCTTCAGGCACTCTACTAATTTCGTATCTATCTTAATCATTTTCTATGTAGAGAGCATGTGTTTAAAGTTTATGACTCATCCAATCTTTCGATTCATCACTTTTATCACAAAAGTTGACAATGCTATACTTATATGCTGGGTCATTACTCAAATTGAATATTATATTTACTTCAGGGATAGGCAAAATATTTCTAGGCTAAAGGACGAAGTTTGGTTTAATCTTTTAATAAAAATAGATTTTTAAATTTGTTTGCTGTTTTTTAAAGTAAAAATAATAGACAAGCAGTTTAAAAAGTTAAAATAACTAGCCAATCATATTTTGGTTGCACTAAAAGCTAAAACTAAACACAAAATTAAATTTATAGAGCAAGTAAAGGTCAGCGCTCTTTTTTTTTGCTAGTTAAAAAATAACAAACAGCTCAACTCAAAAATTTAGGTTTAAAATCTAGTTAATCTATTATTGATATGATTAATTCTAATAAGAACAAAAAAATAAGATAGCGTAAAATTCATAAACAGCTTTGAATTAATGGTCAGCTAGGGTTTTAAAAAAATTTTTTAAAAACTTGATAAATTGGTGACATATTTATTTCATTAAAAACCACTGAACTATTTTTATTAGATAAATCAATCAATTTTTCTAAATCAATATTTTTAAATTATTGGATTATCTTGACTTTAATATAGAAACTAAGTTAAAAAATATATTGATAAATTTTAACTAAATATAGCTAAAATGGTTAGTTGTTAGTGATAGTGATAAATGCATAGTAGCATTTTTTAATATAATATGATAAATTTTTTATATTCCTTGTTTGTTTTTCAAAGTTTGTCTTAAAATATTTATTTTTTTTAATTTATAGAAAAATAAAACTCTAATTTTGAAAAAAATTAGAAACTTTTTATCATAATGATGATTCTACAAATGGCTTGTCTATCACAATTATTTTGCAAAAAATTTTCATAATTTTACTTTCTTTCTACCAACAGGGGTACACATCAAAGCAGCGTTTCTATTTAGATCCTCTTACGAACCAAGGGTTGTAATGAAATTGCATGAGTTTGGCTTTATTGTGTATCCTTGATAAGCTTTATTTGAACGAGAGGTGATGTTATTCTTTTCCTGGCTGATATATGTTTTTCTGTTTTTACTAACTGTGAAAGTTACTTATACTCCTGCGTATTTAGAATCCTTCAAAAGTTCAGGTTAATCAAACTTTACAAATCCATGATGTATTAAAATGCAAACAATATCAGAGTCGCTTGTATAATTTTCACTTCCCCATATATTTCTAGAAAGGTACTACTTATTGAAACGATGTATGTACTCTTTAGATACTCTAACTTCTATTGTTTAATTTAATTGCTCACTAAGATCGGGTAACTTAACACCTAATTATTTATAATAGATTTTTAAATAAAATTTTATAAATAATTTAGTAGATCTTTATTATAATTTTGATAATATAGCTTAATTATAATCTTTAATATCTAGTTTATTTATTTATTTACTTATGTATTAATTTATTTATTTATTATTCATAAAGTTATTAATCGTTTACCTTCCTTGTATAAGTAAAATTTAGATGATAGTTTCTTTGTAGGTTTAGGAGCTTGCTATTAAGTTGCTGTGCTTTAAGATGCTTATGGCGTTTGGTTAGTTGGAGTTGTAGCTTGATTTCCGTTTGATAAAGAATTATTTTGGGTAGCTTGTTGTATTTAGCTAGTCTTTGGCTAATCTTCTTCTAGCTATCTTTGTGCCATATTTCTTTTTTAATTTAATTTCTAATTCTATGCTTATGATGGTTCTTAAGACTACTTGTTAGCATTTGAAGTTTACTAGTTTGCAGATTTAGATATATTTTATTTGCTACTACTACTGGTGGGTGCTTAATTGTTATTTTACTTAGATGCATTAAGGTGCTATGAATTACTACTACTATTTGCTTTGCCTTTTTGCTAGGTTTTTTTTTAAGAAGCTGAGTTAGATTACTATTAACCTTTTTTCTTTATATTCGAGTTAGCACCTTAGCTTTTATCATTTTCTTTGCTATCTTTTTAATTATTACCACCTTCTTATCCTTCTTCTTCATCTTCCTTGTCTTCGTCTTCTTTATCTTCATCATTCTCTTCATCACTTTCCTTTTGTTGATTATGAGTATGATTATTATTATTGGCTTCTTCATCAATATTTGCCTCATCAACTTCTTCCTATTCATCTGCTGGCTATTCCTCCTCCATATCTACATTTGGTTCTTCTTCTTTTAGATAATAAAGTCATAAAAAATTATTTTATTTTAAAATTTCTAATATCTCATATTAGGCCGGGAAAAATAAAGAGTAAATAAATTTATGAATAAAAGTTATTATTCTTACTTTTTTTATTATGTTCAGACTCAGCAGCATCTTAAGAAGATTATTTTTCAGTAGGTTTATTTTCAGAAGTTTTTGTTAATTATGGGGTAAGTGATTATTTTTCTTTTTCAGCTGCTTCAGGCTAGCTTCCTTCTTCATTATTTCCCTATTTATTGGAACCCTTATCTTTTGATTCCTTTTACTACTTACTAAAAGCGTTATTTTTTTATGGAGAATTATTATCAGATTTCTTGATTGGCTACTCTTCTAAAAATGATAAGTTGCTTGATACAGAGGATTCGTATTCTATTTCTTCCATTTCACTTTATTTACTCATCTGTATGTAATACTACTTTAAATATTTATGAACACTTTTTACTTTACTTTATTAATCAAAATTACTACAAAATGATATTTTTTTTATAAAATTAATTATTTTCAATCAATTAATTAATTCAAGTTAAATATTATAAATCAAATGATAGATTTGCCAAAATATGAAGTGCTTTTAATATGAATATCTATCAAGCTGCTACTTAAATATTATCTGATTAAATGTACCAAAAACGAGATAACTCTCATAATTTATATAACTAAAACATTTTACATATAAATATTTGATATAAAAGTGATATTTGCATAATAATTTTTTTTAAATAAAATTCATAATTGAAATTTTTTATAAGCCATTTTGTTATTTCAATAAAAACTTATGGTGATAAAAAATAAATTTTTAAGCTGTTAATTTTTCATTTGAGCTTGTTTTTTTTAAATATAATAAAAGATTGTTGATCCACTCATTGAATTAAAGGTAATTCCTTCAATTAATTTATTTTAAAAGCTCGTCAACAAACTCTTCGTAGCTCTTATTATAGCCTTTTTAGAACGATTCGTATTTATCCTCAATTAATTTATAATAAAACCTAAATAAAAATAATATTTTTATTCAAATATTTGTTATTTTATTTATAAATTTATACTCAAATTCTCTTGGGTCACCTTAATCTGTAATTATAATACTGAAATCTACATAAGATCTTGTCTTGATACTTTATTTATTTATATTACATTAATAAATTTACATTCAAATTAATAAATTTACTAAGATAGACTGTTTAAAAGTATCATTACTTTTTCAGATACCGAAGATGTATTTTTATAAAATTCATCCTTTTTATTTTTTTAAATATAAATTAATTTAAATAATTTATTATTTATTTTCAAAAAAATACCTTAGTTTTTTTCTTTATTTCGGTTAAATCTGTAGTATTAAAGACAGATTTTAAGGTATCTTACTGTACATTCCTATTAAGTAAATATAATTTTAGCTATTCAGAAGAAAAAGAAATATTCTTACGCTGAAATAATGAAAATAATAAATTCTTTTCCAAAATCTCCTAATATAATTTCTTTATCATAAATACTTTAATAGCTCAAACTTAGAGATTTAGGAAAGACATATTGTCCTTTTTCATCATATACTTTAGAGTTTTTGATTTCCTCTAAGTCAAATATGATTGGCACAAATTATGAATCTAACTCAGTTGGACTCATTCGTTAATAGGAAATTATCTAATTTAATGCACTATCTAATCCTTAAGGAATATCTTCTATTTTGTAATAAATAAATATTTTACTTGATTTATTATGAATTTAAATTACTTTATAGAAAATTCTTCTGCTTAAACAACCCTAAGATGCTTAAAATAACTATTTCCATACATGGGAGTAAAGCTGCCTTTATAATTAATAAATTAATTTCAATCTAAAAAAACAGAATAAAATAGTTAGTTAGTTACTCTGTTACATTACAATTAAATAGATATTAATAATCTAAGCTACTGAGTTACATATGTTTCAAATTGCTTGCTATCTCCTATCTTGTGAATTATCTGTTTATATTGAATATATCTCATATAACTTTATAATTTAATAAAGTCTTTTTTACTTATTCCAAGTATAGTTTAGAGTAATAAGTCATTAATATCTTTGGGTTTATACTTTAAAATATGTTCAAATGATTATTCGTCAAAGGCAATATAAAATTATGAACTCTCATAATCCTCTGCTGTTTAGTGTTTGTAAAAAGAAGACAACTCTATTTAAATTTATGATAAAATAAACTGAATATTGTATTTAATTTTTTTCAAAAAGTGAATAATTAAGTCTAAGATAATAAAATTTAAATTATATTTTTAGATTTAATTGAAAATTATTCCAAATAAATAATTGATATAATAATGAGCTAATTTACCTAAAAGCAGAAATAATTTATTTTATTTTATTGTATTTCATTTTAAACTTCTAAAATAATATGAGTTTTCCTATAAATAAAAATAAGATTTGATTATTTTAATTTTAAAAATAAAATTACACATCGCAGTTCATATTTAGCAAATTATATGTATCTGTCCTCAAGCTAGTATTACCCATACAATTAGAAATTGACCACCCATTTGAGCATCTAAGTCTTAAAACTGATTCGAAACTTTACTTAATAGTAATTGATTCTGCTAGGTCACTTTGATACTTTTTATTTTAGATGTCAGCTGGGGAAATATCATAAATTTCTCCATTTGTTTCTTTAGTTATTTTATAAACAAAGGATACTATATCCCTAGATAACATAGATTTCTAATAAAATATGCAAGGAGTAATAAAAGTGTCTTCGAACTTATTTTATATTGAAAATATTGTATAATTTTTATTAACTGGAGCTTGAACATTCAGACTAGAATGAAAAATAAATAACTTTCCACCTGTAAATTTAATATGATCTAAACTAAATTCAAGTGCTTTAAAAAATATATTCTAATTTTATTTTGCTGCTTGCTTTTAACTACTAGATTCACTATCAAAATTTTTATATTTCTATTCGTACATTATTTCAATTTAATCTAATAAAGTAAAAAGATGCTTTTCACAATCTGAAAAGCTGTTAACTATGTCATCTGGAAAAGGATATTCGTAATCTAATTTTTAATGTTTAGGCTCTATTGCTTATTTAACAATTGGATCTTACTTGGGTTTTATATTTTCTATAAGTTTAGTAAAGAAACCTTTCTCACCCTTTTCTTCTTAATTTTCTGTAGTTTATTCATTTAAATGAAACAAAGTATCTTTGTTTAAGATATCCATTTATTCCTCTAAATCTTTATACACAAATATTTATGGATTTTTCAATCTACTGCTTATGTTGAACAAGTGTAGTTCATTATCATATCCTATAATTCCTATCTTTTTAAATTATATATTTAAAATAATTAGGAATTAACTAAAATTATATTTTATAAAAACCTTAATATGTGATTTATTTGATTGCATTGTTTTCGACATTAGAGCGCTTCTTATTCCTTCACAAGTACTCCTTAAAAACCCATTGCTAACAGATTACTGACTAACATCTATCATAAACCAATACACTACTTCTAGATCTCTCTTCACTCTATACCTGTTAAAATTAAAATAATAAATTTAGTTTACGATTAAAATGTAAGCTAAGATTTCAATCTTTGATAACTTTTTCATTTAAAACATCATTTTTAATTCAACATTGTTCAAAAATTATAAACAAAATTTAATTTTACTTGCTAGGAAGCAATATATCGTAAGAACCATGTTAGAGTTCTGGCCTGACAGCTCTGATATTAAAAATTTAATCTTTGTATACTTTTGGTACTGGCTGCATATTAAAACACATATTGCATTTCCATTTGCATAAACTTTCTAAAATTTCACAGAAAGGATTAATTATTGTCTAGCATGCTTAACATCTAGGTACATCTTCTTCATTCATGTATGGAGTTAAGTATAATTAATTTTTCTTAAGCTTAAAATTGACTGTATCTAAGCACTGTTTGTTTATTTATTTATTTAAAAATGCTAAATAACAACCCAGATAAAACAACAAATAATAATACTATTTATTTTCCAGTATTAAAAATTTAAATAACTTAAAATTACTTCAGGCTCATGAAAAGGAGCTAGTGATATTGCTAAAGGTATGCGGCACTCGTTCTAAATTTTATTATTTATAGGAAAATAATTGCTACTGCTCTAAATACACTCTGGAGAACTATTATAATCTCTAGAATCTCTTTATTTATTTTTATTTTTAGATTAATCTAATAGTTTTTAATGTTTTAGCTTAGCTTCTTCTTGCTCTCTCCTTTTTTATAAATTATATTATTGTTCTTTCTCTTCCTATTCTTTTGAGATTCCATAAATTTCTCTTTCTATTTCAGAATAATGAACATTTTAAACATTATTGCTGAATTGATTGTTGTCATCGATATCCTCTTAAGAGTCAGACAGATCGTACTCATTTTAATTTCTTATTTGATTGGCTTGCTAATATTGAGGTTTTATTACATTATTGTAATACTATTTGCTTTGCTAAATTTAATTTTGCTAGTTACTGCTTGCTTATTGATAAGATTATTCTTATTGCCTATTATAAACATTTTGCTATTATAAATGATCATAGTTGTATTAACTTTGTGCTTAATTATAATTATTTTTTTAATAGCTGTTATGGCCTCCATTCTATAAATCCTAAATATTGCTTTACATTTAGTTACTATGAGATTAACCATTTAATTCATATTCATTAGAATCGTTCATAATATCCCCAAGCTTTTACTCATCATAAGAATTGTTTACTTGCTATTAATATTAGTCGTAATCGTTTTCCTAATTAAAACCATCATAATCATCGTTTTCATCTCTTAGATAATTGTCAGTTGCACTTGTATTTTAAAGCTATGAGTTTGAAAGATGATTTTTTTCTTCTCCTCTTTTAATTATTTTTTAATGAACACTCATATTGACTTATTTAATATTCGCTAATAATTAATAAAACTCTATTCTTCTCCTACTTTCTTCAAAATCTAATTATATATTATATAAATTATTTTCAATGATTTTTATTAAATTTCAAATCACCTTGCTATAAAAATATAAACTTGATGTGTTTTATCAAAAGTAAGGATTACATATTATTTAAATAATTACGTTAATTAAGAAGATAAATGCATTTTTTTAGTTTAATTCGCTACTCCTTCAACAAATTTTAAAAATATTTATTTATTATCATTTAATGAATAGGATTACTTCTAAAAAATATTTTTATTCTAAAGTTAAATTATAATAAAAAACTGCAACAAAAAAAAAATAAACATTTAAAAAGTAAATAAAAAATTTGCTTAAAAACACCATTAAAATTACAGCTTTTCTAAGCCATTAATAGCAATAATAACTCTTTTTAATTAAAATGGATTATTAATTAATAAATTATAAAATGAAGAAAAGTTAGTTAATTAGACTAAAGATTTAAAAAAGTCTAGTTGGTTTCTATAATAAAAAAAACAAAATTTAATAAATAATTTTGTAAATTAGAGATAGTAGAATTAATCGATTTTCAATAATTACTTATAATTTTTTGAATTGATAAATTTGAAATAAAATTCAAAGATAATATGTAAATAAATATTAATTTTAAAATCAACTTGAGCTGTTTGTTATATGTTTATTAAAAAGTTAATGGTTAAGAGCTTTTAACTTTTGATTTTCAAGAATAATTTCTTAAATTTATTCAGGAGTGTAGCTGACGGAAGATGTGGCTGATGATTTTATAATAGAAGCTGATGCTGCTCCTCCAAGTAAGAATTTAGTGGTTTACAAGAAAGAAGATGCAGTGAGTTTTTCTTTTTTTGATTTTTTAATTGCTTTTTATATCGAAGGCATTATAAATCTATGTTCCTTAGCATTTTCGCTGATGTTGACAGATTCACCTTCTTCGTATCTGTGGAAAGCTTTAAATGAAATCATTTTTTTAGCATGACTAAGTGGGTTCTTTTAATCAAACTCTTTAGGTCTTCTAAATATGCACATATTATTAATGCTTTTATTAAACATATTCATGGTTTTTATGATTTGGCCATCGAAATCCCAAAAAACTAAGAGACCATCTTTACTTGATGATATGATTTATTTGGCTTCTTCGTAGAGCTTAACGTTTGTTACTTCACTGTTATGTCCTTTAAATACAATGTGCTTATTCATTCTTTATCTCTCTATATTAGGGGTTTCAGTGACTTCATCAAGATCGATCTTATAAGCAAAATTATCATTAACTTTAATTTTATAAAGGTTATTATTCTTGCAGCCAATAATGACGTACTCTTCTTAACTATCTATCTCGATACAATTTATTTCACTTTCTACACTAAATTATCCAAGCTTGTTTCCTTTGCTTAAATCCCAGACTATTAATTACCATTAAAATAATATTTAATCATTTTGCTCATTCATAAAATTAAATTGTACCTATAACTGTTTTATCTGATCCTGCTGTGTATAGTTTTCCTAAAACACCTCTGCTTTATCTCATGCAATTAATTTTTTCACTGTGACCAATTAAAGTATATCTAGCCTTTAACTCTACTTTATTATCTATATTATTTAAAAGAGTTTTAAAATTAATATTTAAGTGACAAGTTATAAAGAAATATTTTTGATTTTTATTTAAAATTATATATTTACTGTTTAAGTCAAGCTTCATTTTTGATGATGATGCTAATAGTGAAGATAACAAATATATCTAGCATATTCCATCTTCTCCTGCAGAAATAATCAAACCATCATCATTTGAAAATTGTAAACATGTAATTTTCTTCTAATGGGCTTTGTATTTTTTAATAAGATCTCCTGAAAATGTTTCCCAAATATAAACAAAACCAGTAATGCTGGCTGCAGCAAAATAAAACTCTGAGTTGCTTATTGCAGTTGCAGTAATTTTTTCTGTGCAACTTACACGAAGGAAAACCTTTTTAGAGTTAATGTTCCACATATTTAAAATAGTTTTTTAATTTTAGAATCCAATAATGTGACCCATTTTAGGTGCAACACATAAAGTATTTTTAGCTATTTAAGATGATTCATCAGAGTACTATTCTAAAATTCCCCTAGTTTTAGGATCAATCAAAGTAATCTAATTCATATCTTCGACTGAAACTAATATGACTTCGCTTGATGGTTTAATAACTTCTTCCATTTCTATATATTCTTGTGCAACTTTTCAGAATTATAATAAATATTATCAATTATTTACTTTTTTAATTCGTTCTTATATAAATTTAGATCAATAATTAACTTTTAGCAGGAAATATTAATCAAAAGCAACAATATCCTTGATAGAATTTCACATTTCATTTTGAACCTTATTTGCTATTTATTATTCCTGGTAGATATTCCTCTAAAGTATTTTCTTTTAAAGAATAAATTTGATTTTAAAAGATCTTAAAATATAAATAAAATTTGCTAAGTAGAATCATCTAACAATAAACCATTTCCTAATTTCAATTTATTTTTTTTAAATTATCTTATTATAATATAATTCAGAAGATATTATTAAAATAAAGTGATATTTAAATGGTTTTTCAAGTAAAGTAAAATAAATTATTCGAGTTTTGAGCAACTAGTCTTTGAATATATCCTGTAATAAGAAATATAAGTAAACATTTTGGCTTTGATTTATAAATTTATTTGGAAGCAGACAAACTGATATTAAATTATTATTTATATTTTGAGACAAAACAAGTATATAATTTATATAAAATAGCAAAACATTTTGTAGATTGATTTATTTTATCCTTATGGAATATTTCATATTTAAAACAAACAAAATTGATAAAATAACTAAAAAGTCAATTCATATTACAATTTTTAGTTTAATCCATTTTTTACCTCAGTAGTTAAGCCCTAGTCTATGCATTTAATTAAGGTCTTGCATTGACTGACTATTACAAAGGAGTTTACTGCAAAAATGAAGAAGATTATCCACCAGTATTTTACTAATTTTTGAACTAATTTATCTATTTTTCGAATTCAGACATATTATCAGTCTATTGTTATTAGTTATTGTTGTTATATGAGTTTTGAACATATTTTTATTTATATAATTTATAATATTCATCGTTAGTTAGAGGCTTATTAGATGGTTAGTTTTAATAAATTTCCTAAATAATTTGCTAAGCCTAGTTTGGATCTTAATTATTGTTACCCATTCTAGTGTTTTATTCCCCCATATTATTATTTTAAGTTTCATTGTTGTTATTAATAATTTTAGGAGCAAAAATATTATTTTTTTATACCAAATTTTAATTATTATTTTGGTTATTCAAAGAATTGTTGTTATTCTAATTATTCTAAAAAATATTGTTATTTTAATTATTCTAAAGGATATTGTTTTTATTTTAAAATATGTTGTTGTTATTTTGGTTATTCTAAAAGTTATTATTATTATTGTTTTGATTATTCTGAAACAAATTGTTGTTACTGTTGTTTTAATTACTTTACAAATTACTTTGATTATTCTAAAAAATATTATTATTATTATTATTATTCTAGTTATTTTGCATCATGTTAGAATTTTAATTATTCTATAAATTATTGTTATTTTAGTTGTTTCCCTAATTATTGTTAGAAGTATTCTAAAAAATATTATTGTTTTGATTATTTTAAATAGATACATTGCTCTATCTATTTTAGAAGATGCTACTATTTAAGTTCTAGTTATTTTAGAAAATACCACCACCTTATTAATTTATTTGTTAATTTTATTGTTAAGACTTGTTAAAAATATTATTATTATTATTATCTGCTTGATTTTAAGTGTTTATTTGTTATCCGTTATTTCTATTTTATCCAAAAATGTTAACAACTTATCCTTATTGGTTGTTATTTTATTGTTAAGCACTATTTGTGGTTTATTAATTATTCTTATTTTGAATAAAAATATTGTTTGTTTGATTATTTTATTAGCCTTAAAATATATTATTTGCATTAGAGTTATTTTATTTGTTTTGGAAAATATTATTATTGCTATTGTTATTTCCACTTTCATTATTTTTTTAGAATATGTTAATATTTTGATTGCTTTATTATTAGCTTTAATTTTATTGATTTCCACTTTAACCTTATTGAAGAACATTTTAGTTGTTCTTAGCAAATATGTTAACTTATTTGTTATTCATACTTAAAGGTTGATTTACCTATTATTGTTAAATCACTTGGTTATTCTACTAGTTCATCTGTTAATTTTATTAAAATGTATTTTAATTATTGCTTGAATTATCTGCTTTTTAGAAAATATTTGATTAATTTTAAGTATTTAGACTATTGCTATTTGTATTTTAATTGTTCATGTTAGCAATACTGTTACTTTATAGAGATTAATTATTACTTTTGAAGATATTTATTTGTTAAGTGTTACTATTTGTATTTTCTTGAGTGTTATTGTTGGGTGTATTTTATTTGGCAAATATATTAATAGAGGGTTGTCCTGATTAATTTTAATTTGCTTAATTCATATTATTAGTTATTAATTAAGTTGATATTTGCTTATTTTACTGCTACTAATTTTACAATTAAATTTATTAGTTAGGTTTCTGATTTTGATTTATTTGGTTATTTTAGTTCTTCTAAAAGATATTTACTGGTTGCTGTTATTAATTTTAAATGTAAAGTTAAGGCTAACTATTTGATTTGTTTAGAATATTTTAACCTTAAATATTTTATTGTAATTAGTTATTGTTTTAAAATATAGACTAAGAATTGCTTTTTGATTATAAAGCTATCATTGATTAGTTTTTAATCAACTATTACTAAGAAAGCTAACCATATTTTTCTTAATATCTTTGTTCAGCTTCTTTATATCTATTTAATTTGTAATTAAGATACCTATTCATCTTAATTTAAGGATCATCATCCAAGCTTACAAGGATAGATGAAAAATCAGATCTTTAGCTTTATTTAAAGTAATAGAATTCATTTATATCTCTTTCTTACTCACTTTATTGCTGTAAATAACCAGAATCCTAGCTGTTTACTTCCTCTTAATTATCCTATTCGTTCTCTTGGAAGTCTTCATAAAAATTTTATGTTTTGTATTTTAGTTAAATTACAGTTTTCTTTGAGTTCTTCTTGAGAAAGTTAAACATCTACATGCTTTATTTATTTTAAATTCTATCCACTCCAAATTTAGAAATGCTAAGTAATTCTTTTTTCTCGATTAACCTTTTTTTATCTTAGTTTTCTTCTTTCTTTGATTCATTCTTTTCAAATTCTGAAATCTATAATTCTATTCCAAAATCTAATACTTTATTTACTCTTCCTAACGTTGGCAAATCATTTTCTTTAGTAAAAGCTTTAATTTGTTTGGTTTTTTGTAAATAATCTATTTCTTCATCTTCTGATACTTCATCAAATTTAAGATTTCTAAAATCTAAGTTCGGTTTTTTATCTCCTTAAATATTTTTTTATGGAGTGTTGTCCTCTTTTTTTATTTCGGTTTCTCCTTCGTATTCCTACTTCAATTCTGAACATTTTTCTTATTTTATAGACGAAATTCCATGATCAAATGCATTTTCCCTTTTTTAAACACTTTTTGCATTACTTTTTATAGAGCTTAAAAAATCTTTGTAAATAGAGCTTTGATTTTCAAAAAGAGAAAAATGCTATTGGTTTTTTTTCTTTACAGTTGTTTAAAATAAAGTTTCTTCATCATCAAAATTATAGCCTTTCTTAATAGCACTAAGACATAAAAAATCAATCTATTTTAGTAATTCATTAGGCTTAATTTGATTGATTTCATCAAAACTTATTCTCTTGATATCTTGATCAATAACTTTTATCTCTTCAATTTTATTAATAATTTTATTTTTCAAAAACTCAACAAAAAGCTTCTCTCGGTCTATTTTTGTTTAATTAAATTTAAGAAAACTAAAATAAATAATTATGTAATTTACATTAGTATGGAAGCTTTAAATACATTTTTATTTGCAAGGAATCTAATTTCTGTGCTTCTTACTAATTATAATCTCCTGTTTTCAAACCTTTACTACTTGTTTCCAGAATTTGCTCTAGCCTATTTAGAAAGCAGCTCATTAAATAAATTTTTTTATCAAATATATCTGTTTTAAAATTGTAATTGTTTCTAAAATATTTAATTTAATTTAAGTCCAACTTATACTATCCCTACTATTACTTTATTACATGTCTAATGCTTTGAGGATACTCAAATATCTTTTAAAAATAGTTTATTGGCAAATTTAAATTTTGAACTGTGTTAATTAAAATAATTTCTAGCTTTTGAATTCCACTTTCAAATAATAATTTAATATCTGAGTCAATAAAACAGTAGTTTTTGTTTATTTCACTCACAGCTAATTTAATAAAATTGAATTAATATAAAAATTAAATTACTTAATAGAAAATTACTTTGCAACAAAGGGCCAGTCACAGGAAATATCTTGGTGTTATCAATATTTTTGAGATGTTCAAGTTTTTTTTCTAACCACCTTACAATCTTAAACTTTTATATTGTAATTTAGTCATATTAAGATAAAATCTATTATTAAAGTTAGTTTTTCTACTTAATTGTGTTATTCTATAGAGAAATAGTAGGATTTTAGTTATTTAGAAGAGATATCTTCGTTTAAGTTTCAAAAATTGATTATTAGCCTAAATTATTTGAATTACTATTTTAAAAAATGCTACTTTTGTTGTTGTTGTTGTTGTTATTATTTTATTATAAAATTTGTTAATTCTAATTTTAAAATATATTATTTGAATTTCCTTATTGTTGTTATTATTATTATTATTGTAAACTTATCTATTTCTATTGCTGTTACTATTAAATCTATTGATTTTACTATTATTAAGCTTATTGGTTTTGCTGTTATAGTTGCAATTGATTACCTAATTATTGTATAGAATTTTACTTAGGACCATTTTTTAAATCTTAGTTTGTTGAATTTCTTTAAGTTTATTGTTAGGTATTAACTTATTGCTATTGATTATTAGTGTTCTCTATTTATTATTCGTTTGTATTATTTATGCCGAATGTTATCTATTTTTATAATTTCAAATCTGGTAAGGCAATTTAATTGTTATTTGATCCCTATATCTATTAATTTTAATTTTCGAATATATTTAATTTATTTTTTTATCCTGTGCTATTCGCTTCTTAACTTTAAGAAAGCTAGGTCTCTTCTTTGATAGGAATTAGAGGATTTTATCTAACAATGTTTATTGTTTTTTAATTTAATATATTTATCTAAGTTTAATGTATCTATTATTAATTTTCTTCTGTGTACTCTTCATAATATTAGGTTTGATAATTATTATTTTGACTTTGCTATTCTTTCTAATTATTTTTGATTTACTAGTTATTCTATATATCTTAGAATAACGAGGATTTACTGCTATTTTAAGTTTATTTTTGCATTTAAGGATTTTACTTTGAACTATTGCCAAATAAATTAATAGCACTCTAGGATTAACTTTGTAAGCTTTACTTTTAAGGAGGTGCAAATAAGGAAGTAACATTTATTTACTGTTGTTTCTCTTGGTTATTAGAAGAATTATTTTGCAGAGACTATTAATTTTATTGTTATAAACTACTCTGCTATTAATTATTTTGATTAAATATTTATGATGGAGGTTGATTTAATTTTTATTAATCTACTATATTTTGCTAACTTTAGTTGTTAGTTTTATTACCAAAAATATTAACGCCTCCATTATTTTATTGGCTTTACAAAGATTTATTTTAAAAAATATTATCTGTATTTTAATTGCTCTTAATCTAGCCTTATTAGTTATTTGATTATTAATTTTTGTTGCCAAATATGTTAACTTATACTGTATTTTATGGTTAATTCTATTAAACTCTTGTTTGTTACATTTACTGCTCTTACATATATTTTTACTTTAGCTCGTTTTGTTAAAATATATTCAAATTATTATTTAAATTCTTTGGCTAAGGCAAATTACCCATATTATTTGCTATCTCTGAATTTTCTTATCCTTAATTAATCTTTATTCCAGGCAAACCATTCTATTAAATCTTTTAAAAGATGTTTAAAGGAGTTTATTATTAGCTTTAAGGTTGTTATTAATTTTATCTATTAGCAAATATGTTTTAACTCATTTAATTTGAAATATTCTAGCTTTCTTTTAAAAAAAAATATTTAGTAAATCTTTTAATAATTTAATAATAATGAAAATTCATTAGAAAACAAAATCTCCCCACAATTCAAAATGCTTATATTAATAATTTGCTCATTTAATTAATTAAATAAATTACCTTTTTATTAAATATTTTGATTTGACGAAAACCCGCTGAAATTTGAAATTTATTAGCCAGGCTACATCTGATTTTAGCCTATTACAAATTCTTAATTATTGTTATTATTCTATAAACCAACTTAATAGTTATTTGTGATTTGATCTTCTACAATAGCATTCATGCTATTATTATTATTACTATCATTGGTATTTTGCTTGCCTTTTAGGCTGTTTTTAATGTTAAACATTTTTCGATTATGGTCTTGTGTTTTACTAAAATTTCTCTAATTTTATGTCATATCGAAGCTATCTCTATCATTTGCTTTTCTCCTTTCTTCTTCAGCATTGCTATATAAATCATCTCCCTCATTGAACTAAAGCTTCTTTTATAAAGTATTTTGTTTCAATAATTAATTTTTTGCTAAAACTCTACCCAAAGAATACATATTAGTAAATACAATAAAAGAAGGTTCTATTTCAGTATTATTATAATAAGGTTCTTCATCGATTCTAGTCTCTATGAGGCATACACCTTTTATTGTGGCATCTTATTTTCTTAAGGATTATGAGCATGGTAGTGTAAATTAATATTGAGTATCATATGGATTTTTAGCTAAATTAAACTCTAATTTATCTGCATAAATATAATAATATAATTATCATTAAGTACATTTTTGAATTAAAACGCAATATACATTAATCAATAGCATATATTAAATCTACAGACGAAGAATAATTATCTGTGATATAGTGAAACATTCCATCTCTAGAACTTGTGATGGTAAAAGCAAATTCTTTAAGCTAATTAGCATCTTATGGGAGTCTGCTGTTTTATAAAATTTAAAACTCACCAATAACTCTTTCACCACCTATCTATTTAAAAAATCTAATGATCCTAACCCATTTGTAATTTGACTAAAAATTTAATCCTGCAACAAGAAAAACAGATTCACTCAACTATTTTAAGAATTTTATGTATTCTTGATCTTTGCTGTATATAAAAATTAACTATTTTACTATTAAGAAACAATATTTAATAAAAATAATTACAGAAATCCACGAAATGAGTATTTTTAAGAGTAGGACCAACTCACTGCTCCATTTTCATTAATGTCAATATCTAAAGTGTTAAAATTATTGTGACAGTCTATATAAAACAGTTAGCTACTATTTTCTAAACAACTAAAGCAGGCTGTTAAAACACCTTCTTTTTAAATTAGCTTTTGGGCTTCTAAAATTACTATGCATAACCATAATGCCCCTTTATCGTCTATGTAAATTAACATTGTATCTAGATTTTAAAGTTAAGATAAATTTTACCATCCATTAAATTTATAGCTGTTTATTCAATTTTTTTTTTTTTGATTTATTAAAATTCAAATTTTTAAGTAGAAATAAGTGAGCAAGGCTTTTTTGAAAATACCATTTGTTTAACTTAAATAGACACAAAGACAAATATTATTATTTCTATTAAATTTTTTTACTTTTTGAAGGACTAAATGCTGTATCTTAAAAGCTAGAAAACTCCATATATAAAATACTGTTGCTGTTGGTCACTGTTTCGAACTCTGAGAAATATGTTTGATTATCTGATATCAAAGTTTTTACTTCAAATATTTTTATGGAGTTATCATTACAAACTGCCAATAACCTTTCATTTGGTGAGAACTTTACAAAGTTTATTACCTCAGATCCTCTTTTGTTCTCATCGCTGCTTATATCTATTTTAAAACACTTACCCTTTTTTTATTTCTATCCGTTTACTCCTAGTTTATGGCTTATCCAAGTTGAATCAGCTAAATATAAATCTAATATTTATATTTATTTTTAAAGTTATAAGTATTTAAGTTAATCAAAATAAGCATAATTTTACTTTTGTTGCGGGCATATGCTAAAAAGCAAAAGGTTGGTGCAAAGTCTATATCGTTATAAAGATATTTTAAGATTTAAATTCATTTAATATGTTAGAAAATTTACCAACGAGAGAACAAAACTTTGAATTAAAGCATGTCCCCGAATATTCTAAACTATAATATTCTGCAAGAGAAAATAAAATTTAAGGATTATCATTCATTTACATTTTATTAAAAATAAAAAATATTTTCCTTTCTAAAGCTCTATAAAAATTGAATTATTCTAACTTAAATCTTTAAAAATATTTATTTGGTTGATTATTGACAGAAAATCTAATTAATTAATTTATAAATATTATTTATTCTATCTATACAGCAAGGATACTAATTATCAATATTAATCAAACAACATATTTATTTTTATATATAGATTAAAAGATAGTGAGAGCTATATATTTTTTTTATAAATATTTTTCTATTTATTTCTATTATAATTTACAGCAATTTTATAAAAATTTTATTTAAAAGAGGACTTAGAAAATGAAAGAGATGAGTGAATGAATTTTTTCTTTCTTATTTATGTATTCATTATAAGAAAATCAATTGAATGTATGCTAATATATTTTACTTGATTAAATTATATTAAAAAAATTACTAAAATCTTGAATGAAATTTAGTTTGTATATTTATTTGGGAAAAGTAACATTATGAATATCTAGAAATCGGGCAATAAATATATTTAATTAATTAAAATAGATCTGAATAATTAAAAGGCTAAGATATATCCTAAAGCATATATTATAGTAAAATAGAAATGAATCTTCCTTGGTTTGTTAGATGGGGTACTGATGTTGCCCTCTTCTTTATCCCTGCTTATACTTTTGCTAGTAAGGATGATTTTTTCAAAGAAATATTAGCATTATATTATTTTTAGTAAATTGAAAATAGGCTATATTAGGATTTTAAATTGAAAAATATTATCTTTTGACAGATATTGCAATAAATATCTTTTCTGAATTCAAAATTTACTAATGAATTTTTTTAAAAATAGACTACCCAACTACCTTTTTTGTTTTTGCTGCTGAAAAGAGAAGACAAAGAAGAAGAAAAGGTATATAGATATTATTAAAATAATAATTTAGGCAATTTTTCGATTTAAAAAAAATAGATTTCAGTGATGTTAAATTAAGAGATGATGCAGCTTTTAGCGTTGATTAAGTAAAGCAATTATAGACTAAGCTTCACCTTAAATAATGATTAATTTAAGCAAATTAAAGTTTAAAAATACTTGCTTTAATGCTATCAATATTGATGAATGAATTAGTAATAAAAGTTGATGTATAAGTTATGTTAGAATTTTTGTTATTGGATTATTGTTGTATTCGTAGCAAAATTATGCATTCACATCGCTTTGGTTAAAATGAAATTTAAACTAAATAAGATAAGTACATTAGTATTGTTTAAAATACACTTTTGCAATTATGATAGATTTTATAAAATTTTCCTATTCTAAAAAATGGAACAGTTCATTTAAACATTTTATTGTTTTTTTTCTTAGGAAAGTATAGATTTATATAAACATTTTTTTTGCATTTAATTATAAATAAAAGTAATAATAAAATGCACTCAACCATGTTATAAGTAAATTTTAATAATATTAAATATAAATTATTCAATAAAAATCATCATTTTTTCAATAGCTTAAAAAATATTTCTTTAAAAATAAAATAAATTTTTTATTCAAATTTTAAGCTTAGAATAATTTATTTTGAGTATGAAAATGAATTTAAATGATAGGATTATTTTCAAAATAAACTTTTATGATAAATTACATATTTAATTAAGTGGCAAGTATATATATATATATATGTACAATATTAAATTATTTAAAAAAAATGGTTTTTTTATATTAGAGGTCACTTTTGAGCATCATTTGATAGATTGTTAATACGATCATTATCTAAAATTTTTTTCTTTTGATTTTAAATAGAAACAATTACCCTGTCTTATATTTTTTCTATTAAATCATCTATTTTCCTATTTTAAAAATGTTAATTTTTCATTTTCAAGTAAAAAAGAAATCTAACTAAATTTTACTTTTTTTGATTTAAATCAGACTTTTGAATAGAATCAATTTGCTTAAACATAGAATTTATTTTTTCCAGAATCTTTTGTTATTCAATTTATTCTGTCATTTTATTTTCTACATTTAGTTTTGGATTATAAAACGAGTTTCTTTAACTTATGTTCAGATCTTCTGTTTTAAGTATTTTATTACCTGATTAAAAATTATCGACATGTATTTTTTGGTTGTTTAAAGTGTTCTTGAAATTATTTAATTTGGCAGATCCTATTTTTGTAAATTATTTTTCTCTTTTTTCGATTCTTGATGAGAATTGAGACACTTTTGAGTTTTCGTTTTTTTTCATTTAGCTTAAAAAATTAGTGGAATTTAAATCTGAAGTATTTATAAGTTTGTTATTTGGACTAAAAAGTTAATTGTATGAGTTATTCTAGACTTAGCCTAATTTATTTTGTTAAGGTTCCGAATTGAATAAAATATTCCTGATTTATAAAAAACCATAGATTAAAAAAATGGATTAAAATGTAAAGAATTTACTTAGAGATTTGTTTATTTGGAGACTCAAAATTCATAGAAGGCACTTGTAAAAACTGAGACTTAATATCACTTAATTATGTAAAGTCCTCATTTCTCTAATTTCCAGCAGATTATTCAAAGACTTAGGATTACAAAGTCTGTGAAGGAAAAAAGTAATTTTAAATATGTTTTTTTTCTTACTTTTATGGAGAAGCAGAAGGAGATGTTTTTATCTTATTATTTTAATATATTTTGTTAGGAGAAAGTAACTAAGATTAAAATTTTTGAGGAGATGATATAGAGGCTTAAGATTATGTTCGTTAGAAGAAGTTTTTGATAAATTCGATGTCATCAAATTGCTTTTCCTAATCTATTTTAGTTTAGCTATTTCGCTTACTTGGTAATATTTGTTAAAAATTTGTTTCAGCTGGTAATATAATAGATTATCTTGAAATTGCTTAGCTTAAACCACTTTTTTATATTTTGATGTCTAATAGCTTTTGGTTTTTAACATACTCTTCATTAATATGTTTGATATAGTTATTCATTGATTCCTTATCTTATAGCTTTCCTTGCAATATAAACTCATCCTTCTTAGTAAATATGGTAGGCACATCTTTTTTTTATTGTAATTGATCTTAGTTAATCTGCTAAGCTATTCCTCTAAGCATATACTTTCCGTCTTTTAAGTTAGAATAATTCAAATATTTTTTTAATGCCTTATCTTCCCATAAATCTATAACATGCATAGAACCTTTAAGCTCTAGATTATTGACTTTCTATATAAGAGGATTCAAGAATGGATTATCATCTCTTTCATAAGATTTAAAACTGAATTTAGTAAATGTTTACTTTCTTGATTCTAATGATTCAATAAAATTTTTATATTGTATTTTTTTTTCTTTATTTTTTTATTTTATAAACTCTTTTTTCTCCTCAGCTTTTTGCTAGTAATAAGGTACTTAAGCTTAGAATGAAGTCCTAGTCATTTATTTTGTTTTAGGTTTTACTTTTAATTCTTCATTTATAGGTGTAGATATACCTTAATTAGAGTTATTTTATTAATCCTAACTATTTTAACTTGAAACGGCAGTTTAAAATCCATAAGCATTAGAAACAGGAGTAACTTGATCTCCTTAATCAGAGATAATTATTTTTAATTTATCTTGAGCTTATTTACCAAGCTGATTTTATAAAATACTTCTATTATAAATTTATTTTTGATCATTAGATTCCTATTATTTCTAATTATATATTCTTTAAGTTAATAATGAATCTAATGACTTTCTTTAGCTAATATCACCATAAGAAAAAAGATTTTAAATATTTTTTATTTTTTGAAATCCTTAACTTGTTTAATTCTAAGAAAATTGTTTTTATTGCGATGTTGATTAATCATTTAATAAGTTTTTTTAAAAATTTTAAGATCTTTTTAGCTTTACTGGTACTCCTTCTTTCTAAATATCAAAATAATTTTAGTCATTTTACCTAACATCTTCTTCAGTATGTAAAGTATCCTACTTAGGATATGTTAGTTAATTCAACGACTATCGTTTTAATTTAGCATATTCCTTCTGGTAATTCTGATTAGCCTTCTAAGCTAGACTATGACTCATCTAATTTCCACTTTTTTTGAGAATAAAGTTGCTTGAATATGAAGTAAATTAATTATATCTTTTTATCTTTTTTTTAATTGCTATTGAAATGAGAATTAAAGAATTCTATTCAATAAACTAATGGCCATAGATTTAATTAACAAGAAAACGAACATTATTACTATGAATTCTAAATCTTTTACTTAAAGAAGAATTTTTTTTTTATAGAATGAAAATATTACATATATGATTTAAAAGATCAAAATGAAATTACTTTAAATTAACAGCAAAAATCTATAATTACAGCAATATCTATTTGTTTTAAACAAAATTATATTAGATATAAATTATTTAATTATTATTATACCGAAAAGATCGAAACTAAATTACTTTTATTAACAAGCAAATCAACAAAAAAATTAAAGTAATAACTATTTATTTTTCATAAAAATAAATAAAATAGATATCGATTTTTAAAATTTTATTACATCAGCTTTCATTTTAAACAAATTTCTTCTAAAATATTTTTTCATTTTTATCGAATAAGTAGCGAAATTTTTTTTAATTTTAAACTAGATTGTAATTTAAATAAAATTAATTAGAGTAAATAAATATTTATTGAATAAAAATTAATTTAATTAAAAAAACAAATTAAATAACTTAATTAAAGTAGGTTCTCTTTTAAATGCAAGAAATAATGTAAATTATACAATTAATAAATTATATTTTTAATTAAATTTCAAATTGTTTGTTAATCTATTTGAGTTAATATTTTATCTATTTCAAGTTATGAAATTGAAAGATATGTAATAGATTCACTTTTAACAAGAAAAAAAAATGGAATGGTAACATAAATTTAAAGGCAGTACATTAATTGACTAAGGTTATTGAATTATAAAGAAGTGATTGAAATGAATACATGATATATAAATATAAAATGAGCTGGTAATAATAGTTATATCAATTAATTTTAATCAAATAATTTTTTGTTTTATTGTTTGCTATTTAATATATATTGTATTTGAATGATTGGTTGACATAATAGAAATTTCGATGAATGCTTACTTGCTTGTATGAAGAAATGGTATATTTAATGAATAACTAAGCAAATTAATAAATAAGAAGGAAGTATTTTGTTTTGAATGAAGCGTGAGCACTTATAAATGTGAAAACAAAATGAAAATTAAAACATGTAATCATAATGCAGTACCTCTAAAGATAGGATAGTAATAAATATTTGTTTTTTAAATCAATAAACATTTATTTTTATTGAGAGTTTGTGTATTTTTTTGTTTTATAAACTATAATTGAGGTAGATCAAAATGACATATACTAATTATTCATTTTCTTTAACTTCTTAGAAATGCTTTATCTAAGAAATTGAGGGCTATAAAAATTAATAGGGTTAATAAATAATAGATTTGTTATTTTTGTTGGTTTGGTTGGTTGGTTGGTTGGTTTTTTGTTGTTTGTTTGTTTGTTTGTTTTATGTATATTGTGTTTTTTATTTGAATAAAGATGTATTTGTTGGTTATTTATTTAATTTGAAAGACATTACTATATTTTAATTGATATAAGTTTTTATTATCACTCATTATTAAGTGAATGTTTGATTGTTTGTTTTTATTATTTGATTGAATTTTATGGTTATGAGAATTTGTTCACATTTTTATATAGAATTGTAATTTATTGATTTATTAGTCTTCTATCAGGGGATTCAATTTAGGAAACATGATAAGATTGATTATTTATTTATTTGTTTGTAATGCTTGCTTGCTTGTTTATAGATTTAAATATTTAACAATTTTAGAGAATCACGAGAAAATAGAAGTCTTTTTTTCAATAATCAGGGAAAATTTATATTCAATAAGCATTTTCTTCTTCTATTGCTTCCAAAAGAGATTTGTGAACATGATTGATTGCGTTATTAACTTGTTCATTATCACTTTCTTTGTCATCATCAGATTCCTTTTAATAAAATTAAATTTTAGTTAATTCTGAATAGCATAATTTTAAACTTGCGAATTTTCTAACTCATAAAAAATTAAATTAAAAAATATTACATTTTATACAATGCTTTCTTAGAATTTTTAGGGTATCTTTAAGTCCTATTCATTGAAGCAGTAAATTCTAAAGGTTTTCTTTCTCTTTAAGTTTTAGAATCTCAAGATATTCTTTTTAAATAAAATAATATTAAATTAAAGTCATTTATATTTTTTGCCAATCAAAGTAAATTGAAATAAAAATCTTCATATCAATATCCACTTTTGCGGCGCCATGATACCACTTGTTAATATTTTATGAGAAGGTATTTGAAAGATGTTTTAAATTTAGTGGTAGAATGACAATGACTATCACTCTTAATTAAGAGTTTACATCATCATATAAAATGAAATTAGCTCAGATAGGTTCAAGTGGGGATGATTAGGTATGGGGGAAAGAAGTTAAAAAATTTAAAGTGCAATAAAAATAATCTAACAAACTCTATTGAAGTTTAAATTATTGAAGAAGACCGCATTTTAAATCAATAGATAGAAAATTGTATACTATTTAAGTTAATTGCTTTTATGAGCGCCAATAAAAAATTTAGAATTGGTAGTCAGCTAATCAAAAGAATTTTAATTAGTCTCTTTTCTTTTGCGTAAATAAATGCAAATAACAAAATCACTTGAAGAAAATAAAGGTTAAAGTTGAGTGATGGGTGAAAAGAAATTCCATGAAGTAAATGAGGAAAGGATATTCCTTTCTATTTTGGCAAATTTAAAAGTATGTGAAATGAATAAGTACATAATCATATGTTGAAACTTCATTAGATTCTTCTTTATCTTCTAAGAACTCAGTAGCAGTTCTAAGAGAGCGGGAAGATCTGAGCTTTCCGCTTTTAGCTTACTTGGAGCTCTTTGAACTCTTTGATATAGACTTGTTGCAATATCTAAATGAGGCAGTGGATTCATTATCAGAGAATAAATAATCATCTTGATCACTGTATCCCTTTAATATTATGTAAAGAAAACAATTTAATACTTAAATAATGTAAAATAAATGAAGATTCTAAAGAAATGAATGTCTATCTATCTATATGAATAGAAGACTAGCCAATGATCTTACTTATATATTCTAAAGTAATAGAAAGAATAATTAAATTTGGGGGCATTCATATTAAATCGGTCAAAATTTTAGAAATAACAAATTCATTTAAATGAAGGGGAAAATTAAACTATGACCCTCTTCTTAATACTAACAGCACTTGGAATCAATTAAAAAAATATCTATCTAAAACATGACAAGTGAAAGAAAAATGTAAGAAGTTAAAAAATATGGAAATTAATTATTGCTTTTTCACAATAAGAATGAAAATCTATTTCTTATTTCGAAAATAGAAAGTACGCCAATCAAAATAAATTAACTTTTAATGCCTTCAATTTTAAAAATCAAATTTATATTATTTAAATTATTTATTTTATTTAAATGTTATATTTAAATAATTTTTAAAGGCAGTTAGGCATGCAAGCTATTCTTGTATTATGATTTTAAACTACAATCTAGCTGCTGTAATACAATATCAAGTTGTCTAAAAAAAATAGATAATTTAAAAGCAGGTTGAGCAGAAAAGTTCATTCAATTTAATTTTTTGAAAAGGGGGAGTTTAATAAAAGAATCTCAAAAAATTTTGATTCTAATTGCTTGCTTATAAATGAAACTTTTAGCTTGAGTTTAGTTTTTCTATTATTTTTTATCAATAAGAGAAATTGAGTATTAGCTGATTTGCGCATGTCTTTCTTAATTTTCACCATATTATTTACTAAAGAGTAAATAAATTCAATGAAGCAGAAATGGCTGCTCGCTCAATCAATTATTGTATACTTAACAAATTAAATGAATAAATAATAGTTGTTATTGATTTCTTATTAAAAACAAGAAATTATTTAAATTATATATATGTGTGAATGGTGAATAAAAGTTCTTTGTAAATTTTCAAAGACTCTTTAAAAAGTAAATAGATGCCCTTATTTGCATAGAAAGTTATTGCAAATATACTAACAAATAAAAAAGTAAGATCAACAAGCCTTCTTGCGCTTGCCAAAATTTAAAGAATAAGGCAATGAAGTATTGGGAAAAGATGAGGAAAAGAGAAAAAAAGAAAGAATGATCGTACCCCATTAGAGGCCTAAATGGATGTTTGATCGAAGTTTTCAAAATTTTCAGATAGGGCTTAGCTCAAAGACTCTTCATAATCCTCAAGATAATTTTGTGATGAGATTTTCTTGTTAGATTATCTTGAAGCCTCTTCTAAGTTGAATATCTGGGATTGGGAGCGGGTGATTCTGGAGCAAGTTTGCACCATGTTTTTTTAGGACAAAGCTTTCTTAACCATTTTAGTTTGATTTTGTTGAGTATATGTAGGGTAAACAGGAAATAAAAAGGAAATGAAGAAATTTAATTTCCCTCTTTCTTTTGGTTTTGTTATTTTTTATTTGTTTTAATAATTATTTGCTTTATACCTTTTTTACTATGCCAGACTCGTCCGCTTTTAAAGACAGACCGCCCATGCTATACATAGCGTGGATTGCATATATCTTAGTAATGTCTATACTTTATTTAATTTGGCTCAAAATTAGTTAATTTACTCATGCTTTGTCTCCATCTATTATGATTATTTTATTTTTTTCGCCATTTTTATTCCTTTAAATACAAACTACAAAACAACATCTCTCATAGTCTAAGCCCTCCAATAATTCTACTTTAATTCCTAATTGAAGGATTTCCAAAAGATTACTTCTACTTAGTCCTAAATCTCATCCTACATCTCAATTACTATTTTATTCAATAAAAATATTTTATTAGTATAATTTTCCAATTTTTATTGCCATGCATTTCTTCATCATATATCTCATTTATGTTAATTGCGCGTTGCTTGATATATTTAAACAGGTTCCCTCCCGCTTAATAGCTGCCCCATTCCTTTCGGCGCCCATATAATAAATATGAAATCTTGTTTCGAAAATTTTCTTTAGAAAAAAAGAATTTTTGAAAACTAAAAGGATAGGATGGAATATGAAAATTCTTTCTATGGAATTCTTCCTTTTTGTAGTTTAGATGGCTTGTAACAATAGAGGTATCAAATTTAAGTAGGGTGGGATCTTTATTTACTAGTCTGCGGTCAGATTTTTGTTTTGATAGCAAATTTATAATTTAATTTAACAAGAAAAGGAGAAAAAGATACGCTTTTATTTCTTTCTATCTAAATGACTTACTACTTCAAATTAATTTTTTACCGCTGCTCTATAAAAGATTAGCTTTCTCAATAAATTTTTTAATTGAATTTAATTAAGTTAAAATTAAAATTTTATAATATCTTCAAAATCTTTTTAAACTAAAATATTCTTTTGCCTTTTTCATTCATTAGTTGCTCTATTTTTTACTTTTAAAATAAAAATTTCAAATTTAAATTTTATTTTATAAATTGAATGATTATAATCATTCTTAATTAAAGCTATCACATAACCTGTTTTAATGGACAGACATGCATTTAAAAATGTTAGATAAAATTTCTAATCTAGTCCATTAATCAAAGGTTCGCTCTTCTATTTCGTATTTGAATAAGCGCTGTTCAGAATTTTAGGTTATTAACCCATTTTTAATTTAACATTTCTTGTCAGTTAGAAATTAATTTATTTTTTGTGTAAAAAATATTAGCTTAAAATAAATTATTTATGCTAACAAAAAAAATTATTTTTGTTATGCTTGTGTTTTAGCATACACTAATTTATATTTTTTAAAGAAAATAAAAAAGAATTGCAAATCTGAAATTTAATTCTAAAAAAATAACGATTACGAAGAATAAGATTGATGACTTATGTTAAAAGTTATTAATTTTTGAATGCTTAATTATAATTATGGCGATATAAATTATTTAGTCTTTTTAAAATGCTCTAACAGATTTATTAATATTATTATAATTTTTAATGGGAGTACTTTATTTTTTTAACAAATTTTAATTTATCACTCTAAGCGAAATCAACATAAGTTTAAGGTCTTAAGAGCAAAGCACCTTTCTTATCCTTTTTACTTAACCCATTATTAGCTGGGGTTTAAAAAGCTATTTGGGTGAAGTTATTATTAATATTGATTTTTAAAGTACTCATAATCGCTTAAATTTTATCTGTTTCTTAGTTCAGTGGGAAGCAACAACCTATGGAAAAGAAAGTTATAAAAATTAAATTAAATTTTAACATTTAAATTTTATAAATAAATGAAAGTGATGATGAATAAATTACCTGTTTGTCTTAAAATAGCTTGAATACAAAGAGAATTTATTTAAAAAGTCTATGTCGCTATCATATTTTGAGTAGTCAATTTTTGGGTTGACTTCACTTAGCTCCAACATTTATTCATGGAAATTAGTGGTTTACTTGCTTCCTTATTTAAAATCTTAGCCGTCATATTCTATGAGGAAATATTTTAGAATATTTAGTAAATGGCCATTACCAACGAACATAACAAATTTATCAGCTTCATTATTTGTTTGCATGAATTTGATAGTCTGCTTAACTATGTGTTTTTCTCTTAATGAAAAATTGTAATCAGTTTCACCGCACGCGTTTATAATATCATAAGGACCTCTTTTTACTCCCTGAGTGCAAGAAGGGCATCCAGATTTATATACTTTAATTGCCCAATCAATCTATTCATTTATGCCTACAATCCTAATAAAATTTAAATTACAATAAAAAATAATTTAAATTAAAAATTTTAATTTTATTTTTAAAAGAAAAATAAAATATAAACAAATATTTCAATTTTAAATTTATTATTTTAATTTTGCTTTTGAATAAAAATGAGGTTGTTTTATTAAAATGTGTAAGAAATAAATTTTAAATTTTTTATTTTTATTTAAACAAAAATAATTTTTTACTATTTTAGAAATATTTTTTATATTTTTAGTTTTAAAAAAAAAAATCAAATTATTAAATTTATTAAAAAATTGCTGAAAACTAATTACTTGAAGATGTCGAATTACTATTTAATTTAATCATTTGTTTATCCTGTAATTTAATAGTAAATTTCGTCTTCAATAGAGAGATCAGCAAGAAGAATTTTGCTCTCATTTTACTTATCCCTCTTGATTTAATTGTAAACGAAAGTAGCAAATTCTTAAGGTTTGGCTAGCCCATCTTCTTAAGCATAAATCTATAAGAATTCCAAAAATTATTTAGTAATTTATATAATACTAAAAAAAAATTACAATTCTCTCAACATCATTTAATCTATAGTAGTTTTTTTACTATAATAAGTAAGAATCTATGTAAAACCTTGAAATATCTCCCATTAAAATAGGAATTTTTTAATAATGCTTAAGTAATTTGTCTGGCTAGTTACTGTCTTTAAAACCAACTGCACCTGTGTAAGTAGGACCTCCGAACAGCATTTATTTCAACTTGACATCTCTGTTTGTTTCTCCTTCGTCCTGTTATAAATAGTTTGTAAAATTAATAAATAAATAGGCTAATCTATTTAGGAATTTTCTATAAAAAAGTAGAAAAAAGAATGTTTAAAATATTTACTAAAGTATCTTGAAATTCAGAATATTGCATAGGTGGTTATTCCAATATAAAATGACGAGCCGATTTATCTTTAAGTAAAAGTTCTTTCATCTTTAAAATTGAATGATAGTCTCCATGCTCTACTCCGTATATGATAAGATTCTTCTTTGAGTCATTTAATGTTATAGAAACACGATCATCCTCTTTACTAAAAACTACACTAATTCCTTTTGGGATTTCTATTTTCATTTACTATATCATGTTTTTTGTATGCAATTAGTTCATAATTTTTAACCTTTGCATTTTATAGTCAACTTCATTTTCGAGTGAACAATTGAAATTTATCGGAATGAATTTTGCAGATTACATAAATATATATTCTATACTCTTTAAATCTTAGTAGTCATATAAGTAGAAGAAGTTTCTAAAGTATTCAGAAAGAAATTTGAGAAGTTGAGTTTCATCTCCTTCTATCTAAGAGCATAATGCAAGTAAAACTTTGTAAGCAACTTATGAATTAACTTCTTTCTCAATTTTTTACATGATAGACTCTATATAAATGATAATAATAACTCATAAGCAAGAAAAAAATTTAATAAATGCAAACATCTTTAATTTTAATATCCAAAAAAAGTAAATTCATTATTTTTTTAAATGCAAACAGCTTGAATTATTTTAAAAACTATATCTTGGTGTCAAAATTTTACTTTTTATTGTTTGGTGTAAATCATAATTTTCAATAGAAAGGTTAGACATATTTTATAAAATTTGTGCATTTGTTTATACACTAGCTTAAGGACTCATTTTGATGAATAAATCAATATTTTATGTAAAAATATTTTTGAAATGGCTGATTATTTTTTTTCTCTCAATACAAGTAGGTAGCTCATCTTTCTTTCTTTTAGAGAAAAACTTCTATGACAAATTTTGAAGTTTATAACTCTATAAAAATAATTTCCTGTATGCTACAGAATGAAGAGATATCATAATATTCTTTTGAAGTAGTATTTTGAAAAATTTGTTAACTTTGAATGACAAGTCAATATAATTTATTAATTAATCTATACTTTGTAGTATTGGTTATTTTTAATTGGTATCAGAAGTAGTAGATGATAATAATAATCAAAATACCAAAATAGTATCAAAATTACTCCTAATTTCATCTTACTAAAATAAATGCATATTTCTTTTTAATTTTAAAAGCTAAACATATTTCAATTAATTTTTATACAATCTAAAATATTTTATATTTTTCAATTGATTTATATAATTAAATACTAATTTTATATTAAAACCCTCCCAAACATAAAATTTCAACTAAAAAATTAGTTATTACAAAAAGTAAAATAATAAAATTCATATTTTTATTTTTAAAATAATCATTAGATTTAAAAAATCCTCCAAATTTTTTATATAAAAAATAATTTAAATTCTTAAAAATAATTAATTTGAAACAAAAAAATGAATCATTTATTTTAAAATATTAATTGAAATTAAAAGCAAACTAAAATAATAATATTTTAAAGAATTATCTCATAAAACATTTAATTTAATTAAAATAAAGTTAAAGGATATATTTGTATCTATCTATCTTTCTATGAAGCATATCTTTTAGGCAATAAATATTGGATTTCAATTATTGTTTGATTTTTATACTTGTAAAAAAAGTGAATTATTTTTAAATTTAGGTTTGAATGAAAGAAGATGATATTAAATTGGTTTAAAGTTTTTAAGATATTTGAATATTTTTAAGGAGATAACAAGTGAATTTTCAATTATGAATTATGCTAAAAAAACCCCTAGAAAATAATTGAAGTAAATAACAGCATGACATTGAAAATATATTTGTTGTTTTTGTGTTTGTTTGTGAGAGTTTGAGCTTAAAGTATTATATGTTAATTAAGTTGACTGCATTTACTGATAGTTTGAAAACCACAACAATTATATTGCCTTTTTAAAATATATTTATTTAGTTTGTTAATACAGTGTTTGCAAAGTATATATCATGCTTATAATATAGAAATAAGCTAAATAATGTTAATGATAAAACACAGTGTTAAAAATAGAATAAATTGAAGTTAGCTGGAAGTTTAAATACTACAAAAACGTTACTTTTATATTAGATAAAAATTTACTCTTCATAATAATAATAATGATGTGAAAACTATGTAATTATAATTTAATGATAATAAGCTTTTTGTTAGGAGCGGAGAGTTGATAGGTGAGTGAGTTATAAGAGGTAACTCTATCTGAAAGAGAAGAACTAACTCTATCTACTTTCAGAAACCAATTATAGCAACCCATTTCTTTTCTTAAAAGATATCTCGCTTTTCTGTTTTGTTTATAAATATTATGCTTTTATGTTCTACACTTATATTTTGCGAGAATTAATTGCATTATTGCATTAATATTCGACCGCTATGCTAAGCTTACTTAAGAAATTGCTATATAAATACTTTTCCACTTGCTTTTCATTATTATTTCTTTACGTACATTTAGCATTAGAATAAATTTTTTAATTTGTTGCTAATATTTATTATAGTGAGTAATTAAGCAATCATCAATCCTCTCATTAGTCGGCAGTCATGGTAAGTTCGATTTCAACACCGGGGTCGATTCTGAAGTTGGTGATGGTCTTAACATCAGGAACGTTGCAAGTAAGATCAATAATTCTCTTGTAGATTCTCATTTCGAATCTGTCCCAGGTCTTAGAACCTTCACCACAAGGAGACTTTCTGACGGTGATGACGAGAGTCTTAGTGGGCATTCTGACGGGTCCCTTAACTTCGACTTATTCAGTCTTCTTGGCTCTGGAGACGATTTCAGAGGTGGCCTTTTCAACAGACTTTAAGTTCTTGCAAGTCAAGGTGATTCTAACTCTAACCTTCTTAACTTCTTCTTCTCCCTTCTTGGTTTCCTTAGTAGCGTCCATCTTTATATTAATTTTTTAGATTTTGTCTTTTATTAATTTAATTTTTTCTTTTTCTTTTTTAATTTAGCTTCTGCCTATTTTTTCTTTTCTTTTTTAGCTTAATTTACCTTTTGTTAATTTCATTATCTTTTCTTCTTTTTCTGTCTTCATCTAATTTTATTTTTCTCTTGTGTTTTATCATTGGCCTTCATCTTAAACTCTTAGTATCAATGAAATTGCATTCATATTCTATTTATACCATTTATTTTATTATTACTAATCCACAAATAAATGCATAAACAAGTGCAATCAATCATTCATAAAATTTACTTTCATTTTTGCATTTTGCAGCTTCAAACAAAAAAAATATTATATCATCAGCTGAAATCTCAAAATATTTCATAGGCTTCATATTTAATGCTGCTGCATAAACATATCCTTTTTTATCTTTACTTCAAATAAATTTCAATTTTAAATACCATTTTTATTTTAGAATAATTATTTATGAGAAAACTTTAATTTAATTTAAAAATTATTTTAATTCATTTTTGAATAACAAACTTCATTAGAATTTAATTTATTTTCTTTTTGTTTCATTTAAAAATTATTTTCCACTTAAGCTAGATAAAATTAAGAAATATCTTTTTATTCCCTAAAATTACTAATTAAATTATCTTAAAAATATAAAATATCTAATATGATAAAAATAAAAAATATATTTTATCTAAAATTCAAAAAATTAGTAAATTATTTGGTTATGTATTTATTTATTTATGCATGAATGAATGAGTTTAAGTAAGTAATTAAGATATATTTATTGATAAACAAAGTAATTTAATCATTATAATATTTTTTGTTTTATTATGGTTTTATTTTAAAAATAATTTATTTTATTTTATTAACTAGATAGATATTTTAATTATTGATAACTTATTTGTATTTCTTAAATGAGTCTTTAATTGATTATTAATTTAGTGCTACTAAAATATTTGTGAAAGTAAATTTATTTTTTATTGGTCTAATTTGAACATGTTTTCGTAGATAAAAATTTGATAATTTTATGTTGAAGTAAATTATTATTGATTCGGTTATTTTCTTTAAATAAATAAATATTTATTTTTTATTAATTATTATTAAAATATTTAAAATTTATTTATAATCAATAGAACTGGCTTAAGTCTAGTAAGAATTAGTTTTAAGAGATATTATTGGTTTGCAAATCTATAGAACATTCTACTCTATTTGTTAGAGAATTTGATTTATAAAATTATTTTAGACTAGGGTGGATGCAGATGTAACACATAGCAAGTCTTTTTTTTACTTATTTTATCAATTTTATGATTATTATATCTTAAAATAATAAATCTTTAACCTATTCCTTATTTGCTTTAGGGTTTAAATATGATAAAAGTTATGTGAAATCAGGTGATTACATGTGTAACAGATTTTTTGCTTACACTATTGTTTTAATAAATAGAGCTACTGTTTAGTTACCTTACCCAACATATTGGCGTATGGATTGCTTAACAGGAGACTAATTGAATACATTTTTGTATTCACAAAATTTAATAAGATTAGGAGCAGAAATCACTTAATAAAATATGGGCTCTTTTGTCTTGTAATTTACTTTAAAAGAAATTAAATTTTACATCTTGCTTATGATGTTAAATAGTTTATGATCATCGTATAAAGAAATTAATATCTTTTTTTCTATCTCTAATTAGAGCTTCTTAATAGTACTTTAATTATATTACATTAAAGATATTAAATTTTGAAATTAGTTTTCTTGAGTTAAAGTGAATTGCAAATTCACCTAAACAAGATTTTAAGCAGCTTTAATTATAGATAAGTTGCTATTAAAATAATTAGCACCAGTTTCGTCTCTCATCATAATCTTACGGATCTTTTTAACTTCAAAGTTTTTCAAAAATCCATTTAGGTAATTCTTTGAAAGCTAAGATCTTAGTTCGTTTTAGCTTCCTAGCATGTATTGATTACTAACGCTTCCATTATTATTATTATTGTTGTTGTTGTTGTTGTTGTTATTTAAATTGAAACTCATTTAAGGGTTGAAACTGCTAAATGACTAATGCATTTCAGCTCCGAATTACGATAATCTATGTGAAGGAATATTTCCTGTTGAAATACTTTGTGTTATTTGATGGTTATTTATAAAGTTTTATATTGTCTCATCATGGTTAAGCTTTTTGTTTTATCCAAGTTTTTTAGGTGATATCTCTTAAACTGATGCATACTAGTTCATATTTGTACTAGCCTTTGTCCCCATTATTTCATCATCGAAATGGTTCGAGGTTGATAACTAGAATCTTGCTGTATTATTTTCTTATGTATTGTGGTCGGATGGAGAAACATGTATTCCAAAATTAATCACTTTAAGCTTGTTCATATTAATAGTTGAATTTGTACCTGATTGGTAGCATGAAGATAAAAAGTAGTTTAGCATTTAAACTTGATAATTTGCAGCATCTTAGCATACATGCATTTTGAATGCCATTTTTTTAAGTTTTGCTAAAGTTATCCCTTTGAAAACTTTATTAAGAAGCGTTTCAAAAATAAGAGTGCAATCAGTGTTAATAAAAGAAAATTTTATTGATTCTAGTTATATAAATTAAGGTACTTGCTATTGTTAGCATAAATTCATTCCAATCGAAGCTAAAGACGTTGCAGAAGCTTGCTGATAATACCTTTCTGCTAGCTGCTTTCCAATTACTGAACATAATAAACGCTCATAAAATAGTTTGCTCTATTCATGATTATCAAAAAGTAAGTTATTAAAAACAAATTTCACTTTATAAAGATTTATCAACGAGCAAATTGCCATCTAAAAGTCATCTGTCAAATTAAAAGTTGTATCAATTCTAAATGAAAGTTCTTGAATGTCCCTAAATCTAACTATTAGCATACCTAAAAAATCTGTGTTTGATGAGCTCTGGATGTGAAGAGATAGCTTTTAAATTTAGCTCCATTGTTCTAAGTTGCTTAGAAAGCTGATGTCGTTTAACAAAATCTCATTCATTACAATAGTAAGTTTTTTAAAGAATAAGGATGTGTTATTATTGCTCGCTTTTTCTTGTAAATTCTATTGATAAAATTAAGAAGCAGAAATTCTTCTTTTAGTGCCTGTGTTAATAATCAAATTGCTGCTAATAATTTTCTAAATATCGTATAAATCTTTTAAATAGTAAATATCCTGAACTTCATTTGCATTTAAAGATGGTACTACTTGCAATTATGGTAGTAAAAACTATGTCCTCGGAAGGCGAAATACTAAAAATTGTCTTTTTTTTTTAGATTTTTATTTTTTGGCAAGAGCACTAGCTTAGTGTTACTGGCTTTATATTTTCAAACTTTATCTTTAAGTTACGCTGGAAGGTGATCCTTCTATACCCCCACTTGCGAAACTTTATATCATATGGGTATAGTAGTTGCCATTACTATTTCTTTTATGCATTATGACTTCATCAGGTGTTTTACTTGTCAATAGTTATTCACTCAAAAAATAGTTATTTGAAAATTCTTAGTCTACATCATGGGGTTTAGAAATTTAAGAGAGCTAAGCCTACTCTATCAACGAAATTGATTATATTTCCATATTATATCTTTAATTTATCAAATTTTGTATATTCTAAGAAATTCCATTAAGCTCCATAATCATTTAAGTTAACTGCATTTCTTCTCCATCACTATCATCATTATCTTGTTAAAGACCATCACCTTTTTATGAGCGAGTTTAGTCCTTCTACCTTATATTACTTTAATTATAAATTTGCTGTGGGGTTTTAGAAGAATCAATAGCTACGCTCAAAATCATTTGATCTTACTGCTGACAAAATTAAGAAACACAAGCTCCCATTTACACAAAAAAATGAAAGTATTCTATTCAGAATAAAATTCAGTTCTCAATCTTATCTGATTATATAAAATAAGCTATGTATTTATTACCCTATCAATCTATCAATGTACTTTATTGGTTTGGTATTCAGTGTTTTAAATTTAGTAAAATATTTTGTATCAATCACTAATAAATAAAGTTTGGACGAATAAATCTTTATTGGAATTTAAATGTATTAAAAATGAGTTATTTGTAATATTAAGTTATAGTCCTGAAGTGTTTCTTCTTATTAATATTTTGACTATTATTGTTTTTTTATAGAAGTAATTAAATAATTATTAAATATGTGATAACTAAACAATTTATTATTTATGTTTTTTTTTGGTTTTTTCAAAACAAAAAGAGTTCTTATTTTTTATTCCTAGCTTATACTAACACTAACGAGATATTTTATCATATTTCATTGATTAAAAATCCTAATTTATTAGCATAAAATGCAATAACTAACAATATATATATTACTTTTTTTGAAAATAAAAATATTTTATCTTAATTTTTTATATAAATAGTTTTTAGTTATGAATATATTTAGCATATTTCTAGATAATTTGATATCCTAATGTAGCTCAATATTATAAAACTTTTAAAATAAATGAAGTAGATAAAAATAAAAATATATTTTAGAATTTTTGTCAATAAATTAAAATTATTATTTTATTTTTTGTAAACAAATTAAAAAAAATATTAATATGCTTTCAAAATTAAATGCTTTGAGAGAATTAATAGCAAGATAAAAATCATAGGTAATTAAAATCTAAAAAAGTTTTTCAAGCTAATAAAGACAAAAAGTGAAGAAATATTTGACAAATATGAATGAATAATGTCTCTTCGCATATAATTTTATATATCAAATTAACATGAAAAGAGATTTCTACTATCTTCATTTATTTTATAAAAAGAAGATTATCAATGAATGAATGAATTCACTAATTGAATAGAATGAATGAGAAGATTTTTTTTCTTATTGGCCAAGAAATGAATGCTTTACTTAAATGATAAATATTTCATTGTATATAAATTAGTTTAGTATATTATATTTTATACTTAAAACCAAAAAAAAATAAAAATAGCTAGATTAGTTATTAGTCGAATTAAAAGATAAAAAAAACTAAATTAAATAGTATTAAAAATGGAAGTAGAAGAAGGTGCTTCATCTCAAGCTTAAATTGAAAAGAAAAAGTGCGAAGAATTGATTCCTCTTTATCCTTGTGATTTGCGTAACTTGAAGAACTCCCTTAAAAATTTTGTGCAAAAGAAGCTATTTAAATGGGATCAAAAGCATCAAGGCATCGTTCTTTAATGCAAAAATATTAAAAAGTCATCTGAAAAGGCTTCCATTCATGATGAATCTCCAGTAATTTTTGTTCCTTGCTCATATCGTTTGAAGGTACTTTAGATTAAATAAGGCGATGTCTTCCTAGGATAAGTTACCCAAACTTTCAACACTCACATCAGTTTATAGCTTTTCGGCCTATTTAATGTATTAATATATGCAGATGATATATCCGATAAGATTTTAAAGTTAAACGATGATAGCGAATGGGTAGATGCCAAAGAAAATACAGTGATTGAAGTCAGTGACGATATTTAATTTGAAGTTAAAACAGTAGATTTATAGGAGTTTGGAGATTTTATGCTTATTGGTTCATTAAAAAATACAAAGAAAAACGGACCATATTCATCTATAAAAGACAAATACAAAGTTATGGACCATACAAAAATCTAGGAACTTGTCGAGAAAAGTCTTAGCAAATACAGCAATTTGAAGGAATGAGGGAAAGTTAAATATACTTTCACTTATCTATTCAAACCTTGCAAATAAATGATTTTAGAAATATATATAAAGAAATATCTTAGTAAACTAGTTATTATAAAGAGCAAGCAGCAGCATTGACATCAACTTAGAAAATAATTAAAACTTTATTAAGAAAATCTTAATTATTGATAATAATTGAGCAAATGATATTAATAAGTAGAAAATAAAAATAAGATTGAAATAAATGCAATAATTTCATACTTCTCCTTTAAAGATTCCTTTAATTTTAATTTATTAATTAATTAATAATATCTACCATCTATAAATATCATCATATACATAACTATTTCTGTACAGTGAGTGAGTGTCTCTTTTAAATTTTTAATGTTCAAAATTTCAAAATATTAATATATCTTATAAACTCAAAACATAAAAATAACATTTCTTAAAAAATAAAGAGCCTTAATAGCTATCAAATTTTATATTTGAAATCATTTAGTATTTTATAAATTTAATTTTAAAAAAATTCTTAATAAAATATATTGCACCATCAAGTTTATCGTTGTTGTTGTTGTTGTTTAAAATTCCCAAATGTTTCCTGTATATATGTTTATATTTCTTTTTTACATTTTAAAACATATATTTTACTATTTTTTCCAATAAATCATGCTCATTTTATCAATTTTTAGCATATAAGTAAGCTTTAAATAATAGGATAATGCAATTTTAGTTATTCATGAAATATTTATGATCAATGTTAAAAACTATTTATTTTTTTGTGTATGTTTATCATAATTCTATCGAAAGGTAAACTGATATTTAATTTAAATTCTATTATTTAGTCAATGTAAAAATTAATTCACAATTCATATCTTTATTTAATAAAAACTAGAGTTTTGATTATTATTTTTTAATACTCTATTGCTTGATTTATCAACTTAAAATTAGGAATAAAATATATTCTAATTTATCTTAATATATTGTTTTATCTCTGCTAAAATGGAAAAAAATGTTAGGATATAGGAAGCTGTTGTTTTAAATTAAAATTATTTATGTTTATTAGTGAATTTTAAAGGAATTTAAATATGGAGATTTAACGAAGAAAGTAATGATGAGCCTTATTATTAATGTGTAAAAACAATCTAAAAGAATGCTTGCTCAGCATTGAGCTATTCGAATATAATTAAAAGATTGCTATTTGTTACATGTTAAATAAAAATTGAATCTTACTATCTGAATTGCGATGATAGTTAAAATATTTCAATTAAGCATTAAAGAAGCGTTTAATTAATTGCAAACTAAAATGAACAAAATTTAAACTAAATTCAAAAGATACAACAAATTAGCTAAAAAGGAAGTAGTTTTATTTTGATAGAATTAGGCTAAAAAATAATTTTGCTCAACAACAATTTTAAAATGATAAGAAGTTTAAACATAAATAAAAAATCAATAATTTCAACTTCAATCCTTTCTTTTGAAGATAGATTTTAATCTTCTTAATATTTAAGGTATTACAATTACTTAAGTAAATCAAGTAAATCTATAGTAATTACTGGTTAGTCAAGGTATTTTATATTATGGGATATTTATAAGGGAACAGAAATCAAAGCTGTCAATGCTCATTAATCGGATGTATGCTAAATAAAATATTTAAGATTAAAAGGTAAATTATTCATCTCAATATACTTTTAAAAACTATATAAAATTATAAAGGAAAATGGGATATGTTAGCTACATCAGCCAGAAGAGATAATGAAATAAAAATTTGGGAACTCACTAGCTTGTAATGTATATCAACCCTAAAATAGAGCACGATAAAATATCTCCTTGACTATAATTCTTAATTAAAATATTTACTTGCATATAGTATTCTCTTTGGTAAAAAGACAAATTATACTACTTTAGAGATATGGAAAATTAACTAAATTTCATAAAAATAACTGATTATTAAGCCTTTAGATAAGCTTATAAAGGTAAAAGATATTTAAGTTGATTAAGAGCAAGGTTTTATATTAAAAAATTAGAATTTAAATGATTATCCTATAAATAAGAATTATACTAACATTTTGAAAGAGTATTTCAATGAAAATATATCTTAAATAATATTTCATGGAGATGATAAAATTTTAGTTGTTTTCTTGACTGGTAATTACATAATCTAAAAAGTATAAATAGAATAAGAAAAGTGACAAAATAAATTTTATTTACCATTCATGTATTTTATTTTTTTGTAAAAATTATTCAATTGTATGCAAAAATAAATAAATTAAATAATTTATTTTAAATTAAAAAATTTTTTGTTTTTTGAAAAAATAATTTTAAAATAGAATAACTGGCTTAAGGTTAATTTAAAAAAAAAAATTTAATAATTCAAAAAAAATAAATTAGCAATGTATGATGAAAAAAAATGGTTGCCTAAAATACAAAGAGAGAGACATAGAATCAAGTATCTTTTGAAGTGTTAAAGATTTTTTGACTAAGTGTTAAATGAATCTGATAGATATGGTACCTATAATAGAATAAAAGTAAATGAATGAAAAAAGGATAAAAGGAAAAAGAAGGGAGGATTAAGATATAAATTCAAAGGCCAAAAAATTAATTAATAGGAATCGAAGGAATCAAAATAAAAAGAGTCAATTAAAGTTAAAATACAAAAAAATTAAAAAAGAAAGAAAACAAAATTTTCATAAAGACATTAATATTTATCAAAAATGGCTAAGACTTCAACTTCTCCTGTTGCTCCCACCAGGTATGAAACATAATAGGATTATTTAAAATATTTCAGCGCAATCACATGACTACAAAGTTAACATTTTTTTATCATAATAATAAATAGACTCTGGGTTAAGGCTGCTTTCACTGGTTTCAGAAGGTAAATTATCATTTTCTTCAATGTTTCTTGCTTCATTTAAAATCAACTTCCTCAAAGCACAAAATTGAGACTCAAAAAAATTTTAAGTCACTACCCAAAACTATTCAAGCAATTAATAAATGATTTAATGCGATCATTAATGAAAGCTAATAGAGCATTTTAACCATAAAAGTATCATTTGCCATCATTTTAAGCAAATAAAATTAGGGAACAGCTGATATATTTTAAATTGGTTAAATATGCACAAACAATATCGATATTATATATCAATATAAATTGCTTTTTGTGGATGAAATGATAAAATGAAGAAAATAAATAATATTTTACTAAATTTTCTTTTTATTTAAATTAAATAGATCCAAGCACACCTAAAACTCCAACCAAGCTCTCCTTAAGCTCTAAAACGTCAACACCAAGGAAGATGTTGCTTTCTATCAAGGAAAGAGAGTTGTTTACATTTACAAGGGTCAAAAGAAGAACGGTTCTAACTACAGAGTAATTAAAAAATATTTTATTGACAAAAAACTCAATTCTCTTGAAACTATTCATAAAATATTTTAATCCAAACCTTCATCTAAAGATTCGCCCTTATGATTAAAGAAACAAATTTAAAGACAGGCAAGTCATATTAAAAAAAAAACTTTATAGGATAAACAAAATTCATTAAATAGGAAAGCCTATAATTACTAAGATAAATATATTTAAAGGTGTTATAATAATTCCAAACTCTTTTAATAAAGTAGCTGATAGAAGCTTAAGATAGCAAATGTGTTTAAATTGAGTAAATAGCGCTTGGAATAAATAGCAAAGGATGAAAATATTTTTCATAAACTAGAAATCATAAGAAATGGGAAGAAAAAAAAAATTAAATTAAAAAAATGTTACAATAAATAATCTAATTTATATGATAAAAAAAATTAACTCTCTATCTACTTCACTTTCCAGTAGCCTGATAGTTCTAACTTGAATAAATAAATACTAATGAAAAATAAAATTTATCAGCAATAAATAAACTCACACTTTGTAAAAGATATTGAAATTTTATCTAAAAAATGAAGATAGTTAATAAATATATCTTTTTATCTATCTATCTAATTATTTTTATATGAATGGATAATATGTAAATCGAATAATTTTAAGAGAAATAAATGGTGTTTAATTTAAACATAAATAAATAAATATTTTTTTTAATTTATATTAATTTCTAAATTCTTAAAATATTAGACCATCTGGGGTAGAATTGGTAAGGCTCACGGTAACAACGGTGTTGCTGTTGCTAGATTTGCTCACAACCTCCCCCCTCAAGCTATTGGTTCCGTCCTTAGAGTTATGCTCTATCCTAACAGAGCTTGAGCTTGATATTAAAAATATAAATTTCCTACTTTAATTATGATAGTAAAAAAAAATAATAAATATATCATATACTATTAATTTGTATTTACGTATATCTTGCATTGAAGAAGCTTATTTAAACTGTTTATAAATCTAATCAAATTAAATTTCATCTAATTCATTTCCTTCAACTATATATTTGTTTATATATATAAATCGCAATACTAAAAAAGTATTTTTAAAAATGAATGAATGCACTTGCTTGCTGACACAAAAAATCAAATTTATTTGTTATTTATTGCAAATCCAAAATGAGGAAATATTGTAAATTTTCGTTTATTTTGATCCTTTAAATTTTATCAAGCAATCATTTAGCCTCATTGAAATACTAATTTATATGCTCAAAGTTACAATTTTCTTTTAAGGAAACTAAAATCTTTGCAATAAGTTAATAAAATTGTTTAAATTACTTTTAAAACTTTTCAAATCAAAGAAAACATTTTTAATTTAATGATGAAGGAAATATTCTTGAATATGATTTTATTTACAACTATGCACTTTTTACTCTAATAATAAATACTAATAATTACTTATGTATATATGTAGCTAGCTAGTATTTAGGTATATTTACATTATAAAACTGGAATATTTGGATTGGTTTATTGATTTCAATCAAATTTAAATTATATTTTTTTAAAATATTTTTAATTAGCAAATTAGTTTTTAATTAGTGAACTGTTTATTTATTTATTTAATTGATTGATTATTTATTTTTCTTTATTTAATTAGGAATATTTATTTTTTATTAAAAGAATTTAATTATTATCAGATTTATTATATTTTATTATAAAGAAGTATTAATTAAAGTTTTTTTTCATTTTTTTACTCAGCTCAAAAATCAGCAAATAGTTTTTAGATTTCTTTTGTAGGGTTTTCTTATTTATCCTTTGATTCTGGGTATTTTTCAAAGTAGCTTACATCATCTATTGATTTTAGCTAAGGTATCCAAGGTGAGGGTATTTGTTTATGATATATTTTATCCCAATTCACTCCCTTAAACCATTTATGATTTTTAATAGAATTTCCATCCTAATCAATAACATTAGATAATATTTACTTTAAATAAAGCTAAAATTAAAATTTATATTACGTCTTAGCATCCTAATCTACTCTCTATGTTTGGATTCAAGAGTTTTCTTACCAAATCTTTGGCTCTTAGAGAAAAGAATTCAGGAAAGTTAATTACAGAATTAACTATTTTTTGATAGATTCCCATCGGATCACAATCGTAAAATGGTGGGTGACTAAATAAAAAAATAAAAAAATATTTATTTTAAAAACTATAAAAAGCAAGAATATTTTTTACCCTGAAAGCATTTCAAAAATTAAAACTCCTAAGGCCCACCAGTCAACTGATTTTCCATAACCTGTCTTAGCACCCTATATGATTTCAGGTGCTAAATACTCTGGCGTACCACAAAGAGTATATGTTCTGGCTGAATCCATAATCTTTGCAAAACCAAAATCAGCTATTTTTACATGTCCTTCCTTATCAATAAGTAAATTTTCTGGTTTTAAATCTCTATAAACAATATTCTAACTATGTAAATACTACAAAGCTAAGTAAATTTCAGTAATGTAAAAGAGTGAAATGTCATTTGAAAATCGCCCTTCTTTTCTCAATCTAGAAAATATTTCCCCTCCACTTACAAATTCAAACAGCATATATATGTATATTTCATCCTAAAATGTTCCTTTCCTAATTATTTTAAATTTAAATCAAAACAAATCTAATAGATAAATTAGTATCACAAAAAAGTAAATAGATTTATTTAATTTTAATCATTTATTTTTTACAATTCTACCAAGAAAGGATGTTTTATTTATGATAGTATTTTTTTTTCAGATTTGATGTGCTCTACTTATTTTAGTTTAACAATTTCTATTTTCTTCATCATTTTTAAAGCAAATACATCCTTCTCATTTCCTTTTAGTTTAGCAAGTTTAACTCTGCCAAAAGAGCCAGTTCCTTTTAATACAAATAATATATATGAACAAATAGCTCTTATAAATATTTTAATTTTACCTAAAGTTGTTTTGATATTAAACTAATTTAAATTTAATGTATCATTCTATTCCTTCTTTATAATTTATGCTTGATTTTGGTTATTTTTTTGTTTTTAAGTATACGCATATTAGATATTCTGCTTTGCCTAAAATTCTATCTACTCCAATGGGTTTTTTTACGTTGGGTAATAGTCGCTGTTTTTTTCAAAGTTTTTATTGAATTCATTTTTATTTAAATCATTACAGTAATCGTTTTCTTTATCATCAAAATCTTCAAAACATTAAAATTGAATTTTGTTCATCTTTTAATTTTAAGCATTTTAATTGTTATTTAATATAGCATTCTCATTCATTTTAATCTAATTAAAGTATTATTCATTTTCTTCTCCATTATCATCTTCATCCTCCTCATCTTCATCATACTAATAATCATCTTCATCACTATCTTATTCGTTTTGCTATGCATCCAAAAAATCAATATTTTCTGAAGAACTACTTTCTTTTTCAAAAGGTACAATGTAATTAAATGGATTTATGCTATCTTAAAATATGTCATTCTTTATTTTAGTTTGATTCTCAGCAATTTTCTAATTTAAGCTTAGATTTTCTATTTAATTGTCTCTTTCTATTTTAAGATAACTTAATTTATAAACAAGCTCTTCCCAATTCATTTTATTATTATTGTGATACTTTGTGTCTTAGAAGCTCTATTTATGTATTTATATATATATATCTTTGCTTTTTTTTAAAAAAAACCAACAACTAACTTTGATTAAACTAATTAATATAGGCAAAATCTTTGAATAAATGAATAAAGCTATCTCAAAAAAAAAAATTCAAAATTGAATAGTTTTTTATGTTTTTTTTATCTAATTCTTAAATGACAACAATTTAAAAAATACTTATTAAAATCAACAAATTATTTTTATAAAGTAGGACTAAAAATATTTAAATAACTTCTTACTGATTAAATATCAACATAGACATGCTAATTTGAGAGGTTAATTTTTTAATCAATTAAGTTTCTAAAATATTTAATAAATTGTTTTAACTAATTAATTACATATTTTAGCATATAATATTAAAAAATTTAACAAATTAAATATTTTAAGGATTTTTTGTATGTAAAAAGCTCTTTATTGGGTAAGACATAAATTATGATATTTATTTAAAAATAAACAAAATTTTTATCTAAAAAAAATAAGTAAATAAAATGATTTTTTTAATTAAAATATATTTAAATTAATAATGAAAATAGAATTTAATATATTAGGATAGGTAAAAATATTAATAAATATAGGAAGAGTAAGATATTATTTTTCTAGAAAGAGTTTTTAAGATATCGATAGATACGAATAGACTTAAATCAATAATTAAATATTGAAATTGTCTTAAGTTAAATATATTTGTAATCATATAATTTTTTAGAGACCAAGCGCAAGACCCATTTAAATATTAAAGCAAACATAAATGATAAGATAAGTAGCTTTTAAGTAAATACAGCTTTTGAATTAAATCAACAAAGCTCATTTTAGCAGATTTGAAAAAGTTGTTTATAAGGAATCTCCAAGCACAGTTATTGACTATAGGTATCTATTATTAGGAACATTATCATATTTATAATAGGTTTAAATAATAACTGATCGAATAAGCAGAATCAATAGTTAAAAAAACATAATAAAAAAGAAAAAGAAGATGAAAAGAATTTATTATTCTAAATATTTATGGAACTAAGATCATAAAGCAAACCATTTATTTTATTTTGTTATAAAACAGCAAATTGATTTACAATCCTACTGAAAAATTAAAATTCTAAAAAGATGGAAAATGTCTCTTATATTTTTATACACCTAGAGTAAAATATAAACAATTTGTTTAAATTTAGGATATGTTATTAATCAATAAGTATAGGTTTACACTCATACATTTCATAGAGCAAAATATTTTGTCCCTTTCTACTATATTTGCACATTGATAGGAAATAATCCTTGTAAATAATGAATTCTTAATTTAAACAACTAAAATGTTTCAAATATTTATGCTTATTTTAATTAAAATAGTGTATTTGACAATGCCTGCATCAATGCCTCTTTATTTTGTTGCTCAGTGTTTCTGTACTCAAAAATTCATTAAATATTAATTTATTTGATAAGCTATTGCTAAAAAGTAGCTTTGCTTATTAAAAACACTTATTATTAATTTAATACAATGCTCACTATTTTTATTGATAATTATATAAAGTGATATCTAGAATGCTTTCTCAACAAGCTAATTTGAGAAGAATTCCCTAAGAAATATACCTTCTTGAAGATGGTGAAACTATAGAAGTTGTTTGGCTTAAGCAATTCTACGTAAATATTTAAAAATAATATTTAATAATTTTTTTAAACATAAATTTAAATAATTATTTTTATTTAATACATATTAAAAGAGAAAACTAAAAGGTGATCCAACCACTCAAAATTTCCATATTACATAATTGTAAAATCCCTAAATTGGAGATTAGTTTAGACCTCTTGGTGGTAAAAAATATATTCTAAAATTAAATATAAATTAAAAATATATATTATAAAAAACCATTAGGTGATTTGTTCCCTAGCACTATGCCCTTTTAAGACATTTATCCTATGAAATATGCTTGGACAAAATATTACTTTACTCCTTAGCAATACTTTTTCATTCCTAAATATTGCAATTATGTTAACATGGAAGTGTTAGTCAACGTTTTTAACGGAAAAATAGTTAATACATCTAAAGATTATGTTGAGCACATTGATTATAAATTAAAAGATAAATATACTAATGTATGAAATTAATTAAATTCCTCATATTTTCTCTGTAATTCTTTTACTTATATTTCCCTTCATCGACTTTTCAAAAATTAAATTTAATTTTGCAGATTTTCAACTTGCACTCGTTTAGTAAATATTAGATTTTACTTTTTCTAATGCCTATTTTGCAAAGTAAAATTCTTGAATTTCCATTATTAAATACTCAACAAAGTTTTTGTTTGCTATAACTTTGATTAATTCTAATTTATTGAAAATATTTTAGTGTATATATTTACTTGTTTTATCTCATATTGTTTACTTTTTATTGAAGTATCTGATACATAAAACAAAAAAAACAACTTTTACTTTATAGAATTCGAAAAAATTCTTGAAACAAAATAATTTTATTAGATTTAAAGATCTAATCTGTTTGCTTATGAAGTAATTTAGCATTAAAATAATTTAAAAGTTGACTTTAAAACCTATTTTTTAACTTAAAAAAAATGCTTCGTTAGATTTCATTTGATATTAACTAATAAATAAGTTTCTGTTTAAAGTTCAAATTTGAATATAAGGTTTCCAGATTTCAATATTATTACAAATGCTTTTGTTAATGAATGCTTCGCTTTGATTTAAATATTTAAATAAATAAAAACAAATAAATAAATACACACATTCTTATTCATTTCACATTGGATGATTTGAAATTTGATTTGTTTTGTGTACAATAAATAAGCTAAAACAAGCATAAAATCAAAAAGTAGTATCTATCACTAATTTAAAAAATTTAGATAATTCAAAAATTTTATTTGTTTTTAACAAATCATCTAATAAATATTAAAAAAAAATCAAAATTAAAAATACCAACAAACATTTAGGAAAATCTAATTACAAAACGTAATAGAATAATATTATAGAGCAATTATTTAAATAGTAACAGTATACAGATGAGGAGAACTAGCAAAGAAAAATAAGAGGTAGATTTACTTAGCTGTTCCTACCTCAAAGTATAACGTAAAAGTAGTGATATGCAACCAAACATTTTAAGTAATTAAATAGAAAACCCTGTTTTGGAAAGTTGCAATTCAACAGAAGACTAATAAAGTTAAAAGCTCAAAGTAAATAAAGAAGCAACAGCCAGCAACAGTGATAATTATAATTAGGAGATTTAAAAATAAAAAAATGTGTTAGGAGTTATTTTATCTTCAAATTCAGATATTTAGGGAGAACTAAATTAAGATTTTCTTGTTGAAACTCCCACTAATTGTGACAGGCCTGTTGATGAAATAGAAAAATAATATAAAATGGAGTCTAAAAAGTATTATACTATGAGCTGTGTCAAGAAGAAAAATAAATTTTAAAAGAAAATCAATAAAAACAAGGAATGCAATACTGATGGTTAAATTAATAATAAAATTTTGGCTGATCAATTGTAGTTTAAAGGTTCTTATTTAGAAAATTACAATATTCAATAATTAAAAACATCATTTGATTAATAGTAATCATAAATAAACAAATCATCTTTTGAAGAATAAGAAGAAGAAGAGGAAGATTAACATGACTTCTCTTCTTCGTATTGTACTTCGAATAGCTCACAAGATGCTCCTTATGTCAGTGCGTTTAACATTCAATTCAGTCCTTAGAAGAAAAGGTTTTTAAATCTAGAAAATAGTGGCAATAAATACTTAGGATAGTATGAGAATGAATAGAGAGATTCTTATTTAGAAGATATTGAAAAATAAAAATAAGTAAATTATGAAATGTTAAATGAAGTTTACTAATAATTAGAAAAAGAAATAGAAATGGAGGAACAATCTTAGTTCAATCAGTAGTTGGAAATGAATGAGTTTGTTCAATAAATGAGAAAACATTTTAGTATGGAAAGAAATAAATAAAATGGAAATAATGCCAGCAGCAGATCATCATGCACTTCAAATTACTCCCAAGCTTCTAGTGTACATTAGATATGGGATAACAGTCCTCTTAGATAAAGAGGTATCGACACTGAGTCATGGGTGGACTTAAAAAGTTTAGATGAAGGATAGTTTAAAAAGTTTACACTTTTTCATTTGTATAAAGCTCGTTGTGCACAATTCGATGGATAAACAATAGCAAATAGTGCTGTAGTAGATATCATGAGAAGATTTATTCGCAACAAAAGAGTTTAAGATATTAGTGGCTATCCATGGTTTTCTTTTGATGATAAGTTTGATTATGTAAACATCGAAGAAGATTTAAAAAAAGATCCTTTGTGCAAGGTATTTTTAGAATATAGCAAACTCTATAAAAACCAAAGAGAAAAAAAAGATAAAGAAATAAATTTTTCACCATAATAATAAAAAGCTAACTAAGAGTAAACTTAGCAATAAAATTTAATGAATAAGTAATTTTAAGAAAGTGATATAAAATCATTTTAAAATTAAAATTCAAATGAAAAATCGAGCATTTAGTAGCAATAATAATAATAGAGGAAGTAGCCTAAAACAGAATTAAGAGACTCTTTATTAAATTCCTCAACTAATAAAAAGTTAAAATAAATTTTCATCACTGAAATGATCTAACCAAACGCCCCTCGCAATTAATACAAAGCTTTGAAGGAAAAAGAGCAAAATTACTAAGCCTGTGAAATACTTTAAACAGAGTATTCTTAGAATACTAATATGAAAGATACATGTGATAAAGTAGATTTAGAAAATATCTAAGCTATAACATAAACATCAGAAGAAAATACGAATGATAAAAATAATATTATTATAAATGGATTTTAAGATCAAAATATGCAATAAATTTTATCTGAAAATAAGAGTCCTTAATTCGCTTAGAACTTTTACCCTAATTTTACAATGGATGGAACTTTGATATCAAATGTTGTCTTAAATACTTAGTAAAATAATTAAAACTGTTCTTCTTTTATAGGTGCCATTTATAACAACCTTAACAAATGTGAAACAACTAATTCATATATAGCAGAGAATAATATTTTGAATCACTAGTAGTAATTGAACTAATCGTAACTTGAATTGAGTCCCGAATAAAACGAGTTAGACTACATATAGAGAAGGTAAAGATAAATTCTTGAAAAAATAACATCAACTCCTCTAAGGATAAACTAGCATTTAAAATCAAGCAAATTGGGTGTTAACGAAAACAATTAGACCATTAAAACAATTAAAAAGAATAACGAAAATCTGAAATAAAATGGCTTAGAATAATTCTACAATTTTAATAAAAAATAAAGTTTATCAAACAAAAAAGAAAGAAACTTGAGCTCTTCATCATCATTTAAAAATAACAAAAATAAACAAATGAAAAAAAAAGAAGAACCAAGGGCATATAGTTAAATGACACCAATCAAAAAAAATAAAAATAAAGAAAAAAACACTCAATATGATTAAAATTCTACTAAATCATAGAAAAAGAAGCAGACAATTTCTTCATCTTTGAATGGGCACTTAATCAAAAATGAAAGAACTTCACATTCCAAAATAAGCACCTAGTAAGAAAACTATTATGACCATAAAAGCAATATTAGTAAGAAGCAATAAAGTAATAGCAGCATGGCAAACGATCTTTCCTTTTCTAAAAATCACTACTTTACTCGTAATTCGGCAGATAGTATTTCAATTAGTAAGTAAAGATCAGTTTCTTAATAATAATCGAATACAAAAAATAAGAATTTGTACGGAAATAAACAACATGAAAATTTCAGAAATAGCAAGACTCCAAACAAAAAAGACTTGGAAAGCTCATACACTCTTGCTAAGAAAGATTTTACGAGCTATTTCAAGAAAGACTATGCTAAATATTATAGTAGACGTAGATTTGTTAGCAGCTCATGTGAAAAGATGCTGAGATTAAATACTAATTAAGCTTAGAATTGCAGTACTGTAAAGAAGAAATAATAAAATCAATCTCCTTAAATTAAAATGTAGAAATAGTAATCATGCTCAACATAGAAAATATCAAAGCAATATAATATTTTGAATTCAATCCTACAGAATTAAAAAATTAATGAAAATGAGCGTTCTAAGCTACTTTCAAATTATTTTTCCAACCACCTTAGATTATCAGCAGATGATTCGCGCTAAAAATTCGAAAATTTCCCAAAAAATATAGTAACATCAGAATTCAACATCGATGGGTATTTAAATTAAAATTTAGATCAAGAAATAATAGACTCTAATTTCACTTAATATAAACCTAACAATAATTTTTAATCATTTGGATCAAAAATAAATTCAAGGGTTCAATAAAACTACTCCTAAAGAAACTAAAACCTCTAGACTGAAAAAAGCTTTGAAAACTAAGAAAATATTTTAACAGAAAAAAACAGAACATAAAATGCTCATGAAAGCAGAAAAAGCTAGCATTAGTTATCATTTATAATTTAACAACTCAACAAAAACTAACAGCAGATGCTGGATTAAACTTTTTTGAACAAATAGAATGTAACAAAGGGTAGTACAATGTAATCAAAAGATTAATATGAATAAATTTTGTAAAAAAGCAACATTAATAATAACTGCTATAGTAATCATCTATCAGTAAACAGCAACAACCAAAAAAATAAGCTATTAGTTTATAAATCTTTAAAAAATAAATAGATTTTGAAACCTTACTAACAAAATTTATAATATATATGAAGTAATTTAAATTTAATTATATTTTGCTCTATAAAATTTACTCTATAATAGATTGATTGATCAATCGAGCAATCTATTAATTATTCTTTTTGAAACTGTGTAATTATATTATCATTATTATTAATAATTTTTCTTTATAGAGGATATAGATTTACAAACTTATATAAAAGAAATTTATCAGTGTATTTATTTATATTAAAGAGAGATTTATTTAATAGGTTTTTTGTTATTTGTATTTAGTATTAATAGGTAAGAGTTACGATTTGTCTATTTTTTATCTACTTTAATTAGCATTTTTGGTTTTATAAATTTCAAATTTAATTATTTTTAAATGTTGCTTTCACTTTTTAATTTACATCAAATTATTATTTTATGAAGCTAAATGATGAGTTGAGGAAAATATATAAAATAATTAATTTTTTATTATTTTTCAATTTTTTCATGCAGTAAAAATCTGATTATTTTTTGATTGACTTAATTAAATTTGTTTACACTTTTTATTTAGAAAAACATTACACTAAATATTATCTCTCTACTATTGAGTTAAAATGAAATTCTGATATTGATTTGAGTGTAACGCATAATTTTTTTTACAAAATAGAATTTACCAAATTTATAATAGACAAATGCCCATACCAATGAAACCTAAACTATATCATTTCAAAAATTAAATTTTTTTTTTTATTCGAATTTAATATTTAATTTGAAACTGCTTTATATTGAGCAATCGCATCTTTTTTTTAGTTTATTTCTAAATAAATTAATAAGAGGGTGAAAAAAAGTTATAAAATTTACAATAGTAATAAAAAAATATATTTTTAACATTTAATTTACAAAAATTTTATATATAATTTTTTGGAATTTGTAGATTCAGAAGGTATGATTAGATATTAAATTGTGAAAGTATTTATATTTTAAGTTATTAATTTATATTTCAAAAGCGAATTTTAATTAACTTTTTTCTTTACTTCTTATTAGAGTTTTAATAAATTTCCTTTGTTAGATGACCCGTTGCGTTAATATAAAGTCTTGTCAACTGTTCAATTTCGATAATTTTTATTAAGTTTAATTGCAGATATTAAATCTTGTTTCTTCATTAATTTCATATATTTTATGTATAATATTTGTTTATAAATTAATTCGCTTGCTCGTTACATTCTTCTAAGTCATATATTAAATACTTTTAATTTTTTTTATAATTTTCAGAAAGTAGAGCATTTATAATATTTGGGTTTATTGTGAATTTTTCAATAATACAAATATCAGGTAAGAAAATGCCTTTACTTATTTCGCAGGATGACAAATAAGCCTTTTTCGTTTCTAATAAGCAAGGGATAATATCCTCGTTTATCGTTAAAAGAGTGCTTTCGTAGACATAGTCATCGTACATAAAGTTTACACATAAATCTAATTATGTTTAAGGATCAATTAAATAGGGTAATCTCTACTTGAGCGCAAGTCTATCTAATAAGTTAATATTATCCAAAGAAGTTAACTTTAATAATTTTAAGGATTTTATAATCATCTATGCTTTGTAAGTCAGAGTCTCTGGGCACATTCTAAGTACAATTAAAACAAAATATTCATTATTATTAGCTATTAATTACTTAGCAATATCCTATGCCATACTAAACGACTTTTCAAAATTAGAATCTAATTTTTCTTTTAGATAGCTCGCTGAAAATATACTTTTAAGTTTTGTATTTAGCATATCAAGTTGTTAAAATTGTTACTAAGTATATTTGAGTGCATTAATCATTTTAAATGCAAATTAATTATTAATTTTTTCAAGTATTTTAATTGGTACACTGTAGTCAGTTATTCCAGTAATAGAATTATTGATATAATATACAGAATACTAATCGAATCTTTAAATTTTACATGTAGGTCTGTAATTCTACAAAAAATTAGATCTTTCTGACCAGTAGTCAGAGTCATCTAATTTACCTTAACCATCTAAATCAAAGATGAAATCAAAGGATAGGAAAAAGATATTGTAATTCTTGACAGTTTTCCATCTGATTTGAGAAACATTTTACATCAAATATTCTTTACAAACTAAGTCAGTGCAATTCATAGCATTCTTCTTTTTCTTTTAAATATTTTTCTTTCTGTGCATTAAAGACGTAGAAGATCCTCTTGATACTTTTTCTTAATTTGATTCAATATTTTCATTCAAAATAATTTGAAGTTCTTCTGAGTTGCTATCGCCATTTTCTTCTGCATCAAATAAAGGGAATTCCATTTTAATCAATAAAGTAGATAATTTATTTTTTTGGAAAGAAAATTACTAATGTCCTTTGTTATTTATTATTTTATTTACTTATTTTTTTGATATTTAATTAATTATAATAATTATTAATTATTCATTTGTATATTAATTTTTAATATTGAAAACTTGCAATATTTCATCAGATTTTTAAAGTATCAAAAATACCACCAATATTCAACCACTTTTCTAATTGAATTGACTTTTAAATCTCTCAAAATACAGAAAATTTTTATTGATAAATTTATGTTGCAGATTTTATTTACACGCACTATTTTATATTTTAAGTGTGATAAAAACTAATCAGATTCATTTATTATTTTTTTGAGAGTTATAATTATAAAATCTAAGAGAGATAAACACAAATTATGTAAATAAACAAATAAATAATTAATTTCATTTTTTATTATTATTATTAAATTAGGCTTTAGAATTACTAAAATACATAGGATTTAAATTTAAATCATGCTTATTTTAACTTTCATTATCTTCAGGAATCTAAAATTCTGATTCTATTTCTTATTAAGAATTGGCGTGAGAGCCTAGAAGTTATTTTTGAGTAACCAATTTTTCATTTCGTTTTTATTGCTCGATTTTGGATTGATTATTATTAATTTCTCCATATGACTGCAACATAGGTGTTTGATTTACCATTTAATTTGTATCACTAATTGATTTGTTTTAAGCACAACTATTTTAATTAAAAATTTTCAAATTTTCCTCTTATCCTTAAAGATTATTTTCTTAAGCAATCTTAAAGATGTTGACTAGATTTTAGTCAATATTCAACATTATCTTTTAATCTATTATATTTAGGCTCTTTTTTTTAGATATTTTAATGTATGCCTCATATGCATCTTAAAGCTTCTGAGATTCTGATCTTGTATCTTAATAAAATATATCTTTAAAGTTATTTTCATCCTATTTATCATTCTGTAACTTTTCGTTCAATACTTCTTAATCTGAGATTGTTGGTTTTGGTAAATACTCAAACAGTTTTATTTAATCATCATCCATCAGAATTCGTTTTAATTTATCTACTTCAATCAATTTTTTGATAACATTAAGTAAATCGATGTGATGATAAAGCTTATTTACACTATAATCAATTATTTTCTTTTTATTTCTTATCTCTTTGTTAAAAGGCCATAGATGCAGTTTTAGGTATTCGAAAAAGCTGATTTACATACAATTTGTTTCTTCATTTAACATTTTTTTTACTTCTTAATCAAATTTGGTAGCATCTATATTATCCTTATTTTTAGAGATATTTTCAGGTTATTTTATATTATTTCCTTTATTATTTGACGCATCTAAATTATTTTACTTTTTAGTTTTCCTCTAAACAATTTGACTTAGCTTAATTTAATTTTAAGTATACTACTTTTTTAATTAAAATGGTTTTTTATTTTTATTACTTTTTTCATCTACTTCTTTTGTTTAATTTCCTTAGAATACATTTTCTTATTATAAATTCGCTTGAATTAATTTAGAATCTTAATTATCACTCATTAGTTTGTCCACAGAAAAAAGTACTTAATTTTTTAACTCAAATTTGTTAGAGTTCTAATTTACAATTTATTGATTATTGTTAGGATCAAACAATTAATCATTATTCAATTTTTAAGTATCATTTTAATTTGATTAGTCCTTTTTTTGATTTTAATTTCTAAAATTAAATGCTTCATTAATAATAGAATTATTAAGGCTTATCTCTGAAAAATAAGAACATAAAAGAAAACCAAATGCTATCAAAGTCTAAGCAAATCCACCTATCTGAGAAATGATATCGCTTATTGTCTAATATTTTCTTTAAAATAAATTTTCTTTTGACTTTTCAAACCTAATAACAACTTGAAAGAAAAAATCACTCGATTAGATAGACTAATATTAAAAATAATAAAGTTAATAAACAATTAATTATTGATTAATATGAATACGTACAAAATCAATCTAGTTAGTGGATCAGAAAAATAATAATAGTTAATTAATTAAATAAATAAATTATATTACACTTATATCTTAAGTTGAGTATTGTGGATATCTAACTGTCTATATATCTGAAGTAATCCATCCAAAATCGCTTTCTACATAATCATTTCTGAAATACATATTTAAAACTTAGGGAGACTTATTTGAAGTTGTCCAATATAAATCACGATTGAAAAACACAAAAGGGTTATCTTTGATTACAGGATCAACTGTAATATCTGTGTAATACAAAGAAAAAAACCCACTTTTTAGATATTAATCAAGTATATCATTACTTTTACATCCAGAAACACATTAACTTACAGTTATTACAGCATAATTAAAAGACTACTAACCGTAATCACCTTCTAAGACTATTTATTCATCAGGATCTATACAATAAAGATTTTAATAATCTATGCTTTGAAATTTCTTCTGAGTGCTAGGATTTTAAAAGTTTTTTTAGTTGCATATTCCAACTTTTAATTACCTTTGAGTGTAATTTGAAGTTGGTAAACCTGTTTTAGGATCATTCACAGTTGTTTATGTGTATTAAGTTACTGAAACAGTATAAATCTATGGATCAATAAATTAATTATATTGGACAGGATCTTACATTCCAAAGGCAAATTGAGTATTTGTTTTATCGAAAACAAATTTTTCAGGAGAGTAAACCTATCTCTCTTTTTAAATAACATTTGGATTAGCTCTATTATAAACCTCCAACCATATAATAAAAAGTCTTATTATTATGATTGCTATTATTCCTAATGTTATGAATCCTCCTATTCTTGTTTGATACTTTTTCGAATTTTAGAAACAAAAAAGAATTTAACTTCCAAAAATGTCAAGGTTTTACATTATTTTTTATCTCAAATTAAAAATATATTTATCTTATTTTTCTTTTTATATTTAATATAAATGTTATTTATTTTATATGTTTTCAATCAAAATTGTGGTATAATTTATTGTTTTACCTTCCTTTGCTTAAAAATTTATTTGTTTCTAGTACCTCATAAATAAATATTTTTTCTTATGTCTTTTGATAATTTTACATTACATTTAATTAAAATCACTTCAAAAATAGAACAAAATAATAATAATTTAAATTAATGTGATTAATAAAAATATATGTTGCTTTTACATATTGCTATTGCTATGATGATGGCTATTTTATTATCAAATATAGAAAATTTAAGCTAACACTTTTTAGATTCAGTAAAATCATTGAAAAAACTAATTTTTATTTCTACAACACTTTATAATTTTTTTAATTAAAAATGTTTAACATCATATGAAAAAAATACTGTAAAAATGAGCAGCTCTACTGGCACTAACTAAATTATTTTTTATCCTAAATTTAGATAGTTTTTTATATTATAGAACTAAGTTTTTAATTTTGTTATTCTTCTGAGATGCTTATTTATTATGTAGCAAACAATAATATGAGTGATATAAAAGAAGGGGATATAATCTAATATTGAATTATTATTTACATTCGTTTTTTAAAAATTTTTAAATAAAACCTGAAGATCATAAATCATTAATAACTTTTCAGAAGAATTACTTACATAACTTTTATTACATAAAATTATACAATTAATAAACGCCTTTTAATCTAATATCTTTACATATGTATTTACTTTTTTATATATCTTCAATATACTAACTCTATTGTTTTTGCTGACAAGTTTTTGAAACATAGTACGTATATTATTTCTAAATTTTTTTGTATTTTAGTGCATCTGAAATCTAATAAAATAGATTTTTTAAATGCAGATTGATTTATTATTAAATCATTTAAAATTGATTAAGTTTTATATAAAAACAATTAAATATAAGTAAGATATATGCCAAATAAAATAAACAAATTGTTTCAGACATGTTAATTTTTTTATGATTTTGAATTAGTAAAATAATTTGAATTTAAATTTAATTCATGTTTTTGTTGATTCTGTTCATCATCTGGTATATAACTTTCTGATTTTATTTCATCTTTAGAGTTAATAATTGAAATGTTAAAAATATTATCCCTAAATGTAAGCTTTTAATTATGATTAATATTTTCTTTTTAATTTTAATTATCGTAATGCTCTGTTTCATTTTTAATCAGAGGATTTTAGCTTAAGATATTTTAAGATTTTTATAAATTAATTTCATTCATCTATTTGTTTTATTCAAAGCTGCTTACTATTTATTCTTTTTATTACATACTTTCTTCTGCAATGTTAAAAATTTAAACTAAATTTATATCTATATTTTACAATATTTTTAAATCTAAACCACTTGGCCGTTTTCTTTTAGATATTTTAACATAAGATTCAAATGCATCTTATAGTTTTTAAGACTCTGATCTTAAATCTTAGTAATAAATATCTTTATTTTGTTACTACTACTACTACTCCTAATCTTAATTTTACTGTTATAAAACATCTTATTCATAAATGGTAGGTTTAGGTAAATATTCAAATAACTTTATTTAGTCATCATCCATTAGCAATTTTTTTAGTTTATCAACTTCTAATAATTTTTATATAATATGTAGTAAATCAATATGATAATAGAGTTTATTGACACTAAAATCAATAATTTTCTTTTTCTTTTATATTTCCTTGTTGAAAGGCCAAAAACGAAATTTTAAATACTCTAAAAAGCTCATTTCCATAGTACCTCTTTCTTAATCCAGCATTTTTTTAATCTAATTTTCTAAATTTTCATTTTTTTTAGCTTACTTACTTTTGCTTGTTTGTTAAGGTAATTTTAATTTCTATTTTTATTCGCTTATATAACTTAACTCTAGACTTTAATTCCCCTTTTTTTACAATACCTTACTTAGTAAAATTTGGTTTTTAGTGTAACTTTTTTTTTATTAAGACTAATTTAATGGTTTAGTGCTCTAATTAGGGTGTAAGCTATTTTCAAAATTTTTTATATTTTGTTAATCTTAAACACATTTTTTAGATTCTTAAAATTATATATCTTAACCTGAAATTACTTGACTTTCGTTTTTTATCTGAGCTTTATTTTAGTTTTCTATATTGTCTTTAACTTCTTGATTTTCTTAATTAGAAAAATTAGCTTTTAAAGTTTTTAATTGCTAATTTTGTTATAAAAATGAATTTTTTTCTCTTAACAGTTTGAAATTAAAAGCATCATTTATTAGAGATTTATTTAAACTTAGTTCTGAGAAGTATGAGCACAAGAGAAATCCAAAACCAATTAAGGATTATGCAAACCCACCAATTTAAGATATTATATCAGTTATAGTCTAATATCTTCTCTAGTACAGATTTTCTTTTGATTTTTCAAATCTTAAAAGGACCTACAAAAAATAGTCAGTACCTTAAGTTTGAGAAGTCTATTAATTTTATTTATTAAAAATGTATAGAAAGAGAGTAAAATTGATACAAATTAAATTAATTTATCTATTCATCCACTCATAATCGAGCTTGTCTTAAAAATACTAAATCTTGAAAAAATACAATTTTTTTTAATAATTAAATAATTACGCTTATATCCTATGTTGAATATTAAGGATATCTATTTGTTTCTATATTTGAAGTAACCCAGCCAAAATCACTCTCAACATAGTCATTTCTAAAATACAAACTCAAATTTTAAGCTGTATTCGAAGAAGTAGCCCAATACAAATCTCTATTAAAGAAGACAAAAGGAAAATCTTTAATAACTGGATCTACTATAATATCTGCAAAGTAAATTGAAAAAGAGCCATTTAGTAAATAATAATCAAGCTTATCATCGCTTAAGCAATCACTTTTGCATTTACTTACTTTTATAACTACATAATTAAAAGTACCTTATCCAAAGTCTCCTTCGATAACAATTTATTCATCAGGATCTATACAGTATAGATTTTAATAATTTAAGCTTCTGAATTATTCTTAAGTATTAGGATTAGAAAAATAATCTGATTAACAAGGTCCTGATTTTATTTCTCTTTAAGAATATTTTGATACAGTTTTTCCAGTTTTTGAATCGACCAAATTCGTTTGAGTAATTTACAAAACTTAAATATTATAAATTTTTGGATCTATATACTAGTTGTATTCAGATGGTTCTTGCATTCCAAATGCAAATTATGTATTTGTTTTATCGAATACAAATTTTTATGGTGACAATACTTATCTCTCTTTTTAGATTACATTAGGGTTTGAACGTTAATAAACTTCCCACCATGTTGTAATTAATCTAATTATTATGATGGAAATTATTGCAAAAGTAATATACCCTCCTATTCTAGTTTAGTATCTCTTTTGCTTTTAAAAGCGAAAAAGAATTTAGCTTCCAAAAATGTCAATTTTATCCATTCTTTAAAATAATATATAAATAAATTATTTAATTATGTTTTTTGATTGCTTATTTAATTATTTAGACAGACTTTAAAAACAAACAAAAGGTTATTTAATTTAATTTTCTTATTGTCCATTTCAGTCTTTATTGAAAATAAAAAAGAGTAATACAAAATTTTAATTCTGGAATATAAAAACTCTACCAAATCTACCTGAAACAAAATTTTTTAGTGATAAGTATTTTAACAAATAGTGAATTTTTTAAAAGAAACTTATTTAATGACAAATATCTAATTATATAGTCTTTCATACATAAATAAATTGGTAATTTGGTTTGCATAATTTACATTTTATATTAAAAAACTGAATTTTCATTTATTTGATCAATAGAAATTTTTTTTAAATATACAAAAATTAGATATTTTAATATTATTTGGTTTTAAAGCTAATTAAATTAAGATGGGTCTTGCAGAAAAAAGCAACTAAGTATTTATTTTATTATTAACAAATTTTTATGGGGTAAAGACAAACACTCATTTTGATTAAAATATGATTGAAATTCAAATGATAAGAGTTTTTAATACTCTAATTATACATAGAAGTTATTTAATGGTTAATATTTTGGTTTTTGAATAAATCTAAATAAACCAAGTTAACCTTGCTCTCTGAAATTTTTACAACATCAGTATCAGTTATTTTCGTGCACATTTGATCTATATTTTATATTTAACAGAAACATTTTATATTTATTTAGAGAAAATATTAATTATGTGAGTAAATTAAAATTATTTCAATTTTAAATTACCATAAATCTTCTTTAAGGAAAACGAGTGGGTTGCGTGGTAAGAGCCTTAAAATTCTTGGATGAAAACCTCGATAAATCGAAAATTTTTTTAATTAGCAGGTTGCGAGTTAATGAGGTTTTAAGGTACATTATGTACAAGAAAGTTTATGTGGTTGACTAAAATTTTTTTCAAAATTTTAAATAAAAATGTTTAAATCAAATAATAAATTAGTATATTGAGATTTATTTTATAATGGGATTAAAATTTTTAAAAATAAAAGTTTTTATCACAAATAAACTTTAGTTTAACATTTTTATGCTTTATTTATGAACATGAAGAGCTAATATATTACTTTTTAATATAAAAGAATTAATTAGTTATTATCAAATAACTTTTTTAACATAGTTTTGAGGTTCACTAGTTTTAACATAGTTTATTTAATTTTAAATTTGGGCCTCTATTGGTATCTATTCTTCAATATCTATATTTTCAAAGTAGTTATCATCTAAATTTCTATCTATTGATATTGGACTGTTCAATTAGTTATAATACTAAGTTTCACTCTTTTATTTTTGTAAATCGTTTAAGTTAGCTTTGCTTTCTTAATTGTTGTTTTAAATTTCTCTCGTATTTTAGGGATTAGCTACTTATTAATCTATTTAAGAAACATCTCTTTGTTCTTAGTAATTGAATATATTTACAAGTTAAGGGTCTAAATGGTTTAGTATTTTCTTATCCATAGCTGATAAATCGCGTTTTAAAATACTCTAGTAAGATTAATAAGCATCTTACACTTTTTAAATCTCTGATCTATTATCTTAATAGAGAATGCTATATTTTTCTTATTATTCCTGTAAATCTTATTCATTTTATTTACCAAAAACTTCTTCATCAGAAATAACAGGTTTTGAGATATATTCAAAAAGTTAAATTTAATCTTTATCCATAATTAGTTATTTTAGTTTATCTACTTCTAACAATTTCTTGACGATATAAATTACATCTAAATGATAGTATAGCTTTTAGATACTGTAATCTATTATTTATTTTTTTCTTTTTACTGATCCAAATGGCCAAAAGAAATACTTGATATATTCCATTATACTCAATTCCATACTATTTTTTTCCTTGCGAAGAAGCTTTTTGAACTAATCGTTAGTTATTTCATCATTCTTTTTAGTTTATACATTTTCAAGTTTCGTATTCTAATAGCTTAACTAATCTTTTTAGTTTTAGCCTTGCCCTTCTGTAGTAGTGTTGGTTCTTTTTTTTATTATTTAACTCAAATAAGCTTGACTATTATTTCTTTTTAATTCATCTCCATTCTTTGGAGTTAACTTTTTGACTTAAATTTAAGAATTTTCTTAAAATTAAAGTTTGTCATTTGAAAAAAAATTTGGATTAAAGTCAATTTTATTAAAACTGGCTTTTTTACTCTTTTTGCTAGGCTATTCAGAAACTTAAAAAGGTTAATTATCTTTTATGTTAACTTTTAACTAACATTAATCTTAATTTTCAAAAACTACTTGCAAAGCCGGAGAATTGTTATTAATTTTTTTCTCATTATTATTATTATTAAGCTAAATTTATTAATTTAAATTTTAATTTACAAATCTCTCTTTTTTATTCTGTTAATTAATTTCTGTAATCTTAAAATCAAATGCATCATTAATAATTGATTTGTTAAGCATTAAATCTGACAAAGTTGTGCACAAAATAAAACCAATAGCTAACATAGATTATGCAAAACCTCCCATTTCAGAAATAACATTAGTAAGATTTTTATATTTTCTACTGTAAACATTTTCTTTCTATTTTTCAAACCTTAAAATGAGCTGTAAAAAGTAATCCACTCCAGATGTAAACTTTTGTTATAATTAACAGTAAAATATTAATAATAATTTTATCATACAGAGCAAATATTTTTATAAATGGTTTGCTCACTTTTAAAATGTCTATAAATTTGATTTTTTTGTCTTAAAATGCTCAATATTTAATATGAATAATTTAATTTTTGAACAATAAGAATAGTGAAAAGATAGAAAGATAGTAATTATTGATTAAAAATCCGAGTAAATTTATTCAAATAATTATTTGTGGTTTTTTTTGAGCAAAAAATTAAAAGAAAGGTACTAGATAAAAAAATAACATTACTGATAAATCTTAATAACTATAGCTGATATATCTTATTGTTTCAATGTCTGAAGTTACCCATCCATAATCGCTTTCTATGTAATTGTTTCTAAAATACATATTTAGATCTCTTGGAGACTATAAAGAAGTAGTCCAAAATAAATCTCTATTGTAAAATCTGAATGGCTCATCTTTAATCTCAGGATCAACAACAACATCTTAAAAATAAATTGCGAAGTACCCTTTCCCTAGAGTGGCTGTATTTCCACAACCTTGACCCACACAAGGATAAACCTAAATTACAAATTATTAAAAATTTGGCTATGAATAATCGCCTTCAATAATTTCTTCAAATTTAGGATCTATACAGTATAAGCTTTCATAGGGTAAACTTAAAAATCCTTCTTTAGTCTTCATATTTTGAAAGTGATCTTCAGTGCATCTTTATACAGTAACATTTGTTTACTAAAATTAGTATTATGGCTACCCTTAATCGTCATAGGTTGTAACCTTCGTAAGCTAATAAGCAACTATATTATATATTGTTGGGTCAATATAGTGATTGTATGTAACTCCATCCTACATTCCGAAAGCAAGAGGTAATGTTTTGGGATTCATTACAAACTTTTCAGGTGAATCTACTTATCTTTCTTTCTAAATCACAGTTGGATTTATTCTATTCTGAATATCATTAACCATAAAAATTAACCTAAAAAGTACAATAGCAGATATGGATACTGTGAAGAATACACCTAAAGAAGTAGAATATGACTTACTTCCTTAGAATCTAAATTATACCTAACTTCCAAAAATATCAAAACTTTTCATCTAAAACAAAAATTGCTGATTCTTTTTTATCTTTTTTAATTAATTTTTTTTTCTTTTTAATTAATAAAATTAAAATGTAATTAATATAAATAAGCGATTATTTTCTATGCATTAAATTTGTTTATCATAATACACCATAAATTTAAATTGCATCAATTTTTGTTATTCTTCTTATTTTCATGAGTAAATAAATTATTAATTATAGAATAAATCACACAAAAAATATGTTTTTCAAAAATTAAATTGTTTATCGATGCTTATTAACTGTTTGTTGAAACAATTAATTTTAATCCTTATCTAAATTATTCATTACCTAATTTTTTACTAAAAATTTGTTTTATTTCATAAATATTTATGTTAATTGATACTAAATATAAGTTAAGATACATATAATAAAGTAAATTCATGAATAAATTAGTTTTAATCTAATAATAAGGTAAATTTCAATGATTTTTTTCTGTAAAATTTTAATTCCTTTTCATCTAATTAATTCAAATTTTCCCTTATAATGCGCCTTCTTTTCTAAAGCAGTCAGTATATTCTTATTTAGTTTTTTATTTTTTGTTTACCTTAATTATTTAATATTGAATATTCGGTTAAAAGGCCAAAGATTACATAGACTAATAATATATTATCAAAATAGTCTACTATTTGCTAATATATTAACCAAGACAAAAATGTTGGACACTTACTCACATACTCTAAATCTTTCAACCATTATTAATATCATATTATATCCATATATACCGAAGCTTATTGTATAATTATAAATATTTAATTCAATGATTCAAATCCTCTTATTGCATTAGATTTATTCAAAACAATTATTATCAAAAACATAAATAAAATTTATTATTATATTTTTTAAAATTCATCAAAGATTTGAGTAAATAAAATAATCGTTAATTATTTATTTTTATAATTTATTAAATAAGAAAAATATACAAATTTTTATATTATTAATTTCTAAAAAAAACTCGAAAATATTGCAATTATAATGGATTTTCGATATAATGGAGGATCTACGGTAAATATAATTATCTATACAAATTATAGTGAGTGATGATATATTATAATTTACATACTGTTTTTATATCATATTAAAATAATTTCACAGCAAGTTTAATGGATCTTATAAAGAACATGGAAACTTTTTTTAACATAAAATATTTTATATTCATTAAGAGAAATCTTTACTGTGTTAATTAATTAAAATGTATTCATTGTTAAATTTATGAAGAAGATATTTTATATGGCATGATTTAAATTTTTTTAAAAAATTATTTATTTTTAAAATAATGATAATATATTAATTTACTATTTTATCTAAAAAATTTTAAATCAAATAATAAATTAGTTTATTGAGATTAGCTTTATAGTGGCTTAAAATTTTTGACGAAAATTTATTAGAATAAAAATTTTAATACAGATAAACTTTAGTTTAACATTTTTATCCTTTTATATACTAACATTTAGAGCTAAAATATTACTTTTTAATATAAAAGAATTTATTAGTCATTATTAAATAGTTTTCTTAATATTGATTTGAGGTTCATAGGCTTTAAAATAGTTTATTTTATTTTAAATTTGGGCCTCTATAGGTATCTATTCTTCAATATCTATATTTTCAAAGAAGTTATCATCTAAATTTCTATCTATTAGCATTGGACTGCTCAATTGGCTATGAAACTAAATTTCACTCTTTTATTTTTGTATATCGTTTAAGATAACTTTACTTTCTTAATTATTATTTTAATTTTCTCTCATATTTTAGGGGACTTATTAATCTATTTAAGAAACATCTCTTTTTTCTTAGTAATTGAATATGTTTACAAGTTAAGGGTCTAAATGGTTAAGTATTTTCTTATCCATAGCTGATAAATCACGTTTTAAAATACTCTAATAAGATTAATAAGCATCTTACACTTTTTAAATCTCTGATCTATTATCTTAATAAAGAATACTGTATTTTTCTTACTATTACTGTAAATTTTATACATTTTATTTACCAAAAACATCTTCATCAGAAATAACAGGTTTTGAGATATATTCAAAAAGCTAAATTTAATCTTTATCCATAATTAGTTATTTTAGTTTATCTACTTCTAACAATTTCTTGACTATGTAAATTACATCTAAATGATAGTATAGCTTTTAGATACTGTAATCTATTATTTATTTTTTTCTTTTTACTTATCCAAATGGCCAAAAGAAATACTTGATATATTCCATTATACTCAATTCCATACTATTTTTTTCCTTGCGAAGAAGCTTTTTGAACTAACCGTTAGTTATTTCATCATTCTTTTTAGTTTATACATTTTCAAGTTTAGCATTCTAATGGCTCAATTAATCTTTTTAGTTTTAGCCTTACCCTTCTGTAGTAGTGTTAGCTCTTTTTTTTATAATTTAACTCAAATATGCTTGGCTATTATTTCTTTTTAATTCATCTCCATTCTTTGTAGTTAACTTTTTGAGTTAAATTTAAGAATTGTCTTAAAATTAAAGTTTGTCATTTGAAAAAGAGTTTGGATTTAAGTCAATCTTACTAAAACTGGCTTTTTTACTCTTTTTACCAGATAATTCAGAAATTTAAAAAGGTTAATTATCTTTTATGTTAGCTTTTAACTAACACTAATCTTATTTTTCAAAAACTGCTGGCAAAGCTGGAGAATTGTTATTAATTTTTTTCTCATTATTATTATTATTAAGCTAAATTTATTAATTTTTATCCGTTTATCTAAAATTTTAATTTACAAATCTCTCTTTTTTATTCTGTTAATTAATTTCTGTAATCTTAAAATCAAATGCATCATTAATAATTGATTTGTTAAGCATTAAGTCTGACAGAGTTGTGCACAAAATAAAACCAATCGCTAACAAAGATTATGCAAAACCTCCCATTTCAGAAATAACATTAGTAAGATTTTTATATTTTCTACTGTAAATATTTTCTTTCTATTTTTCAAACCTTAAAATGAGCTGTAAAAAGTAATCCACTCCAGATGTAAACTTTAGTAATAATTAACAAATAATAATTAATAATTATTTTACCAAATCGAGTAAATATTTTATTAAAATGATTTGATCTCTTTTAAAATGTATATACATTTGATTTTTTTGTTTTAAAATGTTTAATATTTTAATATAGAATAACTTAATTTTTGAAAAATAAATAGTGAAAAGATAGAAAGATAGACAGTATTTATTGATTAAAAATCTGAGTAAATTTATTCAAATAATTATTTGTGGTTTGTCTTTGAGCAAACAATTAAAAGTAAGGTACTAGTTAAAAAAATAACATTACTGATAAATCTTAATAACTATAGCTGATATATCTTATTGTTTCAATATCTGAAGTTATCCACCCATAATCACTTTCTATGTAATTGTTTCTAAAATACATATTTAGATCTCTTGGAGACTATAAAGAGGTAGTCCAAAATAAATCCCTATTATAAAATCTGAATGGCTCATCTTTAATCTCAGGGTCAATAATTACATCTTAAAAATAAATTGCGAAGTATCCTTTGCCTAGAGATGTTGTATTTCCACAACCTTGACCCACACAAGGATAAACCTAAATTACAAATTATTAAAAATGTGGCTATGAATAATCGCCTTCAATAATTTCTTCAAATTTAGGATCTATACAGTATAAGTTTTCATAAGGTAAACTTAAAAATCCTTCTTTAGTCTTCATATTTTGAAAGTGATCTTCAGTGCATCTTTATACAGTAACATTTGTTTACTAAAAATAGTATTAAGGCTAGCCTTAATCATCGTATGTAGTAACCTTCGTAAGCTAATAAGCAACTATAGTATATATTGTTGGGTCAATATAATGATTGTATGTAACTCCATCCTACATTCCGAAAGCAAGAGGTAATGTTTTGGGATTCATTACAAACTTTTCAGGTGAATCTACTTATCTTTCTTTCTAAATCACAGTTGGATTTATTCTATTCTGAATATCATTAACCATAAAAATTAACCTAAAAAGGACAATAGCGCATATTGATAATGTAAAGAAGACACCTAAAGAAGTAGAATATGACTTACTTCCCTAAAATCTAAATTATACCTAACTTCCAAAAATATCAAAATTTTTCATCTAAAACAGAAATCGCTGATTTTTTTTTTTCTTTTTTAATTTAATTTTTTTTTTTTTTTATATTAATAAA